TAATCACTGTTTATAAAAGAAACAAATCAAGCTAGAAACATTATAAGTGAGATGGTTTAGAATAATAACAATGGACCCAGTCTACAATTGATACAATTGCAGGTCTACATAGGGCCTACAGTCTAGTAGTTTACAGTAGGCACCTAGTGTGTAGCTAGTATACTAGTGTGTAGCTGTCCAGAGTTAAGATTCTTAATGCTTTTCCCCTGATAAGCCACGTGTGCTATAAATGACATAACATGACACCGAGGTGAGAAATGGTTGAGGGGAGAGCAGTGGGACTTTCCCCTTTGTTCTCCCTGCTGGGCCCTGAGGGTCAAAATTATATAAGAAATACTATCTCTGTGGGGCTGGGTATCACGGAGGTGAGACATTTTCAGGGGAGGGCAGGGCAGACTCCTCTTTGGTTTTATTGTGGCCTAGATACAGGTGGGGGCAGCGGGCAGCCATCATCAGGGTTGAACGTCAGTATTAATGTGTCTGATTACTTCCCTGCTGGATTATAAGGGTCTTAAATTGTATAGCATGCTACCCAGATTGGTTATTACCCATGGATTATATTAGCCGTTGTAGTGTGGGTTTTGTAGGAGTTAAGTGGTCTCACGTTTGCTACAGTAGATAACCTATAATATATTACTGCATTTGATCAGCTTCGTCTACTTAAACTCTAAACGCAAACGGTATTACTAACAGTATTTTTATTTAGAAATTTCGGCCACATATTTATATTATCCACGAAACTGTCAATAACTGTATAAGGATCTTCAATTCCTATGAGTTCAAGTTTTTTAACATATTTTTCCTTTTCCGCGGGCGCAATTCTTTACATACGGTGAACACGTCCAGCGCTGGTGAACACGTCCAGCGCTGGCGAACAGCTGATTGTGTTTACGTCTGATGTACACCACTGTGGCGGCGGGCGTAGGTATCACGTGATTTAGGTCACGTGTTTGCAAGGACTCTATTAACATTTTTTTAAATATACGGTTAATTTAACTATGAATAAATCAATAAATTAATTAACGTCTTTAAATAAATGTGTGATTAACAGTCTGTCTGCATTAAAAAATTATTCTCCACCTACATACTATTTTACAGCTTTCCAGATAGAGTCGAACATATCACAATAGTCGATCAGGCAAACAAACAAACAAAAAAATAAATATTCAAACATGTAAACAAACTTGACTTTTAGTAGTATACTAGAATACCCGTCATCCGTTGGATAACTGTGGGTTTCGGGGGTCATCCATCAAAAAACATCACGTCTGTCACTCAGAGACATAGCGACCCTTCCTGGCGCCCGGGGACAAACTTTTCGATTTTAACCCCCCCTCCCAAGATTTCAATTTTCAACCCCCCCCCCCTCAAACTTTTGATGTGCACCCCCCCCCCCCCCCCACTCAAACTTTCGATTTGAACCCCCCTCAACCTTTCAATTTATTTTTCCAAACCATTTTGGCGCCCCAACATATGTCCCCCCGCCCCCCCCTCCCCCCTCCACCTCCCCTTCCCCCCCCCGCCTCCCCTCCCGCCCCCCCCCCCCTCCTCGCTACGCTACTGCAGTGTCACTTATCGTCAAAAAAAAAACAGACCCCACTTTCAAAAAATTGTTTTTTATCTTTTAAAAACACCGAAAACACCGATTTCGGACTATCCCTTCATATACTGACTTCATAGGTGACCTACTCAACTCTACTTCACCTGCCCAGTGTCCCGCCAAGTCTCAGACAACATGTTTTTATCGTTTAAAAAACGATTCCAGCCGAGCATGTCTCTGACCACACTATCCTTTCATATGCTTAGGACAAAGAAACAGACAAACTCTACTTCACCAGCCCTGTATCCTGCCAAGTTCAGATAGGCAACTTTATTATTCACATCTAAAAAAAAAAATTGAAAAAAAAAATCATTGATGAATTGGTCTAGAACCTGTGTCACCCACATGAGAGCCGACCTCACTACCAAGTTAGCTATTTACTCGTGACATTACAAGTGAAGTTTTATACTATACTTTGAGTCTCCTTACGCGCATAGATCTAGATCTAACTCTAGTGGTAGTAACTTTCAAATTAAATTTTATCTTAAATTAGCCAAACAAAGATTTATATAAAATAAAGAAGGTCTGAAATTATCTAGATCTAGATAGAATTATCTAGATCTAGTCTAGATTCTACGACTCTTTTGCTTAAGTCTTCTTATGTTAGTTTTTCTTGCTAGACCTAGAATCTAGATCTAATCATTAGCTACGCTTATAGTATAGGCCCGGAGCGAGCATTTCAAAATTACCATATTCCAAACAAAGATTTATATAAAATAATAAAGGTCTAAAATAGTTTAGTATATAGAAAATCATTATTATCTAATTCTAGATAGAAAATTATCTATATTTTAGATCTACGACTGAGCTATATCTAGAGTTTACGTCTATAATTTTGCACACTTAGCGGTATAGAAGCCGCGTATGAATCTTAAGTTATGCAAATAGGCCCCGCATCCAGCATTTCCTAATTAGCATATTTCATAGCTATACAAAAAAAGATTTATATAAAATAATAAAGGTCTAAAATAGTTTAGTATATAGAAAATCACTATTATCTAAATCTAGATAGAATAGAATTATCTATATTCTAGATCTACGACTGGTTTGCTTAAGTCTCTTTTTTTTTTGGATTGTATTTATAATCAATAAATATTTGATTTGACCTAGATTCTAGATCTAGATCTATAAATAAATAAATAACTTTCTTGGACAGATTGTAAATCTAGAGAAATTTATCGTAAAACTAAATGAAAAAGACAGTTGAAAATTGATATAAGTGTTGGAACGTAATAAATACAGCAAACGGACGTATTGTTAAAGTTATGACCGACAGAAAATTAGATTTGATTTGACCTAGATTCTAGATCTAGATCTATAAATAACTTTCCTTCGACAGCTGATCTTTAGATCTAGAGAAATTTATTGAAAAACTAAATGAAAAAAGACAGTTTAAAATTGATATAAGTGTTGGGACGTAATAAATACAGCAAACGGACGTATTGTTAAAGTTATGACCGACAGAAAATTAGATTTAGAACGCGTTAAACTTTTGAATGGGAACACAATTTTCTTCAATAGACGCCGCCATTTTATTGTACTAAAGAGTAAACAAAAACCTGTGACGTCACTATTCCCACAAAGTTTAGTCAAGGTTTTAACATTTTAAAAAAAAATGGGTTATTCTGCGTAGGAATAAATCAATAAATTAATTAACGTCTTTAAATAAATTTGTGATTAACAGTCTGTCTGCATTAAAAAATTATTCTCTACCTACATACTATTTTACAGCTTTCCAGATAGAGTCGAACATATCACAATAGTCGATCAGGCAAACAAACAAATAAATATTCAAACATGTAAACAAACTTGACTTTTAGTAGTATATAGATAGATATACGCATATGTAGCGTACCGTGTGGCCGAGAGGTAGAGTACTAGCTCGTTGAGCTGGAAGTCTCGAGGTCGATTCACGGAACAATTTACTCTTACATTTCACAAAGTGTGTAACGTTTAGCTTTCATGTGATCTTGATGGTTCTTTTTTAACACTAACATGTTTGCGCACATATACTTTAACCAGGAAATTAATTAATTTAGATTAACTTTAGTGCTCGTTCAGCTGAGGTAATTGAATTTTGTGACACTGTATATGTGTAATATGTCGAGTAGATGCCTTATAATCGATACATCGGCCAGCAATGAATCATATAGTTCAGGGGTTCCCAACCCCGTGCCCGCGGGCGCCATGGCGCCCGCCGAACGATTCGTATGTGCCCGCCTCTCACTATTCGACAGAGACAGAATTTTTTTCATAAACATTATTGAAAGGTTGAAGGGGATGGAAATCAAAAGTTTGAGGGGGGGGGGGGGGTGCAAATCGAAAATTTGAGGGGGGGGGGGGGGGGCGAGGTGCAAATCGAAAGTTTTGTCCCCGGGTGACGGGAAGGGTCGCTACGCCTCTGGAAGGAGTTTGTCGATTTAAAATAGATGGTGCCCGCCACCCTACCGATATTTTAGAATGTGCTCTGGAGTACAAAAAGGTTGGGAACCCCTGCTCTAGAGTAATAAAAGGTTGGGAACCCCTGATATAGTTGCTCAATTGAATCAGGTTTTCTAGTAATGGGACATAGGTAAATACCTAGATATTTACATCATGGAGTTCTTGTGAGTTTATATTATAATTTAGGCATTAGAGCGGCCTAGCGGTAAAGAGCTGGACTGCTAACCCGTAAGTCTAGAGTTCGAATCCGCATTCAAGTCTGTAGACTGTCCATGAGTCCACCCAACTCAGATGGGTATCTAACTCGTGTTAGGGAAAGTAAAGGCGGCTGGACATAGTGCTGACCACACTATCTCTTCATATGCCGAGGTCACAGAAACAAGTGAACTCTACTTCACTTGCCCTATAAATCGTCAGGTTTGAAAAAGGAACATTTTTTACTTTTAGCTTGCCAATTGGATATTTAATTTGAACGTTGCATTTTTTTATGTAGAGTTAGAAAACGGGCGAGGCACGATGACACATCTTCTTCTTTATTTTCGTTTTAATTTAGTGTTGGAAGGGATCACCTCCAACACAATTAAGTATACGTGTTATGCGATATAGAGGCCATTGACTCCGATTTCAGCCAGCTTTTCTTTTTTTATTTGTTTCCATAGCCTTTGTCCAACCAAGAAGGAACAACAAGACAGCAGCTGTTTGATTTTAGAGTTGTCTCTCCTAGAAGAGTGGCTGTCCCCAGCTATCGATCCTCATCTGCCCGAGGGTTCGAACTCGAGACTTTTCGATGACATATGATATCTAACTAAAGCTGATGTAGATATTCGTAATAAGAAATGTTTAAAAGTAACATTACTTTCGTTTGTTTTTATATGTGGCGTTTAAACATTTTTGCTCAAAGTAATTCATACTTGTTTTTTAGTGAATAAACAGTAGACAAATTAATTTTTGAGTTTTATACATTACATGAATAGATGAAAGAAGTAACATTTAGTTCAAAATTTTTCGTATAAACCTGCTGTTCATAATTTCTTTTCTATGTTAAGTAACTAAGGCGATGTTACAATTTTCTTCCAAGTATTGATTCTGCCAGCAATTTTACAAATATTTGATTTTTAAAATAGCATTCTGAAAAAAAGGATAATCCATAACAATTTTTATTAAAGTTGACTTAATCATCGCCGTAAAGAGGGCGGCACTTGTAGCTGACCTCCCATGCACATAATCTGTCGTTGCCTTTACATTTCTTGTGTTGAATTTCACACCTGGTTAGTGGGGGGCATGGCAGGGGGCAGGGAGGTCTGACGACGGGCTCAGGGGCGGAGGTACATTGGAACACGGATGAGCAGACGGGCGGGCAGGGGGCGTTCTTGTTGCAGGTCGCAGGCGGGCTGCACGCCAGCAGCTCACGGCATCGTTGTCCGGGGCGGCACCCCCCGCAGGCGTTGTCCGGCACGCACTGGTAGGTGGGGCAGGGGGTGGTGATGCACCGGATGCCGGTGTCGATGCAGACCGTCCCCTGGAGACACCCGCCGCAGAGGTCGACCTGGAATTTTAAGTCACGTGAGATTGTGTAAGTGCTTTGATTAGCTAAACAGGGTTAGGAAAAGTTATGTCTAGGACACATTCCTGAAAGACACTTGCCCGAAGGCCATTTGCCCGAAGGCCGTTGTCCCAAACGGACACTTGCACGAATCGGGCAATTGTCGTATTGCTGCAAGTGTCCATTCGGGCATTTGTCCCATTCGGGCATTTGTCCCATTCGGGCAAGTGTCCATTCGGGCATTTGCCCCATTCGGGCAAGTGTCCATTCGAGAAAACGTCCGGCTGCCCGGAAAAGTTTACTATCAATCTGCAACTAAGAGATTGAAATGAAATCTGAATGTACTCATTGCTTGTTGTTAGTAGGAAGCGTACGGTGTGGCCGAATGGTAGAGAACTAGCTTGCCAAGCAGGAAGTCTCGGGTTCGGTCCCACTACACTAAGTATAGTACGCTAACGTATAATAAACCCAATTAATAACTGACGTATCATTCAAAATGTATTAGCAGATTTGTAGACATACTTTTTTTTTTAACTCGTATATTTCAACCAGGTAAGTAATCAAGTGAAATTTATATTTATAGTCATTAAGCTTACGGAATAGATTGTGTGGATAATTGGTATTAGTAAAATATTCTTGGTTTTTTAAATCATGTAGCAGCAAAATGTATCGATTATTTTCCAATTAGATTAAATCATTCAAAGATAAAAATAAATAACTAAAAGAAACCATCATGTCCTTGGTGTCTGAAAGTAAAAAATGTATTTTTCTTACAGGTCGGCACTCGTAGATGTCACGGCATCCTGTAGGTCTAGGGCTGATGTCAGTTCCAGAAGCACACACGGTTCTGGTCAGTTGACACTGCTGACCAGCTGGGCACGTGCGTCCACACGGGTTCCTAGGCTGGCACTGGTACCTGCGGTTGTAAAATGTGGTTGTGACTAGGGTTGTTAGACTTGAACTTATAGGAAAATGCAACTCCATTTCAATAGCAAATGACACGATTGAAAACTGAAAGATGAAATGATTTACGGAAAGAAAACGGACACAAAAAAATGATGTACAAAGGTGATCTGACTAGGCTTTTCCCTTCTGTTGAATTCATCAGTGCAGAATGAAGTCTCCAATCATTGAATGGCATCAAATGATCTTTATGTCACGTCTGCACTTACCCTTTTGTTGACGTCGTCACTGACCATTTTTTATTGACGTCACCACCTAACTTTTTATTGACGTCATCATCTACCTTACGTTGACGTCATCACCTACCCTTTTGTCGACGTCAGCACACATTTTTCGTCATCCCTGCAGGTCAAACAGGGGTCGGGGGTACACTCGTACCTGACGTACGCGGGGCAGGCCATGCCAGGTGAACAGACAGGTGAAGTCCAGGTGCAGGTGGTACCTGATTAACATGCTCTAATTATTTTTATGTCTTTTACTAATGCGCCATCTAATTTATTTTTGTTTGAATTATCGTAATTTAAGTAATACAACATAAGGATTTAAATTATTTAATAGACCGTCGGTAAGAACTATTTGAGGTTGGTATATTTCTAGGAAAAAAAAAGTTAAACTAATATTGCGCATAGCTCATTGATTTCACGTGTGAGTGTAAAAACCGACAGGGACGATAGGTTACTCACCACGAGGGCAAGGGGTGGGGCAGGTCGGTGCTGGTGGCTGTGGACGAGTACACCGCCTGCCACAGCTCTGGCAGCACTTCTGGTCATCTGGGCAATCAATGTCAAGGTCACACCTTGCGCCACAGGTCAAGTTAGCACCCTGGTAGAATACAGACAAGAATCTTAGCGTAGATGTATGCTCGTTTTTATACGCTTACCTATTGTTTAGATTTTCCATTTTTGAGCTCATATTTTAAAAAATCAAACAATTTCTAAACATTATAATAAAATATTCCATGTTATAATTTAATATATAAGCCACATTTATATAGCTTACCAAAGCCTAATCGCTAACCTTAACCGAAACCAAAACCTTAACTGAATTGTTTATCTTAAATATACCATTATCACATGGAACCGCGTCGCCTAGGCTGCTAACCCGAAAGTCTTGAGTTCAAATCTGGGTCTCAAGTTAAGTAAAGTAAAGACGGCTGGCATAGGGCTGACCACACATTCCCTTCATACGCAGTGTTAAAAAAACACATGAACTCTACTTCATCTTCCCAATGGATTGCTAAAGAGCATTCTTTACTTTACTTGTATACCATTATCACCATACTAACACTACCCTCTCACCTAAGCTACTGTATACAAAATTCACCAAAACTTAAGTCCTAATACCGTGCGATACTCACAACAGGGCATACACCGGGCTTGTCTGGACTGGGTTCGATCCTACCTCGGCAACACGTTCCCTCACCGCGGCGGTCTCCAACACACATGGAGCCTCTAGGACAGTCGCGCTCGTGTCTGCATACCAAAGGGACATAATTCGATGTCGGCGTGGGGCCGTCAACAAGTAACACTTCTGAGTAGCCGCCCTTTCTGCAGTTTCGATCTAGCGCTGATAATGTAAATTTAATAAATCGAAATTTGAAACACTTTACTGTTAAGAAAACGCGTACCTATACGGGGTAGCCTACTTTGTAAGTAATATGTTTAATGTTTAAACTTTAAAATCGATTACAATCATCCAAAGTACTATAAATATTTTCACGTGAGATATTTTATCTGAGATAATTTGTCCACGGTATCACTTGTCCGTGACATGTTTTGTCTAGGATATTTTGTCTGAGATTATTTGTCATGTCACCGGTTGCGGCCTTGTGCTCAGAGTTTCTTCCAGGCATCTCTTCGGGGGGGGGGGGGGGGGGGGGGGGGGGTCAAGCCCCCCCCCCCCCCCCCCGAATTTTTTTTACCGCCCCCCCCCCCCCCCCGAACAAAATGAAATTTATATAATTTATATAGAAAATATAAACTTTTAACAGTGTCCGCCCCCCCCCCCGAAGAAAGTCTACCGCCCCCCCCCCCCCCGAAAATTTCAAGTGCCCCCCCCCCCCCCCCGGAGAAAAAAGTCTGAAAGAAACACTGCATGTGCTCCACAAAGAATAAAGCGGATTAAGTCAAGCAAGTAAATATCGCATGGCAACACATGTCAGACAAAATTATTGCAGGAACATCCCTCAGAGAAATTATCTTTTAGACAAAATAATCCATATGCTACATTGAATATCCTTGAGATCCTGCATTTTGTAGCAACATAGATTGTATTTGATTTCAACGTTATTTCCCCCCCCCCATCTCCATGCTTTCCCATTTGAAGCTACCACATCTCAGAACTATCAGCACAAGACCATACCCTTAACTTATACTTATACCCTTAACTTATACCATTAACTTATACCCTTAACTTATAATTTTAACTTATAGCTAAAATAAATAATTGATTATTTTCGATCATCAAATCTTTACCGTTAATCGATAAAAAACAAGGCTTTTTAAAAAAAAATTCATGATCTTATTCCACAACACTTTAATTAAATAGATCAGCGAACGTTACACTTTTTACATGACATAACAACAGACTATTCACTTTTAACGTGATATAACAAGCAGACGTTACACTTTAAAGATGACGTAACAAACAGACGCATGACATAACAAGCAGACTTTACATGTTTAACATGACATAATAAGCAGACGGTACACTTTAAACATGACATAAGCAGACGACACACATTTAACAAGACATAAACACCTTTCACCTAACAAGCAGACGTTAAAACTTTAACATGACATAAGCAGACGTTACACTTTAAACATGACAAAAGCAGACGATACACTAAACATGACGTAACAAGCAAACGCTCCCAGTTTCAGACAGCCGACGAAACACTGACAACCTGACACATAACAGACGACCCTCACGCCCAGGACTCGTGTCACGTGATCTACCTACATGCATCAATCAGGCTGGAATTGACACACTGGACAGTCGGCTCACACGTCTGACACTTGTATACCACGCGACACACGGTGGTCGCGCTACATTTGATGAACAGGCAGGGGTTCTCAATATCCACACGTGGGGGGTTGGGGGTGACTGGGGGAAAGAACAATAGTTTTATTTTTATTTTTTGCTCATGATCTAAATAATAATCTTACAATATTATTTTCTCGGCTGTGGAATTAATATATCTAGAAATAACATCTTTTTTAGCCGTCTGTAGGGCTGGTAAGTAGGTCATCAACAAGTTCTACGGCTCAATAAAACCTGTATGAGCCATATAACTGATTCAGGGGGGCGACACCAAGGCAAAAAATAGCAAAATAAATGGAGAAAAACTTGAGTGGGGATGCAAATTGAAAGTTTGAGGGGGGAGGGGTGGTGCAAATCGAACGTTTGAGGGAGGGGGGGGGGGGGGTAAAAAAATCGAAAGTTTGAGGGGGAGGGTGCAAATCGAAAATTAATTTGTCCGCGGGTAGGGTCGCTACGCCTCTGGGGGGTGACACCATTAAGTGCCGCACCGGGTGACACCCGACCTTGCTACGCCACTGAGCTTAGCTGTTAGCTGAGCAATGTTAAGTGACAGAGACGTGTCGATCTAATCAAACAATGGATTAGAGCCACAAGATTTCACTCACCAGGTGAACGTCTGGTGCAGAGAAATCCCCCACAGGCACTGGGGCAACACAGCTCGTCTTTAGCACAGTCCGCATCACGTGAGCAGAACACACCGCCACAAACACTAACCGTGTCGTTCTTGATCGTCTGGAGGTAAAAGTTCAGGAGGTTAAAGTTCGACGATTAGATAATCTTGTTTTAGTTAAAGTTCGGAACTAGTTTGTAAAGTAATGTTATAGCGACAACCATAAAAGTCAGATTACACATGGGACATAAGTATACATTCATTTATGAAGTCTGCGGTGCATACATTTTACTCGGTAATCAAATTAGAAATTTCGCACTGGTGATGTAGTGATCGTTTTTCGCAACTATATTTTATTTTAGACGAATTTTCAAAAGTATTGATTCTACAGTATGCTAAACCATAAAAAGAAAAAAAAAGAAAAACGAAAATCATCTGAATCTCTTGAAAGCTAAATGCACAGAAACAGTTATGTGTTTTATAATGTCTTTAAAATATGAAACTAACTGAGATACTTTTATTTACTTTAAAATACTTTATTAGTATTTAATCAGGTTTGCGTGTAGTATGTAAAGAAAACTATATGTTAAAAAACCGTATGCTCTCGATAAATCGCTACCACTCCATTTAACATTATGGATTTATAGGCTAATTCCTACAAGTGAAAAAAGAAGGCAAAAACAAAGTTTTAAAAAGACGTTTTATATTTAACATGTGACGATACATTTTTTTTCAATTCTATTTGTTAGTTTTTAAATATTACTGTACATTCAAATAGGAATTTATGGTAATGGGGATTAACCAGTTTTGCTTGAATGTACTGTTACATAATGATCAGTTTCAGTATGCTTAATGAGACGACATTTAACATGACAAAATTCACGACAGACGTTGACAGTAATCCAGTAGGTCTAACATTTTTTTAAGTTTGTTTCTTCAACACGTAAGTCTACGATTTGAAGCCATTGGGATCTCTAAACTTTAAAATCTGCCATCATCACTATCTATGTTCTCGTTTGTGCCCACGACACATGAGGCAGATGATGTGGAGTTTATCTGTTTCATCGGCATACAAGGGGATAGTGTGGTCAGCAGTATGCCCAGGCGCCTTTCTTTCCTTAACATACGTTAGATGCCCATAAGAGCTGGGTGGACTCAGAGACGCTTTACTTATTTGAGCCCGGATTCAAACAAGAGACTTTCGGGTCAGCAGTCTAGCACTCTACCGCTAGGCCACGCCATCCCCAAAAACGTCCCATAGTAATTACCAATAGTTATATGTAAAGCCAGATATCGACGAGTCAAATCTGCTTACCGGACACCTGCTGTTGGGTGGAGTTATAGGTGTTTGGCACCTGTCACCTGTGTAACCAGGTGGGCAGACGCAGTAGGGGGCGTCGGCTGGGGCGGTACAGTACCCCCCATTGTAGCACTTCACAAAGTAGCAGGGATCACGGTTGTCTAGTGGCGGAATATAACAATCGTACATTACAATAGAAGTACTACTTTAAAACAAAAAATTACATCTTAAAAATAAATATTGTAGGATTTTAAAAATAAAAAAAAAAATTAAATACGTACATTCCATTAACCGATAATAGCTAAGCTTAATAGGAAATTAATAAAGTAAACTTTTTAAAATGTTAGGCCTTCTATACCTACATTCACAGTTAGTACCGAAGAATCCAGGTGGGCACCTGCATGTAGGTACATCAGTAGGTGCTGTACAGGTACCCCCGTTTTGGCAGACAAAGGTTTGACAAGGATCTCTTGAAACTGTAGATAATATGTACGTTGTAATGGAAGTTGTATTGAGCCACACCTCACCGAAATGTGTAAGTGTATTTGTTTTTCCCACGTTTTCTTTAACTTGCTTTCTCTGTGTGTTTATTTGTTTGTCTTTCCAATCAAATCTTGCGATCGAAATTTCTGGCACTTCCCAGTTAGCTAGCGCGCTGAAATTTTCAGGGAAGCTTTCTTTTGGATGACCATTGAATATTCAATTGTTATTATTACTAAATTGATCAATGGAAACATTTTATTGAGCATTTTAGACCGCTATATAATCTATATATATAATTCTCCTCTGCTAGCCATTAGAAAAAAAACCAGCGACGCGTACCTCGCGCGCAGTGAAGCGAACGATCACATGTCGCCACAGGCTTAGGGGCAGAGAATTTAGCTTGAACCGAGTTTAAACTTACAGGAGGTAGGCCAGTTTGGGGGAGACGATATGGTCGAGTGGTTGGGCACACGATTGCTATCCCACTCGACACGGGTTCAAATCTATGTGTTCTAGTCAGTAACGTATTCAAACAACGTGTTTTTTACGAGTTGTCTTTTTACGAGTTGTCTTTTTACGAGTTGTCTTCGTTTACCCAAAAAAAGTGAAAAGATAAAATCGATAGCAAGATTTTAATGCAAACAAACAGACAAAGACTAAAAAGTAGAAAATAATAATCATTAAAAAAGTTTTAAAAAACCCACGTTTTCTGATTGAACTAAAAAGTAGAAAATAAATGCTATAGGCCCTACATCACAATAATGCAAGCGATCACTCTACTATAAGCGAGCAAAAACGTGGGGCGCCGTGATTTTCTTACAGTTTCTAATACTGTTGACTCTCTACAAGCTCCCTAATAAAAGTCAATAGTATTATCTAATCAATAGTAATATAACTTTTACTTCGGCGCCCCACGTTTTTGCTCGCTTATAGTAGAGTGATCGCTTGCATTATTGTGATGTAGGGCCTATAGCATTTATTTTCTACTTTTTAGTTCAATCAGAAAACGTGGGTTTTTTAAAACTTTTTTAATGATTATTATTTGGTAAAAGTTGTTAGAGTTTGTTAAATACGTGGATGTAAATTTGCAAAAAGTAAATATTCCGCTTAAGACCTAGATGTTCATTGTACATATGAAGTAGAGATAATTTGTTTCAAGACCTCTGCACATGAAGGAATAGTGTGATAATACCTATGTTCACCTGCCTTTAATTTCTTCAACGTGAGTTAAGTACGTATCAGGGATGGGTGAACACTCTGTTGACATGTAGCCGGTAACGAACTCGAGACTTTCGGGTTAGCACGCTAGCATTTAACCGCTAGACCACGCCGTACCATGTTTTTAACATAAGTTTCTATAGCATATTGTAGCATATTCTAAACAACAGAAGTAGACTACAAACTACGGCTTTCATCATCGTCATCATCATCATCATCATCATCATCATCATCATCATCATCATCATCATCATCATCTTCATCATCATCATCATCATCATCATCATCATCAACATCAACATCATCATTCCTTTGTGGCCCCTGGGGAGCAAAGGGCTCCAGCCACACATCTCCAGCGGACTCGGTTTTGGGCTGCCCCCTTTATCTGTGCCCATGTGAGCCCAGCTGTTTTCGCCTCTTCTTCAACCGTTCTTTTCTACGGCTTTAGTGAGGGCGAATAACAACTCACCAGGAAGAGGCTCTGAGCAGACCTTGTCCCCACACTTATTCCTGCAGCATTTTTGTGTGCCCCTACAGTTTCTGTCGCTGTGGCATAACGTCCCTCTACACAGGATGTCATGGACCTATGATGTAAGTAATTAAACTCATAAGTTGTTCAGTAACTTTATAAACTACTTGTTTCCATATTCACTATTAATTTGATGGTTGTAACATTTTGAAAAAATACTGTATATATTCAGACATCGTAATGTAATACAGTTTCACACACATATTTGAGTTTATTTAACACTTGTTACAACAGGACATGGCCTAGCTACATGAAAACAGGCTAATAAAGAAACAATAATAGTCTTATCGTGTTCAAATGAATCGAGTTGAAAAACCAAACCCTTTACCCAGCCCCCCTCCCCCCTACCACCAAGCCAAACCCCCATAAGGCCTACCATCACAAAACTACTGACAGTAGCTTTGGTCATCAAAAAAAGTACCAGAATTCCAGAAATTCTCTAACGATACTCTTTAACCAGGTGCGAATAAATAGAGGGGTAGGGGGGGGGGGGACGCTAGAAAAATGGGTTGGATAATATCTAAATAATAATGGACAGCTACTCAAGTGAAAGTTCACACCACACCATACTCAATGTCGACTGAGATCGGGTATAAACAAACTCAAATAAATCCAATACATGTTTTATATAGTAAATAGAAGACAACTAAACATTGAGAAGAGAGTGGCACATTCCCTGCAATGGCGATTTCCTATGTAAACAGACAACATGAATTCACTTACCGCTGGACACAGGCCAGGTTTCACGTCTACGACCGTCTCACACCGCTGGCCAGTGAAGCCTGCAGGACATTGACAGTAGGGGGCGTCAGCCGGGGCGATGCAGAACCCACCGTTGTAGCACCTGTACCGGTAGCACGGGTCGTAGACTGCAGGAAACGTACAGGTATTAAATCCAAATGTGTACTTCTAATGATACCGATAAGGTGTTATAAAGCTATCTTTACACTAAAACTTACCTTCCTTTTGTCAGAAAAAAAAGACTTCTCGTTACTATTTAGCACTGCTCTGCCGACAATCCACCAAATACAGAGGCGTAGCGACCCTTCCCGGCGCCCTGGGACAAACTTTCAATTTGGCACCCCACTTGGGAGCAAATTTTCAAATTACACCCCACACCATCAAATTTTCGATTTGACCCCCTCCCCCCCTCAAACTGCAAAAATGCAGCTAAAATGACATTTTAATTTGCTTTTACAACCCCCTAAGGTCGGCGCCCGGGGACATATGTACCCCCTGCCCCCCCCCCCCCCCCCCCATCGCTACGCCTCTGACCAAATATAAAGAAAAATCAAATGGCTCTATATATTGTTTTCATTAATAGTCTTTTAACCTTGAACAAATAAAAGACAATTTTTGAAACCTTAATAATAATTTTTACGAAGTGACTGTTCGGAAAAAGCGTTTAACCCCAAGCGCCCTCAGGCCGGCAGAAGATGCAAAACTCAACGACTTAAATAGCTGCGCAATCGGCTCATATTTAATACTATAAACAGCTGCGCAATGGAATCAATTCATTCTTTTATAGATGAGCAATAAGATCAAATTGATTCATTTGACAAAACTATCTGTACCGTGTGCGTGTGGCCGAGCGGTTAGAGTTCTAGTCTATAAGTTAAGTATAAAATATTTGTTTAATATCTATGTTAATAGCCTATTTAAATCTATGTATCGTGTTAATCCCTGTCATATTAAGACCAAAAAAAGGTTAAAACAGTGACAATATAGATGTTAAGAAAAACCAGGTACTTGTAGGGCTATGCTCATGCGCATCTTTTTCTTGCGAGAATCGGCTTAAGTTTTAAGGTCAGTTTAATTCTTGGCTACGTGTCTAAATCATTTTAAGTGCATCCGTTTCAACATTAATGTAATTGTGTATAGCTTTGATGACACAAATTACTTACTGTTACCGCCTGCCTGTTAAAAAAAAACAATTGTAAATAAGTCTACATTTTTAAATTTTGTAACTATCAACTAAAATAATTAAAATAAATTAATTATGTATTTCTAACATTATGTTCTATATATTGAAAGTACAGAGAATCTTATAAATAACAAAGTGTCAAGTAGATTTTAAATACATCAAGGTTTACCAACAAGCCATTGACACGCCATCCCTACCAGAAAGACTGAATACAGCGAGTAATGTCCATCACTTAGGACACACTAGTGGACACACTAATGGACACACTAGTGTACACACTAGTGGACACACTAGTGTACACACGAAACTCACCTCTATAAGAAATATTTCCGTGACCAGCGTTAGTAGCTGAAAGAAAAATTGTAAACTACTCTAAAATATGTTTACAATTAATAATAGGCGTCTTTAAAGGGAGGTAAGCAAAAATGTCTGATCCTTTTATAGACTACATCACACAATTAAGCAATGATTTGTATAACTCATTAGCAAACTTTTTTTTTCTATTTTTTTAAATGTTAGACTCAATACATTTTCTCCAAATTAATTGAAATTTTTATCGTAAATTAAAATATGTCACTTACAGCTGCATTAAACACACGGAGAAAGAAAGTCATCTTTCTTTTTGAAATATTTGTTATTCTCCTCGTCTATTTGCTTGTTGAAAGAAAATAAAATTAGCTGTTTTGTTTTTAATTTATTTTTAAACTAAAAAAAAAATTTAAACTAACATTTAAAAAAAAAATGTTATTAAAACTATCAGATCTAAAAATAATTCCAAAAACAAGTATTCTCCAATATTCCAAAATCTCCTATTCCAAAAATCATGTTTAGATTGATAACAAATGTTGTACCGGAAGAGATGAACGTAACCTTTGACTTACAGAACGTACAAGGGAAAGGACTGGGGGACAGCACTTCCCTGTGTAAAACAGTCGGGCTCCACACCAGCTACAGGACAGTTCACATCTGACGGCGCAGATATATGTATTCGTGGTGTATATCTAGGAGGGATTTCCAGTCCTTGAACTGCCGTCGGACGAAGACAAATGGTCGCAACAATCAAATTGTCTTTAGAGATTAACTATAGTTTGTTTAGGGATGACGCATGTTTTTTTTACGATATTTGAAACAATGATTCAAATGTAGATACCGCCCCCTTACATTACATTACCAATGCCTAAATATCTATACAGCTTGTTATTTTTTAAGAGCTTTCGTCCATTTTATCAATTCAAATCGAAAATTATATTTACGTATAATAAGGTGTACAGAAGTTGGTGTGTATATTCGTTACAAAGAAAAAATACGAGTGCACCTGTTTACCTGTGGGCTACTGTTTGTTCTATGGCAGGGGTCGGCAACCTTTTGAAGCGAAAGAGCCAAAAGTTACAATTTTCAAAATTTCCCTCGTTTTAAAGAGCCACTAACATTTTTTTATTTCAAATATTTTTTTTTTTTTATTAAGATTATTAGTATTTGTTCAAGGAGCTGGAGAGCCGCATCTAGATATCAAAAGAGCCGCATGCGGCTCGCGAGCCGCAGGTTGCCGACCCTTGTTGTATGGTAAGAGAGTTGGTACAATTTTAGACTAACTTATTATTGTATGTAATCAAGTATGTTTTGTGTTTTTTTTAATAAACATATGCCCCCCCCCCCCCCCCCCCGCGCGACATCGTTTATGTTATGCGAAGTTACCAAATAAATTAAGTTTTATGAAAAGTTGAACTGGATATTTTGGGAACTAATTAGAATGAACTGCTGCTCACCATTTTAAATTGGGTGGTTTTATCTAAGAAAATTTACGTATTTGAAAACTGCTGTGATAGTGGTGGTGGAGTGGAGGGGGGGGGGGGTTGGACACGGAGTGCACCTGAAACTTTAGGAAGGCGGACATAGGCGAATGTATATGAATTTGATATATAAATAATACCTTTTGTTAAATCGTATTATTTGCTTTCCTTAAAAAAATGTAAAACATAATTAAGAAAAAAAACGGTAATAAACTAATGTAACACCTCAAACAGTATGACTTCATTTGATTACAAGTATATAAAAAAACCTACTAGGGCAATGTAAGATCAATATGTGTCAGATGAAGGCCTATATCTGTCACAACCTGCGGGCCCCTTTACATCATGACTAGCTATTTATAGAATATCTATCATTGCTCAGTGTCGTGTTTTTCTGTAGGTGTGGAGCGGGGGGGGGGGGGGCGGGGTGGAGGGGGAGGGGGGGGGGGGGACAGCCACTCTTCTAGGAGAGACAACTCCAAAATTAAACAACTGCTGCCTTGTAGTTTGTTCGTGGTTGGACAAAGGCTATGGAAGCAAATCCAAACAGAAAAGCAGGCTGAAATCGGAGTCAATGGCCTCAATGGCGCATAACGTGTTGACACGTAACGCTTAATTGTGTTGGAGGCGTGGTCGAGTCGGCAAAAAAGCTCATGGTTGATAAATTCGAACAAAGTCTCGAGTTCAAACGCACTGGCAGATAAATCTCGATCCCCTTCAACACTAATAATTAAGAACGAAGAAGAAGAAGACCCACAACAAATGAGGTAAAAGTTGTAAATCAGGTTTAATCTATAATTAATCCACACAGTCTAATAGTAAGTGCACCAAATGTGACACTACGATGATTAAAACAATGGTGCATTCGTAATCAGCTGTAAAGAACCGAACCTGTATTGTATCTTTAATGACAGACAAATGAACACAATCAACAAGTGTATGTTTTAAATAAAGGAAGTGTTTATTATTATAAACTGTTTTACATCAAACTGGTCATGGAACACAATATAAAGCAGAAATTGATTTTATATGTAATATTTCTGATTTGTATTATTTATTATGTATTTATAATTCCTTAGTTTTACATTATTATTTCGAAATAAAACATTGCATACGCGCATGTGATTTTCAGTTTTGACTATTTAATAATTGACAAAATTGTCTCCTTTCCTCTGATCAACGTGTTAGCACTTGCATGACAATTGTAAATAGTACATTGTTCTCGTGATTACTAAAATCTATTATTCGTTAGATCTAGTCACAAAATAAAATCAAAGTTTACTTAAGAATTTTTAATTCATGTTTTTCTTAGGATTGGTAACTCCCATCTTCTACACAATAATTGTTGCGGTCTTTTTATGCCCCTTGGTCTTGACTTCGGCCCATCACGAGGTTATGTCCCTTGGGTCAGTCTATATCATGGTGTGTACCATCTCTGGCATACACGTACTGATAGGTTTGCAGTTTGGTGGCTTGACGCAGGGGCCTTCACTCATGAAACACGGGTTGAAGCAGGGAGGGTAGTAGGTCTGGCATGTTTGCCCATGGGGGCAGCCGCCACACGCGTCCTTAGCCACACACGTGTGGCGAGGGGTGTCGTCCCCGTGGTGTGGTGTGTGGGTGTGGGTGTTGGTTCCGTTAGACGGGACACAGATTTGGTTCTGGGGACAGCCTCCACATGGATCGGTTGGCTAGAAATGGAGAACAATAACAGGTCAGATAAAAAACAATTGAACTTTGAATGTCTAACTCCGAGGTAATTTAGATTTTTAGTAAACTTTAGGAACATTGTAGGTTTTTTTATTTGAAAAATAATGAATTTGGGCTACCTTTGCGAACTGATTTTATATTTAGGTTAAAAGTTTCCCTTTCAAACCTGACGGTCTATGGGGCAAGTGAAGTAGAGTTCACTTGTTTCTGTGACCTCGGCTTATGAAGAGATAGCGTGGTCAGCACTATGCCCAGCCGCATTTACTCTCCTTAACGTGAGTTAGGTACCCATCAGAGTTGGGTGGACTCAGGGTCGGTCTGCTGACTTTAACCGGGATTCGAACTCGAGACTTACGACTTAGCAGTTCAGCTCTCTACCGCTAGACCACTCCGTCCCAGTATAATTAGGTTACCTAGGGGTAACTAGCATTTTTAATCTACTTTTTGTGAAGACGGATGATTTTAGGCTTGCATGTGAATATTGTGGACAGAAGCCTAATTTTTCGTAAGGAAGAAAGTAAATTTTAAACTTGCTTTTGGACACACTGATGTATTAAGTTGTATTTGGGAAACAATGTAGGCAACACGTATAAAATGTCTGGACGATGAATAGTATCAGGTTTATCATCAAACATTCATGTCTGCTCTCAAATCAAAACTCAGAGCAAGCCGCAGACTATCAGCAACATACCAGCAGTGTTCCAAAAACTTACCATCACACACTGAAACTCGTGCCCGCACATGAAATCAAACGGCGGCCGTTGTGGTACTGTGGGGCATTTGGACACCTCACGGCACTGTTGTGTTGGTGGGCAGTTGGCGCAGGCGCCGGGCACACAGGTGGGCACTGTTGCGTCACACTGGAACCCAGGTGGACATCCGGTCGGCCTCAGAGCGCAGATGTAACCTGCGGTTAAGATAGATTTAGTCATTATACATTGCGACAAGATGGAATCAGTCATTATAAACTGCAGTCAAGATAGCATCAGTCATTAAAAACTGTAGTCAAGATAGAATCAGTCGTTATAAACTGCAGTTACAATAATAGCTATCATTAGAATGTCAAAAAAGTGCCTGGGGATTTAGTAAACAACATGTTGGTTACAATTTGTACACGAAACTGAAAGACCCATCGGCACATACAGACACAGTCGTTCAGAACGTATCGACAAGGCTATGAAACGGGCAGTGAATTAAGGCGGGCATGACCTACTTACAGGGCACTAAGGCGGGCTTAATCTACTGATAGGGCACTAAGAAAGGCAAAACCTACTAAGAGGGTACTAACTGGCAGGTCACTTACTCGGGCAGATCCTATACACAAGGTACTGAGACGGACATAACCTACTAGCATGACACTGTGACTGGAAGAACCTACCGACAGGGCACTGGACGTGGCACTGTGGTTGTTTAGCAACGTGAGGTCTAGTGCAGACGTTCTCCCCACAGCTCTGCAGACAACACTTCTCTTCTGCTGGACAGTCCGAGTCTATGGAACATGGAGCGCCAAGACAGGGTTCTCCGGGGTAAGTTGTTACCTGTGGGGGTGGAGAGGGGTGGGGGGCGAGTAAAACTTTATACTTATTGTAATAGTAAATCGGCGTAGAGACGAAGTATGTAGGACTGTGCGGAGCATAGATGTACATTGATGTTATCATTTGGTGTCGTCGTAGGCTACTTATAAAACATGTTGTATATAGATTTAACATTGAATCACTCAATATCCTAGGATTGCTCTTCAACTCACTCTATGAAATTATAACTTGGGTTGACAGTTTTTAATAAGTTGTTTTAAAGCTGAGAATAGAGACGTATTGCCATTTCTCTCAGGGCCGGGCAAGATTTAGCAAGGGGAACAAACTACACAGTATAACTATACTAAAATAAAATGTTAATTTTAAGTTTAGAAAGTAGTTACGATGGCGACTAAAATATGTAACGTTTTAGCCGAGAATTGGGTTTAATTTAGGTAGTGTTATATTTTATTTTTAAATCCAACTCTTAAAAATCGTTGTTTTTTTGGGGTTTTTTTTTTTGTAGTGCAGAAAAACATTACCGTTTCTGAATTTATCTTGCTGTAGAAACAATGTAGTTCTCGTTTTGTTTATTTATTAGCATTAAACCAACCTATGCTACGATAATTACAATGTTTAATATATTCAGACTGACCTGTGGGCAAGTTCCAGGTTTGCTGATCGTGTTGGTGCCAACCTCACATCTCTCGCCCTCAAACCCAGGTGGGCAGGTGCAGTAGGGTACGTCAATCAGGGCTGTACAGGTGCCGCCATTGTAGCAGAGGAACCCGGTGCAAGGGTTTTGTGTGGGGTCATGTGGATCTGTAAAATGGTGCAACCAATCATTCACGTGTTTTATGCAGGTTTTAGGGCTTGTTTACAAAGTTGCCTTCGTTAAATTTTCAATCAAAAATTTTAATAAAAAGACCTAATATGTAAAACTTATAATTTGCTAGCTTTCGAATTATGCTACTTTACGCAACAGTGCATGTTATAGTGTAACTGAATTATTTTTTAAATAGATCAAAACTTACGCAGTTGAATGCCCTGTAGAATATATGAAAAAATTAATATGATTAAAAAAAGTAAATTTTCTGTTCTAAAAGTTTAAACGAGTTCATACATAATTTAACATTTTAAAAAAATTATATTTTGAATAAACTATTTACAACGTTACTGTGGACATGTAAATAGATGTGTAATAGTTTTTTTTAAAAACATTTTCAGATGTATGAAACTTTAAGAAGTTATTATCACGTGTTTCTTCATGAAAGTCTATCCAAATCATTTATAAACCATGACTGATGAATTCTCTTTACCTGTGTTGATGGTGTAAGGAACAACACACAGACAGCCTACGAAAAAAAGGAAAGGATAAGAAATAATCGATATAACCAATAAATATTACAACTACACAGGGTAAAATTTACAATTATTTATTTATGTTTTTTACGATATTAAATAAGAATAACAATTTTTTTAGAAGATCCTTCCGTCTGTTTTATTTAATATTGCTAATACACTAAACAAAATATAGCCTATAAGTAATGTAAAATAAGGATATATACATTTCTATTCGAAAATTAAATAAGAATAACATTTTTTTTTTCAGAATAGCCTTCAGTCTATTTTATTCAATATTATTATTACACTAATAAAAACAACAAAAAAAGCTTGTAAGAAATGTAAACTATATACATTTTGTATTAAAATAATTGTTATACAACGTGAGGTTTTCACACCTACCGAGAAGAATGTAAACACACAGCTAAACTCCATGATCCTGAAAAAACACATGTGTTGAGATGTAATGATAACGTATGTATTCCTTAGAACATAACAATACAATTATAGTCAATTTGCTAATTTAATTGCTAATTAAAAATTAAATAATTTTAATCACTAAAAATTACATTTTAAAAAAAAACTATTGTTTTTACAAACCAGAATTTTTTAGTGTCGTATTAACACCAATAGGAAAGACGTAATTTAACGAAACAATTCAACATTTATATACTTAGCTATAGCAGGCAATTTATGGAAATGACGTATGGTAATTTAGCTTTAAATTAGCAGCAGGTAGGAAACAATAAGGATTACGTCATGACTAATTACTAATTGGACATTGAAATTATTTCACAAGTTCCGCGTTTCCTTCCTGCTTGCATTATTAATGAGAAACAACAATTTGTCTCAATTTGAGAGAGCGCTTTTGTAATGTACATCTCATTCAGTGTTTCTTCCACACTTTATTCTTTAGGGGGGGGGGGGGTGCAGGGCACTTTACAGTTTCGGGGGGGGGGGGCTATCTAAAATTTTCGGAGGGTGGACACTATTAAACGTAAATATTTCATTTCGTTCGGGGGGGGGGGGGGGTGGTAAATTGGGGATGCGATAGACTGCCTTGGGGAGGGGGGGGGGGGGGAAGTGAAGCCTGGAAGAAACTCTGCATTCATTGATAGTATAAACTGAAACGTTATATAAGGCAAGTTGGCTCCTTTCTCAAGGAATTTAAGATCAAAAGTTGTAATTTGAATACTTTACCTTAAAACGCATTACACACACACACACACACATTCTCTACGTGGACACCGTCACGACGCAAGCCGACCATCTAACCCTCCTCCAGCCCCCCCCCTCCCTCCCCCCGAAATCACAAATTGTATGAATTACTTATAAGAAAAAATAAATATTTTTTTTTGTTTTAATTTATATAAGTTTGCTATCGAGATTAGTTTACTTACACCAATATGTATACAGTTTGCTCAACTTGAATATTGCTTAATGATGTGTTAATAACATAATATGTTTAGGATACTCGTTAAATCTTACTTATCCTTTCTTGTGATAAACGCTGGATGTAATAACTTAACACAATCCTCTAATTACTCTCATTAATTAAATGCAGTGTTCGCGACATTACCTTTTTATTTATTTAAATACATCCCTACCAGCCTACTTTGGTTAAATTACAACAACCTATTATAAAATGCTTACAAATAAGGTTTACATAGGAATTAATTTATGCACAGGTAACTATGATACAAAGGTAAAACGAAAGTAGCCTTGAGTTCCAAAGTCTTTAAAAAAGTACAGGTAAAAATAACCCCTTCCATTAACCTTCCATTAACCTTACACTAACCTCACCTTAACCTCTGTCACTGTGTACTTCCGTCTAGGTGGTAAAAAGCTTTAAACGTGCTAGAATGTTAAAACTTATGATAATGCATGTGCTAATTGTTTTGTTTTGTACATTGCTTAAAATGTATTGTGGCTTAGTTCAGTTGGGGGGGGGGGGGGGGAGTGGGGCAATTGAATTTTTCGGGGGGGGGGGGGGGGGCGGGGCGGACTAAAATTTCCGGGGGGGGGGGTGGGGCTGACACTGTTAAAAGTATATATTTTCTATATAAATTCCATTTAGTTAGGTGGGGGGGGGGGCTGTAGACATTCTTTGGGAGAAACTCTGGGTGAGTTGTTCAGAATCAGCCATCATAAGATTATAGGAAACCAAATATGAATCTCTGTTCAAAATAGTAGAGATGCTAGAGTACACTCAGTTCGAACATATACCAAAGCCTAAATTGGAAAACAGGTGGCACAATCGCTTTATCGTTGCAATCGATACGTTATTTTAGAGCAACTGCTAAGTAATTTTTATTGTGCTCAATGCGTGATTTATTTTACAAGCATAAATAATATACATGTTGGTAAATTATTTTAAAAATATATCGTGCTAATTACATTTGGTTTCATTATAAAATGCATATACCCGTTATGAATCATATTGATATTAATTTTTAAAAAGTGAAACATTTAACTCAACTTAAAGTTACCCGAAAATTTCCAACTTGCCATACTAAATTTAATCTTTTCAGTTGTCTTATACAGTTAGTTTCTGCTAAAATAGTGGTCTATAAATGATTTTCTTGAATTGTGTTCTCTAAAATTACTTTGTAATTATTCGATTTAAAAAAAAAGTTCATTTAGACTACACATTCTTTTGCTTTCGCTTTTGGTTTGTATGACACATTGTAAAACATCTACAAATGAGTTGCTGTAGTTAACAGCAAGCTGGTGATGTTGCCGGTAGACGGTTTTACCACCAAGTTAATTAATTATCGTCTTGATGTCATTTATGCCTGGAGAACCGTACGTGGTAAAAATCTAGATCAAGGCCACACGGCGTTATGTATAAAATAAAATCTCTTTACATCAGCACATGCTATAGCTCTATGCTCACTGAAATTCTATCGTAAAATACAGTTAATCGAAATAAACAGGTAAATATATATTGTTCCGTGTTGCTTAAATAAATTATTCTTGATTGTTTTTTTTTTCAAATAATATTTCATGTTTAAGACTGCGATGCAATGTAGTTATACATTATATTTTTATTTTGCAGAAAAATGACAAGGAGCCCAGCAAGTTTACTACTGACTGTGAGTTTCAAACAGTTTAATTTACGACTTTGTATGATTAGTATTATTGCGATGACGGCTTTTGAATGATAACCTGATTTGTTTCACTCACAGATACTAGGATCTGTAACAGTGACATGTGAAGCTATATCAAGAGTAAGTTTTTAAATATTTTTTTTAAACAAAAATAAAAATTTAGATACACATCCGTTTCTTTATTCTCGATATATACAGCCGTAGTTTAGCGAACAGGACAGTTATAAACTTTCCTGAGCATGAATAATACTTTGAAGCTTTGATCGCATTACGTCCTATTGACTAGATTTATAACAATTAAATATCAATGTGTTTTTGATAGTTTATTGAGGACGTGGTTGAATTATATTTTTGTAACCGTGTATTTTTTTTTATCTAGGTAACAACGACTCCACGTAAGCAATTAAAATTTTTCTGTAATATTTATGACAAATCAGTGGCGTAGCCAGGATCGTCTCAAGGGGGGGGGGTCCAATTTTTACCCGGGGACAAACTTTCGATTTGCACCCCCCCCCCTCAGACTTTTGATTTACACCCCCCCCCCTCAGACTGTCGATTTGCACCCCCCTCAAACTTTTGATTTGCACCCCCCTCATACTTTATATATATTTATATATATATATATATATATATATATATATATATATATATATATATATATATATATATATATATATATATATATATATATATATATATATATATATATATATATATATATATATATATATATACCGAGGGGTCTATGGGGGGGGGGGGGGTTGTGCCCCCCCCCCCAACCTGCCTACGCCACTGTGACAAATTGCACAAAGTAGTGCTTTATCAAAAACGAAGCTTATAATGTTAACATTAGTCATTAATTCATTATATTACGATTTAAAAAAAAGTAGTGCTTTATTAATACGAAGCTGACATTTATAAGGTTCTCAAAACATTTAGCCCATGGACCCTTTATTGAACAAGATTAACAAAGTATTGTTTTGAAACAAATATAATGTTTGCAACAGTTTGGTCCATTTATCCATTACATAACAAATTTTACAAACCTTTTACACAACAGTTTTTACAAAAACTATAATATAAATCTAGTCTCACAAAAGCTATTATATAAAACGTTTAACAAAAAGCTACCGTAAAACAAGTTTAACAAAACTATTAAAAAACAAATTTAAGAAAGAAATGTTTCGATATAAATAAATCTCACGTGCATAATGTTTGCTAAATTTTGATACATCTATCCATTATTTAATAAATTTTAACAAAAACTAATATTTAACAAGTTTCACACAATTTATTTTATAACAAGTTTAAGAAAGTAATGCTTTGAAATAAATATAATGTTTGCAAAAGTTTGGTCCATCTATCCGTTATGTAACAAGTTTAAGACAGTAATGTTTTGATATCAATATAATGTTTGCAAAAGTTTGGTCCATCTAACCATTATGTAACAAGTTTAAGAAAGTAATGTTTTGATATCAATATATTGTTTGCAAACGTTTGATACATCTATCCATTATTTAACAAATTTTAACAAAAACTAATATTTAACAAGTTTCACAAAATTTATTTTATAAAAAGTTTAAGAAAGTAATGTTTTGATATAAATAGAATGCTTGCAAACGTTTGATACATCTATCCATTATTTAACAAATTTAAAAAAAAACTATTTAACAAGTTTCACAAAATTTATTTTATAACAAGTTTAAGAAAGTAATGTTTTGATATCAATATAATGTTTGCAATAGTTTGGTCCATCTATCCATTATGTAACAAGTTTAAGACAGTAATGTTTTGATGTAAATAAAGTTCAGGTGTACACTGTATCCAATAGTCTGGTCTATGGACCCCTGCAGGAACTTCCAGTGCCAGAACGGAGGTTTCTGTATCGCACCTGCGGACTGGCCGTACTGCTCCTGCCCACCTGGATACACGGGCCGCTTCTGTGAGGTCAGCCTGATTAAGCCTGGGTCTTGCCCCAAGGTAAATAATAGTAGCTCACGATATAAGTTCCTGCCCACCCACAACAGTTTTGTTCTTACTCATGCCCTCCTCTTTTTTTGCATATTGTATGCAAAAAAATAATTAATTTAGGAGCCTTTTATCCCCAACCGTATGTCAGTGCCCAAAAGTCTGTGTTCGAATCAGGGTTCCAGTCAGTAGAACGTCCCTGAGTTCTCTCAGCTAAAAGGGTATCTAACTCTCGTTAAGGAAAGTAAAGGCGGTTGGGCTTAGTCAGTGGCGTAGCGACGTCGGGTGTCACCCGGTGCGGCACTTACTGGTGTCACCCCCAAGAGGCAAGAGGCGTAGCGACCTTTCCCGGGGACAAAATTTTCAAATTTTCGATTTGCACCCCCCTCAAACTTTCGATTTGCAACCCCCCACAAACTTTCGATTTGCACCCCCCTCAAACTTTCGATTTGCAACCCCCCTCAAACTTTCGATTTGCACCCCCCTCACGTTTTTCTCTATATATTTTACTATTTTTCCTTGGTGTCACCCCCCTAAATGATGTCACCCGGTGCGGTCCGCACCCCCGCCCCCCCCCCCTCGCTACGCCTCTGGGCTTAGTGCTTACCACACTATCCCTTCATATGTCGCGGTCACAGACACATGTGAACTCCACTTACCCCAAAGACCGTCAGGATCGAAAGTAAACTTTACTTTTACTTTACTTAAATGTCAGTGCACAGCTGTACATGCACACAATTTGTATATTGTTGATGCAATACGCACGCTGTATTCATATCAAGGTTACCAAGTCCTTTACTGGGAGTAATTAGGCTAGAACAATTTTGCATAAAAAGACCAGGATTGGGAATACCAGCCGATTTTAAATTTTTTAGTCGATAAATCATGATCAAACTGTTATCAATAAATCCTTGTAATTTATAAACGCTTTATAGCCTGAATATGTAATTAGTATGTATTGACATAGAGTCTCTCTCACGAATATGCAGGTGACATTTATCCTGTTCAACCCGACATGCAGCAGCCCTGTATGTCAGGCTGACCCCGACTGCCCAGGTGAAGAGAAGTGCTGCTTCAACAGCTGCGGCTCCTTTGTGTGTACACCGCCGCTGGGTCTGGTGCTGACTCCTACATGTGTTGGAGGGTGCCCTTCTGGTATGTGTTTCTTACCTGTACTTACATTTCTCGTTCAGCAGTAGCATTTATCAGATTATGACTGTAAATAACGGTGACCGGAAAGATACGCAACAGAAAACAAATTTGCGCAATTGCATTTTGTTATCTAACATCGAGCATTGTTATACTGCACGTGACAACATGTCCATTGTAGCATAATAAAATATATTTCAGAGAAATGTGCCAAAGTGTATAAATTATAATTAGTTTGTATTTGCGTATGTTTCTGTTTGCACAGTTTTCCGTTGCGCTGTTTTCTGGGAACCGTAAATAACCAGTGCATTGCGAAAAATCAAGTTTTCTTTAGACATTTTCTACTCGGGGATGGGGGGCGGGGGGCGGAGGGCTTAACATTTCTGGGAGGGCAGATATTGAATTGGTTAACGTGTTTTTTATTTTCAATATAAATTATTATAAATTTTTTTTCGTCCTAGGGGGCTTGCTTGGGGGGGGGGGGGTGAGTGGTGGACGTGCTGCAGGTAATGTGGCACTTAATAAATGTATATACAAATTTCACACGATTGCGTCCAAACGGCATACACTTCTATATATCTTCGCAGGGTTCAGTTGTGTATTACAAACCCCACCCTGCCAACCCGGGTTCAGCTGTCTGCAGGCCCTGCTGCCCATGTGTGTGCCAGACGGCTGCGCCAACTGTAAACCTAACGAAGGTTGTCGTCTGGTCACCAGGTGCAACAACCAGCCGGGTTGTGTTGACAAGTTTCGATGTGTCCCGGTAAGTAGAGAACCCGCAAAATTTTGAGCGAATCAGATTTGATGTGGTGTTCTAGTCCTTAGACACGTTTTGTGTTGACAGGTTTCGGTGTGTCCTGATAAGTACATACAGCAAGTGTGTGTGGGGGGGGGGGGGCGGTTGTGTTCGGAGACCTCTGAAAACTATTTCTAACATAAAGTAGGTACTCTGTGACGTTAAACTGACTAGAACCCGGATTCGAACTTGAGACTTACTGGTTAGCAGTCAAGCGCTTTATCACTAGGCCACGCCGTCAACCTACTATCAATACGTACCTACTATTTTAAAGTGAAGTAAATAATCCTCTTTAGACCTACCGATCCATATGGTAGATGAAGTAGAGTCCATGTGTTTCAAAAACTCGGCGTATAAACGGAAGGTGTGGTCAGCACTATGCCCAGCCCTAAGTTAGGTACCCATCAGAGCTGGGAGGACTCAGGGACAGTCTACTGGCTTGAATCAGACACTCTAGACATTCGTGTTAGCAGTCTAGTACTCTACCACTAGACCACGCCGTCCCATACTATCACTATGTATTTACTATTTACTTAACTTCCTATCCTGATCTAGAAGAGAGACCCGTGTGGAGGCTGCCGACCGAGCCAGGTCTGCCTGAAGGTCAACACCACCAGCAACCTTGAACTTGACGACGAGGTGCGTCACGTATGTGTCCCCAACAACCCGTGTGGGGGGTGTCCACCAGGGCAGACATGCCAGGAGTTTTTCCGCCCCTGTATTGACCCCTGTAGGTTCAGGGAACCCCCCTGTACGCTCACGGTCTCGTGTTCTGAGTTCACGTGTTATCCCGACCCACGGGCGATTGAGTAGTGTTGACCACGCCCATTCATTTCACATTGTCAACATTTTCTCGCACAACTTTGTTATATTTCAACTTAAAACACACATTTTCAGCAATGTTTTTATTAATTGCTTGTATGTTAATAAGCCCAATGCTATCTGTATTTTATACGTTTATTTTGCTTTGTTGTACAAAAGAAAAAAAAAATAAAGAAATATATTAAACTCAGCAAAATTTTGGTTTTATTTTTGAGTGCAGTACTGTGCTAATATTTTTTGTGAAAAAATGTTTATTTTTTTTTTTTTGGGGGGTTTTAGAGCTTACGGAAAAACTGGACAGGTCTAACTTTACACAAAAGCATTTAATTCAACTTTGTATGGGAGGACACTAAACAAAAATACTTTTAATACGGTATTTTGTGGATTTTAAGGTGCGCGGACCTTTGACCACAGGTGCTTTGACCATAGGGGGTTTGACCATAGGGGGTTTGACCACAGCGGAGCTTTGACCATAGGGGCTTTGATATAGTGCTTTTATAGCACATCTGTCATTTAGTTAACCATTTTATGTATTACATCTTTGACTATATTGTTGGCAAGTTTTGTATAATTTTTTATCCTTTTATCCTTTATATATGCTATGTATTTTCAAGTACATCTACATTATTTATTTGTGAAAATTGTTATATGTCGCATTATTTGTGTTTCATTTATATTTAAAATAAATCTATGAGGCCTAGCACCAGCCTTTATGTGGAGACTAAAATATAGTTCTTGGCTTTTTTTAAAATACATGTTAATTTCTATTAACGTACTCTCAGGAAACATGTATAAAATCGTGTTAATTGTATCACACCTATGGTCAAAGCCGGACGCGGCGCTTGTGATCAAACACCAGTTGATAGACCACCTGTGATCAAAGACCCTCTGCTGAGAAAACACCTGTGGTCAAACCCCCTATGGTCAAACCCCCTATGATCAAACCCCCTATGGTCAAAGCACCGCTATGGTCAAAGGCCCGCTGTGGTCAAACCCCCTATGGTCAAAGCCCCTATGGTCAAAGCTCCGGTGTGGTCAAACCCCCTATGGTCAAACCCCCTATGGTCAAAGCACCTGTGGTCAAAGGTCCTAGGACCGATTTTAAATATGTAGACGTCATAGACGTAAGATGGGGGAGGGGGGATAACAGTCATAGATAGATACATTTGAGTTTTCATGGCTTTTCAACAAACTGTCAACGATTTTAAAAACTATTAATCACGACACAGTCAAACTTGAAAACATCATTGCAAAATTGTACGATAAGTTCAGAATCCTATCAAAATAAACATACGTTAAAAAACAGTCATTTTAATAATATTATTGGTTTTTTTTTGGTTTTTTTAAATAAGCATAATTGTATTATCGCCGCTCAGTATTCTATTCTTAACTTGTAATCGCTCTCAATAAAAAAATACTTTTTTTAAACTGATAGTAACACAACACACCATAAGCTTATAATTAAACATTCACTTTATGCTAAATACATTTTTATAAACAAAAACAAAAACCAGCAAATGTTTAATTAAGATCACATTTATTACAAGCTCTAATTAGTCACTAATTAGTCGCTGTTGAGTAGTGCCGGCACACACGACCACTCCACACAGGGCCCAGCAATGTTACAAGGCTCAGGCACCAATGTGCAGGGGTCAGCGCACGGCACCGTGACCATCTCACACTCGTACCCGGGCTGACACCCCCCACACGGGTTGTTGGGCACGCACACGTGACTTGGTCTGACCAATAGAACACGGTCTCTGATTGGTTGGTTGACCCTGAGACAGACTTCGTCCACACGACATCCGCCACACTGGTCTTTCTGTAACACATGTATCAGGTTTTTATTGTATAACATATCTAAAATAAACCAGGAGTGATCTCCCCTAAACTTTCTCGAATATTCTTATATAAAATAACAGGGGATGGGAACTCGGGCTATAGACATGATTTTTAATCCATTTTAAATACTTAGTTTTAAAAATAGAATAAAATCTCGTAGACAAAAGAATTGCACACCAAGTGAACGCGAAATAAAAAAGTGCATAATAGTGCGCAATATTATTAGTACTTTAAAAATTTACATTAGTTTTTTGAGAAATCGGAAGTAGCGTAAATTACTACTTCCGGTCAACGAAAATTACTCAAAATTTAACAGAAGGTAGAGAATTAGATCTTTTACTTACATGTGAAATTTGATTTATTTATCTGAAATAGTACTCAAGTTATAGGCTTTTGAAAAATTCAAAGTAGGAAAAGTACCACTTCCGGTTATCGGAAAGCGCTCAAAAGTTGATACGGATCTACGATTTTGATAAAATACTTATATATGAAATTTCATCAACCTAGCTGTAACGGTACTCAAGTTATCGTGTTTACACACGGACACACACACACACACACACACACACAGACAGACAGACAGACAGACACACAGACATACGGACAAGATTGCAAAATTATGTTTTTCCGTATCAGTGAGGTGTAAAACGTCGAGATTTGTAAAAATCTCGATTTTTTTTTTTGCACGATTACAAGACTTTCTCTATACTTCGTATATACGAGAAACTAAATATAACATTCAAATAACACAATGCATAACTCAAACATAACGCAAAAGAAAAAGATCGGTATTTTTTTTGCCGATTTACAAACAATTAACTTTATCTCAACCTAGACTTAGTGAGCGGAGATAAGTGTATCTTATTCTCAATGGAATAATTAATTAGAACTTAGCTGTAACTAGATGAAAACTTGTTCAAGAAGGAATCACACTATCTTAATAGTTGGACGCTGATGCCTAATCTAATTAAAATTTTAATAAAAGTTATCAATTGATAATTTACTATAATAATAGACTTAATAATTCAAATACAACTCTCTTGATCGCGAAATTATATATTTCGTAATAGTAGACAGGGTAACACTCGTTCTGCTCATTAATACTATAAAGTTGAGGCTTAAAATTCCCTGTACGTACTCCTGGTATAAAATAGTGTTTAAGTACTCACCGGTTTACATGTAAACTTCTCTGTACATGGCGGAGCTAGGGACAACATAGGAAACTGTTGAAATGGTCTAGTACAGGTTGTAATAGGTCGACATTCTTCATTAGGTTTACAGGCTAAACAACCTACAGGGATGCAGGTTTCCTGCAAGGGGCAAATAAAGCCAGGTGTGCATTGTGCAGGTGATACCTGACAGGTGTAACCTGTGAAAGAAGAAACATAGCGTTACATGAGTATGTAATTTTTAATTCGAATGTTGTTGTTTTTGTTTTTTTTTGTATGTTATTTTATTTAACATTACGCTTTATATATTTGATTGAGAAGTTAACCAAGCATTGGATAAATAAAAATTTAAAAAAAGGATTGGATAAGACGTGCGGGTTAATTTTTAGCGCAATTTCCATTCTGGAGAATTGCGTTTATTAACCCGTCATTTCTGGAAGTATGAATGTATGAATGTATGGATGAATGAATGGATGTGTGTCCGCAGCTTTAAGTCGTATCTCCTCCTCAACGAAGCAATATAGAGGACTAGTTCCAAAAGCAATTATGTTAAGCAAGTTACGAGGATGAACAAAGGCCATAAAAATTCCGAGTTTCTTTCATGGATTTCCCGGAAAAGCCAAAAAAACTCGAAAAAATGCAGTTTTTGGCCCATATCTCGGCTACCAGACCACTTAGCGACTTGAAACATGTACCAATCGATTTCTGCCATAATTTAGAACAATATTGCCGAAGAAAGTTTTCAAAAATATCCTTTCGTTCGGTCACAAAAAATTTTTTGAATTAATTAAAATTTGGACCGAATTAGTAGGCGTTTATCCAACCACACCACACGCGACATCACGTTCAATAGCTGCGCCATCACGTTCAATGGCTGCGCCATCACGTTCAATGGCTGCGTCATCACGTTCAGTAGCTAGGCGCGCAATGGTTTTTAGTCAGGTAACTCTATTGTAAATAAAACATGTATTTTAACCAATGAGTTTACTAACCCTGCTATTGATTTACGCTACGACAGAGCTATTTTTAGATAACATAAGGAAATTGCGCTAATATTGTCACTAGACTTTTTAATTACCTTGTTTTTTTGGTCCAAAGCTAAACAAAACGATAATATTCTTACTTATAATAAACGAAATACGTTTTTTTTTCTTCATTAATGTGTGCACTTTTTTTCACAACCATACAGCATTTTTGTAATTAGTCTTAGATTGAACAGATCATTAGAACTAATTAATGTCGATAATCTTCACGCTAAGGTGCTTAACGTATTCATCGTACAGTATTAAACTTATCTATCGAGTGACATCAATGTCATTAAAACTTTTTGTGTGGTCACCTTTAGGACAGCCTCTAGAACACCCTGTAGGTGGTGTCGTCACTGGTGTTGTACAGACACCTTCGCCGCAGTTATGTAGACAGCACTTCTGTATGTCAGGACAGTCGCTGTCTGCAGTACAGACAGCCAATGGGCAGCTCTCGACTCGAAATTGTGGCTCGCGCTGTTAAAATAAAATCATACTATTTACAAATATAACATGAAAATAAAAATTCTAAATAGGTGTTATACCGCTATACAGTAGGCCTAAGTAGACAAATATTTATATTTTTTTGTAATAATTTAAAATAATGCGAACCTCAAAATGTTAACATTCCCCCCTTGGGAATTAAACCCTTAACTATTTTCATTAATAAATTACATTAAGCTTAAAGCAATAACATAATAAGAAAATCATTACAAAAAAATTAATGTGTGTTTTAAAATAATATCGAATTGGTTGAAATAAAAGAAAATTAATAACTTTTAACTGTAACCATAGGTTCATGTGCCAAAAAAGGTTTGTTTTTTTAATGAATAACTGTGTAGTAAGTCTGATTTTGTATTAGAGGTAGCTAAATCAATGGTTTCCACGCAATCGGAAAACTGCGCAACGTAAAACTGCGCAAAGAGTATAATGCGCAAATACAAATTCATTCTTTTAATACACTTTAACTTTGTTATAATTCGCGTAAAAATGTTGCCATTATTTATTTATGTCTATAAATACACTATTTATGAAAACAGAAATGCCCATGCGGACGGTTCATGTGCAGTTTTCCAGTTTTCCGATGCTCATCTTTCCGGCCACCGAAATCACTTGAGTGTTGAGTACACTACCTAGAAGTGAAAAGCTTGGTTAAAAATGTAATACATGAACCCAACCTTGGGACAGGTGCCAGGTTTAATCAAGTTCACGATCTCTATCTCACACCTGTTGCCTTCAAAGCCAGGTGGGCACACACAGGTGGGTACATCTAAAGGTGCTGTACACCTCCCTCCGTTAAAGCAATAGGAGTCACTGCAGTCAGGAAACCATGGGACTCGCGGGTCAATGGGCACTGGATGGACAGCATATTACATGGTTTAAGGTAGGTGAACTAGGTGCAGAATGTAGAATGTAAATTATAGTCATTAGGTTAGTTAGAATGCGATATAATCAGTGCTTGCCGAGGTCACAGAAACAAGTGAACTCAACCGTAAGGTTTTAAAGGAAACGTTACTTATAATCAGTACTTACATAGCTGTGCAATCTGAAAAAAAAAGATGTGCACATTAGGAATTACAGGTTATTAGGAATCACAAGCTTACAGAAAAAAAAAGAAATTGTTTAAAAATTTGTTTTCGTCCTATGTTATCTTTATCTAAGCCTGTTTTGAAATAAAAGCTGATTACAGAGACTGACTTACCGTAGTTTTAAAATAACATAACCCCACAAACACACCAACCTGTTGTAGAGAAACGTTTATCATGTTATTTAAAAGTGAATGTCCGAATCATAATGATGAAATAATTCACTTTAGCGTTAAAATATTCAGCACTGTATAAAGCGACACATTTTCGTTTTTGCGATAGGACTTTAAAATGAAAAGTGTGTATAACCACATTTAGCGAAACATGATTTCGTTAAAAGTTTTTTTTTTTTTAAAAAGGTATAAAACTATAAAGTTTATACTTTTGTTGAAGACTTTTTTTGTGAGCATCAATTGTCTAATTGTTTATCAAACAAAAGTAATGAAAGTGAGTAAACTAAATCTCAACATTTAACTCACCATTTGAACCAACTTACAAAGAGAGACCATCTTTCTAATGGATAAAAGAAATAACATATAAACACGTGTATATATTAAATCTGATAAAGATATACACACTAATCACATAATAATTTAAACATACCTTATATTATATTTTAAAGCAATTCCTTGTAGCCTATATGAATACTATGTCAGTGTCTAGTACAATTTTTTTATCATCAATTAATTTATGTCAAGGACGAAGACTAGACGCATGTAACCTTGAGTTATAAAAAGATCCTGTCAAAACTTTCACCTGTAATAAACCTGACCTTAGCCTCTGCCATGTCCTGTTTCCTGTTAAAATACGTGTTGGCTGGTAGGTAAACTAACGTCTTCTGTCAGCGTATGTTTAAAAAAGACGTTTTTTTTTAAAAAACATGAAGCTTTTAATCAAACAATCTGTTGAGATTTAAATCAGCAAATGAAATTGAAATAATAATAAATTAACCATTTCATAGAAACACACATATTTATGCACGGACATATATGTATGTACTCTGTTATGCTACTGATACCTAAAGCTAAACATTGGAGAAATGGTTTAAATCAATTTAAACACTTCACAACAGCAAAACATGGTGCTGCAATACTTGATTATATTTATCTTGTGTATATATAAGAGTGGGTTGTGTGCGTGTTTGAAACCGTGAGTTTGAGTGTGTGTTAGAGTTCATTCATGATACAATAAATTTAATAATAAAATTAATAATATAATACAACACAAACACTTGAAAAAATACAACTTTAGGTAATTTAATATTGTTTTTCAGTATATAGGCCTAAATAGTTATAATTAGTTCGCATACACCGGAATTTTTATTGTTTTGGATTACCCTCATTTAAATGTTTTTTTGTTGTTTTTGTTTTTAACCGTAAAAATAACGTTATCGTCTTATCCACAAACGTACTGCGTGGTCTAGCAGTAGAGTGCTAGGCTGCGAACCCGAGAGTCTCGAGTTCGAAACCGTGTTTAAATCAGTGGTACGGAATTTACTATCCGAAGGTTGCTTACCACGCTATCTCTTCATATGCAGTGTTCTCTAAAGCAGTGGGACTCATCTTCCCCCTTTGTCTTTGGCCACAAACGTGAAATGATGATGATGGACACACGTGAAATACAACATAAGCCACACCATTTCTATTATTGTTTTTATTTCTCATATTTTTAACATCAGTTGTCTTCTGAATTAACCAGGTCAGGGACACAGGAACTCTGAGTACAGTCCACAGTTCTGTTACACGGTACCGGCACATCCTGGAAGTTGAATATTTCACAAGGGTCCCTGCAGGGGAGGGCAAAAGTCTGGCATGTTTGTCCCGGGGGACAACCCCCGCAGTCGTCATTGGGGACACAGACGTGTCGTGGCCCGTCGTGGTTGCTGGTTGTGTTTAACTTGAGGCAGATCTGGTTCGTTGGACATCCTCCACATGGGTCTCGTTTCTAGAACAATACAGGTAATTCCAGTCAGGTGAAGTTGTTTCAACAACTAGACTCAAACCGTTAGTTGGATTAGCGGATGGGTAAAAAAGTTATGTAATATACAGGACTAGGGGTGCCTTGAACATCGATGAACAAGATGGGAGGAGCATCAAACATGAGGTGAAGTGAATTAGAAATTAGAAACAAATGATGGGGATATATTATACATTTGAGAAATAAGCGGGGTGAGATATGTCATATGAGGAACATATTGAGGAGATGGGACATAAAAAAAACATAGGAGTGGTGGTGGGACGTAGAACAAACACAGTCGACGAGATAGGAAATTTCGCCTCAAAAATTGAACGATACATATGAGCTCTTTGTAGACAATTTAAAAACACAAGCGCTCATGATAGTACAATACGCAAAACGTATGAGCGTATGACAGAACAATTCAATCACATATGGCCAAAAGATAGAACATTCCCAAAACATGAATGCAAGATAGGTCATTTGTTAAACATAGAACGGCAAAATATAGAACCTTTACAAAGCAAATGAAGTATCCCCATAGACTTGATGAACTTAACATGGAAAAGAAGAACATGTCTACCAGGTATAGCTCCGACTGTTCTAGCACTGACCTTGACACATTTAAATTTCTCCACACAAGGACGTCCAGCAGCGAAGTGCTGGCTGCCACATCTGCTGACCTGACGACACTCTTGGTCAGACTGACAGCTGACACATCCGTCTGGCACACACACCTCCAACATTGCCGGCAGGCAGTAGATGCCCAGCTCAGGTGGACACTGGGCCATTTGGAGTATACAGCTGTAACCTGTGGGGTTAAACACGGCAGGGTTTCTTTCAGAGATTTTTACGGGAGGTGGTTTTAAGGGAAGCTGTTAAATTCTTCGAGGGGAGGGGATTTCTACGATTGGATAAGTATATATTTTGTGTTTTAATTATTAAAATAAAATAAAATGTTCCTTGTAGTGGAGGATGAGGTGTGTGTGGGGGGGGGGGGGGGAGGGGGGTTGGAATGAGGTGGAAGTGCTCCTGGGGGAGCCAATAAAACCATATCCCGAGAGAGATGCCTGAAAGATACACTGATGACGGGCGTAGACATGTTATACATGTAACAATGCAGACCATATAATATATATATTGAGTTACACGTTATATGTATATTTTATTCTTTTAAAAATAGCATATTTAAATATTTTTTAGAATGAGATAATATTTAAATATATTTTATTTAGCTAATTCTGATAACTGCATGAGTATTAAAAACATCTTAAAACGATTAAAAGAAACGTTTTAAAATAAGCATCGTAATTTCTTTTCAAAATGTGTATTTTGTTGAAAGTCATATTAGCGTGAAAATAATAAGGGTATATTAAAGACATTATTATAGGATATCTCAATGTCCGATCAGTACTGGTTGGGAGATCAAAGACGAGTGTGATACCAACAACTCGTTATGTTAAACACATATTGACCAATTGGGTAGTGTGGGACATGGTTAAACACCGATTGACCAAAAATGGTTCTGTAAATGGAGAGCTGGATGTTTTCCCGAAAGACACTTGCCCGAATGCCGTTTGCCCGAAGGTCGATTTCCCGCATGGACTTACCTGAATGCGATAAATGCCCGAATGGACACTTTCCCGAATGCGACAAATCCCCGAATGCGACAAATGTCCGAATGGACACTTGCCCGAATGCGACAAATGCCCGAATGAAAATTGCCCGAAGGCCGTTTGTCGTAGATCCATGTAAATGACAATGTAAAACACAGAGAGACCGAATAGGGGTGATAATTCGTTAACAGTATAGCAATTACCTGGCTGGCAGCCCCCGTTACATGTGGGTCCACGGGGTAGGTCCCGAGGGTCAGTACACACACTGGAGCCACAGCTGTTCTGGCAGCACTTCTGCTCACCTGGGCAGTCTGGGTCAGCTTGACATAGTGGACTGGTGCATGTCGGGATAAAAGGTACGAATGGCACCTAGCAGGATTGTAACCAATGTTTATTTTGGCTGAATGGCTGACATGTGTAGGGTAGAATATTAAAAATAACTCTTCTTCATTCTACCTTGTCGTAAATATATATATATATATATATATATATATATATATATATATATATATATATATATATATATATATATATATATATATATATATATATATATATATTTATAATTTGCAGCCTAGAGATGAACAAAGTGTATGGCAGTTCAGTTCAACAATAAATTAAAATAAAGACGAAGGTTACCTATATTTCTTTTAAATAAACTTATTTTTTAAAATAATTTTTAAATTTTGAAACCATCAAGAATCACGCAGAATTTTTTTTTTTTAAATATAATAACTTCCAATATTGATGTTGAAAAGAATTATTTTTATACTACCAAGCTAATTAACCCTGACTGTTCAATTTATTATGAGACAAGCATAGCATGCAGGTGAATAGTTTACGTACCTCAGGGCATGTCCCAGGTTTGAACAAGCTGACCTCACAGAGGCGACCAGTGAAGTTGGGCTGGCAGACACACTGTGCCACGTCTAGTGGTGCCCAGCAAGAGGCTCCATTCTGGCACTGGACGTAACGGCATGGGTCCCTGGACCTGACTGATGGTAAAACAGGACAGACAAAACTTCTACAGGCTTTATAAAAATGTTAACTGGATCTAACTGTTGGTAGAGATACACATTGATACCCAAAGTATGCCTTACAGAGCAATAACATGGAACCAACTAAAGGTAGTATAGTAGAGTTAAAACCTAAAGGCCTACATAATCTTACACTACTTTTCTCTCGACTGCATTGTAGGTTCAAAAAGCAGTCACATGCCACATACATTTTCAGGATATTACGGGATACGACATTCTCCACTTAACAGTGCATACTTACCCGTTGTCGTAGATACCTGTTTTTGTAGAATAAAAATATACACAATGTAATACACATACTTAGTAGGCTACACTAAGAACAGTTTTAATTTTTAAATAGTGTATACACTGTTCTAATTATTACGTTTAATTACGTGAAAGATAAAATAGAAACTTACTCTTGAATTTACTGCATCTGTGATGACAATTATAGCGGTCATCACCTAATGTTAGACAGACGAAACAAGCAATAAAAATAGCAATTAAATTAAGAACTATATGCTATTTGATTTTGTGACAATGTCACAAGTATAAATATCGATCTGTTTACAGTAATTGATGTACGTTATGGTAAAATGCATTTAAATAATACTCACCGTAGTCAACAAAATCGATGCACTAATAGACATCCTACCAATGAACATAAAGAAACTGATCAAAGTTTTCGTTATTTTCACAGATGAATTTCAACTTTAGTAATTACAAAATATTGAGATAAATATCTCACGCATATTCCACTTGTTAAAACATGGCGAGTCTTATATCTAGTATCTAAAGTAAACGCTAAAATTACCTTGAAGAATAACACAGGTAAAAATAGTTTGCCCTTAAGAATTGTTCACACGTTTTTGTGTAAATTAAATGACACGAGTTTGTGCAGTATTTTTTTTCCCTGTCAGGATATAGATGCTCCGTATAGCATTGCATGAGTCTTGTAAAGTCTGGCAACGGTCTCATAATTCTAAGAAAACCGCCAAAAGCTTTGCAGCATTTCGACTTTTCTTGCGATATACAGTACCTGGATACGTTACACCCAATGGCGTCTAGAATTTAGGGGTCTTCAAACTTTTTCTTAAATATATAGAAATATATTTTTCAACCTGGTTACCCAATTAACCGCAACTGACTTAAATAAAAATTAGAGTTATATAGTAATTAAAAGAGCATGCATTTTGTTAAATATATGCTGTGTTTTTTGGTTTTAACACAAGTTAAATACAAATCATATGATTTATTTAACTTGTAGAGTTTAAATAATGTCATTGATGCTCGTAAAAGTGTGTACTCAAGCGTGGGTTACTGCATAATTAAAATATTTTATAGTAGAAAAAACGAAAGGAATGCACTAAAAATAAATAAAAAGTATTTACAATACATCTCACATAACTCGTAATCGAACTGCGATAAAATTACTTTTATTGAGTTACTTCCCTTTCTCATAACCCACCCATGTTGCGGTAACGGTGATTATACCTTGACCCATTTCCTTGTTTACGTTCTCATGCGCGGAGTGATCACTGAGGTGTGACTATAGGACACACCTGTCTATACCGGACGTCAGTATTGTTTAACTCTAGGGCAAATCCGTTTCCGGGATTGTTGTCGTTTCCGCGTGCGTTGTAATTATGGGATGGACTGATGAAAAACAACGATTGGCTGAAATAACTCTCGGTCGACACAAGCAAATAAGGAATGTTCTTTAATATTAGTAAACATTCGCCTACACTAATATCTTCAGTCTAGTGAAAGAAAAGACACATTTAAATTTTAAAATAAGATTTATCGCCCTTACTTCGTTTTGTGGACGCGTTTTGACAGTAGAATTTACCTTCGTTATACACTATATTTTTATGTCAGAGTTGCCTCCCATTTGCCCGTCAACCGTTCTTACCTCCCATAAATAACTCTAGTGTAACTTTCTCGTCTACATTGTATGTGCAGTACTGACCCCGTCGTTGTTACAAAAAAATGATTCAGCGTTTACTTTTCGTAAGTGTATTCTTTTGTTTTATTTCTGGTAGTTTACGTATTAGAGCAAGTTTTAAATGTAGTCTTGTATGACTTTATCGGTCACGTGATTTCTTAAATAGACGATTTGTTTGTGTGTGTGTTTAGCCTTGTGTGGCTTGATAGATCACATGCTTTGTTAAATAGACGGAAAAAATAGCATCAAGAGCCTCAAGCAGGTATGGTTTAGGGAAGAAGTATGGGTTTTCCTTGGGGTAAAATGAAGTAGCCTACTCTTTCACATGTTATGGTCCAAGGGTAAGGTGAAGTAGAATTTACCTGTTTCAGTGACCTCGGCATAAGTAGGGATCGCGTGGTCAGGTCTATGCCCAGCCACCTACTTTCTCTGACGTGAGCTGGGGTTGAGTTTTATGATTTCTATTATACCCGTGGCAGTACAAATGAAGAAAACTAACAAATACATATGTGTGGTATACACATGTATACTTATGCATGATGAGTTTAACTCTACTAAAACGCACCCACACTTGGTCTGCAAAATAAACACATTTAAAAATTAGCGAATTATGTACTTTTTTTTAAAATAATGACTAACTAAATTTAAAATTAAAATAAAAACTCATTATAATTCTAAAATTTAATTTAGTAAGCAGTCTGGCATTATTTTATTGTATAACTGTTAAATATTTTTTTGCTTATAGATTGCTGTTTTGATTGCAGAGGTATGTTTATAGATCTAGATTAATATAGGTTAATGCATAATATATGTACGCTGCCCATTTATCTTTTAAAGTCTACTTTACTAAATCAAATATTATCTAGCCATTTAAGTGACATTTGAAGTAGAGTTCCTGTTGTTTATTGCCTGATATACAATGGATATACATTTGCACGTAAATATTCATAAAAAATTACTGTTAAAGTCAACTTGACCCAAGTAATTATTTGAATTTTTCTCTATAGGTATACAGTCGTGAGTAATCAATTTTTAATCTCTTTTTATTTCTGCTGCATTATATACTCATAAACAACCACCACCCCCCCTACACACACATACATTTTTAAACAAATACACAGACACCCCCGCCATCTCAATCCTTATAAGTGTTGCTAAACATGTATGTTGATGTTGCTAATATGTTGCCATACATACACCTACCCCAGTGGGACGGGACCCATGTGAGAACTATGGATGTCAGAACGGCGGTACCTGTATGGCACCATTTGACGCGCCATCTTGTGTGTGTCCCGATGGATTTGTTGGACAATTTTGTGAAAGTTAGTTATTTTTTTATCTTACTAAACTATTCACTATATTGACATTAACTATTGTTTGTTTGCTACTATACATCAACTACTCGTGTAGTTTTATATTAATACGATATTTAAACATTTTTATTGAATTATTTTTTTTCACTAAACATCCTCATTAACAATATTTTACATTAAATTAAATTTAAAAAAATGTTTTACTGCTTTACTGTAACAGGGTGTGTAATAAAGTGTATAATTAGTTATTCATACGTGTCCCAATCACCCACCCACGCATATGATAAATAATAATGCGCATATTTTTTAAAATTATTTTTTTACACTTGTTATTGAGACAGAACGAATTATTTTTAAAAAGTAGTTGTGGTGAGGCTTATGATTGAGACATAAACTCTACTTGTTCTGCCCTGTCAATTTGGCCTATACTATCACAGATAAAATGCTTTAAATATTTCTACAAGTTAAACTAATTTAATCAAGAATTTTTAAAATATTTTTTAAATAATATCCTCATGGTTGTTAAATAGGTTTGCAGCACAAACACTGGTGTAAGTTTTGTGATTCTAATGAGAGTAGAGATTAACCATGCTGGACTCATAAAGATTATCCTTCTGACCCCCAGATATAGATTAACCCTTCTTGACTTACAAAACATAATCCATCTGACCCCCAGATATAGATTAACCCTGCTGGACTTACAAAACATAATCCATCTGACCCCCAGATATAGACCTGGTCAGTTTGTGTTCCCGTATTGACTGTGAGCCGAATGCTGTCTGTAGAGCTGTGGCCGTCTGTAGCACATGTATCCCAGTGGCTGTGTGTGTGCCTTTGTCGGCGTTAACTCAAGGTATGGATACGTTTGTGAACATTTAACTTATAGCAAAGTTTAGTATATTCAAAATTAAACTATATTTTAAAACCATGTGTGTGCTATATATTTAGTTCGTTCTTAGGAATCGTTCTTTTAGTTTACAAAGAAATATATCTAGTTAAATAGATTAGCATTACGTATATCTTTGTATTTTGCTAGTATTTAAGATTTTTCAATTTACAACAGAAAATGTAGATTTAAATTACTGAGAATATTGTAGGACCCTGTATTTAGCTAGTACTTAAGACATTGCTTTTCAATTTAGAACAAAGAACAGATTTTAAAAACTGATAATGTTCTAAGACTCTGTATTTAGCTAGCACTTAAGGCATTTCTTTTTAATTTACAACAGAAATGACATTTCAATAGCTGATAATATTGTAAGGCAGTGTATTTGGTTATAACATGGGGATTTTCTTCTTAGTTTACGAAAGCAAGAAGCGAGTTAAATAACCTAGCATTATGTAAATCATATCTTTTTAACATGGTTATCTCACAAGATATAGACATTGAGTGTACCAGACAGAGATACCTACAAGTCCTACTTGAGACCACAGACAACACGTCCTACAATCCGATCAAGTGTAGCGGACCTCAGGCCACACGGGACTGTCCCCTAGGCAGCGCTGTGTGTGTGGACGACCTGAGGGGTGGGGGCACCTGTTGCTTTGGGAAATCTATTCAGATCGATAACCCAGGGACGTGCCCGGCCGTAGAGGTAGGTGCAAGGAGAGGGGCGCTAGGGGTTATCCATAAATGACGTCACGCTTTTTTGACGATTTTTACCTCTGCCCTCCCCTTCCGTCACACATCGTCACAAAAAGCCCCCTCCCCCCCCCCCCCTTAAATTACGTCAAACCTCAGCCTTCAAACCCCCGCAAAAATGGAGTTTAATTTTTCTTAAAATATGATATTTCTCCAAAATCTTGTCTGAACTATGTCAACATAGAGTGTTTTAATCATTTCCTATTACATTTTATAAAAACATTTTTTACAACGCGAAATAACGGCTAAAATTAGTTTTCTAACATTGATTTTCACAACGTCTGACCCCCCCCCCTCTCCCCCTCATCACACACCGTCACACAATTACGGACTCCCCCCCCCCCCCCCTTTACGAGTGTGACGTCATTTATGGGATGACCCCTGGGGGGTATGGTGATAATAAAAGGATGTAACTTGTGCATTTTTTTTACACTAGTGGATTCAAGTAGTGTTAGTTTTGCTGTTGAGTAATACATTCTACAACACACTGAATGTTGTTAGTATAACTGGGTAACAATATCCTTGTCTAATATCAAACGTTATACCAATATAAATGTCGACCTAATATATTGGTTAGCGTCAACAATAAATAAAAAGCAATATATTGTTTTTAAATTACATAGTCTATGAAAATTAAATTATATGTGTATAGAAAAATGAAATTACATCCGTTACCCTAGGACTATTTAGAACCAGAGTTTAGATTGAAAAAATAAACTTTAACAGAAAAGAAATGATGTGGTGTGCATTAGTATTGTTTCGATAATGTCTTAAAGTTTTATTTTTAAATCTCCACATCACGTGTTTTTTAGGAGGATTCAGTGAGCACCTGTGGGGGGTCAGTCTGTTTTTTTGACTCGGACTGTCCAGGTGAGCAGAAGTGCTGCGACCACGCCTGCGGTTCCAGACAGTGCGTGGCACCGTCTAGTGTCCAGCCGAGTCCGTGTCCTAACGGATGCCCACAAGGTAAGGAATACACAGACAAGCCATTTACCACAAAGTAAGGGATACATAGACAAGCCATTTCCCACAAGGTAAGGAATACTTAGACAAGCCATTTACCACATAGACAAGCCATATCCCACCCCATAAGGAATACATAGACAAGCCATATCCCACCCCGTAAGGAATACATAGACAAGCTATTTCCCACAAGGTAAGGAATACTTAGACAAGCCATTTACCACATAGACAAGCCATTTCCCACCCCGTAAGGAATACATAGACAAGCCATTTCCCCTCAAGGTATGGAATACATAGACAAGCCATTTTCCACAAGGTAAGGAATACATAAACAAGCCATTTTCCACAAGGTAAGGAATACATAGACAAGTCATTTCTCACAAGGTAAGGAATACATAGACAAGCCATTTCTCACAAGGTAAGGAATACATAGACAAGTCATTTCCCACAAGGTAAAGAATACATGGAAAAGCCATTTCCTACGAGACGGAGTGGTCTAGCTGGACTGCTAACCCGTAAGTCTCGAGTTCGAATCCGGGTTCAAGTTAGTAGACCGTCCCTGAGTCCACCTAACTCTGATGGGTACCTAACTCACGTTAGGGAAAGTAAAGGCGGCTGGGCATAGTGCTGACCACACTATCTCTTCATATGCCGAGGTCACAGAAACAAGGGAACTCTACTTCACTTGCCCCATAGACCGTCAGGTTTGAAAGGGAACCTTTACTTTTTTAAGGACATAGACAAGCAATTACCCACAAGGTAACGAACACATAGACAAGACATTTCCTACAAGGCCCATACGATTGGTAAGGTTATAATTACCTTAGTTATAATCAGTACTGTGATGTTGAAATATAAATAGCTGCATTAGTAATAACAATTATATAATGAACGAATGTAATGATTCCTATTTTAAAATATTGTTTTAAAAATTAGACAATTCAACAAATTGACGGTTTTAGTTTAAATAAACGACTTATAATTAAATTATGTTTATCACTTGTGATTAAAAGTGTTACATCCCATACATAGCTTCAAAGATAGAAATATTCTAATAATCATCTATATCATAGAAGAATAGGACGGCGTGGTAGAGCGCTAAACTGCTAACCCGAAAGTCTCGAGTTTGAATCTGGGCCCAAGTCAATAGATTGTCCTTGAGTCCACGCAGCTCTCATGGTATGGGAAAGTAAAGTCGGCTGGGCAAACTGGGAACACAGATTCCTTTTATATGTCGAGGTCAAGAAACATATCAACTACTACCTGCCTAAAGTCTGATGATGATTCTTTAGTTGTATGATAGTAGTGCACATTCTGTACAACATTTCGTTATTGATCACTTCACTGAATACTGTTTAAGCAAAAAAAAAAAAGCCACTGGAAACATAATTTTATAAGACTACAGAACTGAGCCCTTTACAAAAACCCCACGACAGACAACAGTTTTTTAAGACACATATGCTGAGCTAGTAGCACCATCATATATCCATTATGTTGATTTATATTTTTAGTTACCCTGTTAAAAATTAAAAAACAAACAGTGACTTCCAAAACATACTGTAGTGAATCAATCCTATGTTTTTAAAAATTACATTTGAAGAATAATTAGTATAGTATAAGGGTATGTAGATTTAATTCTATTCTCTCTCTATTCAGGCTATGACTGTCAGTTGAGACCAATTCCTTGCCCTCCAGGTGTCTTGTGTCCACAGGTGATGGAGTATCAGTGTGTTCAGGTATGGCAGTCTTCTTTTGGTACAGTAATCGATAGTTAGGTAGCACTCATTCATATTCTGTCGAAATAACTGTATTCTAGTCGTTATCCAGTACTCATTTGATACAGTTATATATATTTTGCTGAAATGTAGGGCTGTGTAATAGGCTTGAAAAGTCTATGTAATCATGCTACATTTTTAAAAAGAATCTTTTAAAAAATATGGCATGTGATAAAAATACAGTTGTTTTTGTAAAAAAAAAAGAAAAAAGTAAAGCCGTTTGGGAGCCATCGATTACACTCAATTTTATATTATTGTATCGAATATAAGCCGTTGAAAAGACGTTTGGAATTACTTTATCAATTCATTTATGTTCAAAAACTGCCCTCAACCACTCCTTAAAGTTAACCGGAATGGCCAGGGAGAGTAAAACAATAAAAGTTAGAAAAATTGTTTTCTATGATAAAAATACACAATAGTGATCTATGTGGTGTATAGCGTAGTATGGCATGTATATTAAATAATATAACATACCCAATCACCACAACACCTTAGCTCAATTAATCCAAGTTAAAAATATGAAAGTGTTTTCTAAATTATTATTATATTACTAGTAATTATTTCTTTGACTATATGTATCCTTAATGAAACTGGAAGTAATTGTGTACTTATTACACACATATTCAATTTTGATTGAAACATATTCTTTCTGGCAACAAAACTTGGAAACCATTTGGAACCAACTTTTCACGTCTATGTCACGTCTATTGCCATAGGTACCACTTCCGCTTATAGACGGATGTGGGGGATGTCCAACGGGTCAAGAATGTGTGTCTACTGGCATCGTGTGTAAAAAAGCTCCGTGTCCGAGTTTTCAGTGTGTGGAGAGACCTAAATATAAGGTGAGATAGTAACTTTATGTACAACTTTTATAACGTTTGTGGGACGGCGTGGCCTAGCTGTAGAGATCTAGACTGCTAACCCGGGAGTCTCGAGTTCAAATCCGGGCTCACATCACTGATTCCTACCTGTTCTGAAGGGTACCTGACTTACTTTAGGCGGCCGTCATAGTGCTGACTACACTAACTTCATACGCCGAGGTCTCTGAACTCTACTTCATCTGCCCCATGCGTCTTGGGCGCTAACGGGGATCGATGATTATGGTGAAATAACGTTTACCTGTGTATACACGATACACAGTTGAGTGCTAGTATTCAATATTGTTTTTTACTTGCTATAAGATATTCAAACTAACAATTTATCAAGTAGTTAACGCAACATTAGATTTATCCAATAGGCAAGACGACTTAAATGAAGTTAGCTGACCATGTATGTGAAGTTCCCCTTTAGACCTAACGGTTAATAGGGTAGAAGTTCATTTGTTTCTTGACTTTATCATATAAGGGAATGGTGTGGTCTGTCGTATACCCAACCCCTTTTTTATGAGTCAGCCAGCCTTCAAAATTGTGTGCACTCAGGGACTTCTTGCGGTTTCGAGTCTGGACTGAGATCCGAACTTAATAACTTCGGACTTAGCAGTCGATAGCTCTATCACCCGACCACGGTATCCTATGGGAGAACATAAAAATTAATATTATTCTGAAGTACCCATGTAGTATTACTTTGAGAACCTGTGACCTACTTAGGTCGAGTCATTTTTATTTTGACATTGTATAATTCCTTATATGGAATGATGGTGTAACACCTGGGGTTTTTCCACTGACTTATTAAGGTGTTTGAGACATAGAAATTTTCCATTAAAATCTGATTGAATGATTCTGATCAGATGATTATCCCAACCAATGGCGACATGAGTTGAGGATAACCTCCCCTGTCACAGAAGTCTTTAATTGCACTGCACACTCGCAACACGAGGCAGTTTTTCTTGACCTGGTAGTCTACGGGGCCGTTTTACCTCGTTCAGGCAGCCGTCCATATTGTCCGGCTATAGACTCTGACCATTTGAACGTGAGAGTACTTAAGACCTGTGTGTGCCTTGCTTTCTTAAGTCGATTTAGTCTTCTAGTTTAATATTACTTGTCGCTAAGTAATTCCTGAAGCTACAGCAGTGTTGTGTGGCCTGTGGCTGTTCTTTTGACAGTGTAGAAATCTGTGATAGTGATTTTTCCTACATTTTGTAAGTTGTGTCTTGATATTTTATACATTAAACATTTTATCTAGTTCATCTTTGTGTTCTGCCACAACTGAGTTCGCTGATTAAAAGGTCGTATGTAGATTGGATGAGTGTTAATTACAACAGTATCACTAGCTCCCCTAGACATTAAATTCGAGCCCTAGTGGGTCGTTGTGTTAAGTGTTCATCCACTTAGGCCGTAAGGCATTTGCATATGACCCCGAAAAAAGAATCCGGGGACGTTCTCCTTCTATTTAGCTGATAGATAGGTTAACGTTACAAAGTGGGAGCTCGCCGAGATATAATCTGTCGTTCCAGTTGTTGGTTATATCAGTTGAATATTAAGGTTAGTTGGATTTAGTTGTTTTTATATCCAGTAGCGCAGTGTTCTTACAACGCGCGCTCAGGCTAGAGTATCTAGGTCAAATTAGCAGACGTGTCACGTCCTACATTTAGAGGTCAAGTACACGGCCCAACGCTGTGTATTAATTTAAAGAATCTAGGCTTGTTGTGATTTTCAAGTTAGAGTTATGGAGTCTTTTTTGGCTAATCCTACTGTTGAAGATGTAGAAAAGTTGAGTAGAAAAGTTTTGGTTAGTGTTGTTAAGGAATTGAAATTGGATTATTCTGTTACGCAGAAGTCAGAGGTGTTGAGAGATAAAATTGTTGTTCATTTCATTAATGAAGGAGTATTTGATGAAAGTTTGTTGGCTGGTGTGTTGCTCCGCGAGGAGAAAACTCTAGAGAAGGTAGAATCAGAAGCTAGAATTGCTTTAGAGAAGGAGAAAATTGCTCTAGAGAAGGAGAAAGTTGCTTTAGAGAAACAGGAGATAGAGGCTAAAATTGCTTTAGATAAGAGGAGGTTGGAATTAGAGTTTGGTCAAGTTAGTGATGTCACTTCTCTGGTAGATCCAAAAAAGTTGTCGGTAGGGCAAGTGATTGCCAAATTTGGGAAATTAGTTCCTAAATTTGATGAAACAGATTTGGTCGTTTTCTTTAACTCGTTCGAGAGTTTAGCGAAGACATGTGAATGGCCCGAAACTTCCATTACTGCTTTATTGAGCTCTGTCCTTACTGGGAAAGCTGCAAAAACATACCAGGCACTCTCTCACGACGTTCAAAATAACTATAGTTTGGTCAAGACTGCCATTTTGAAGGCCTACGCACTGACGCCCGAGGCCTATCGGACAAAATTCCGAACACTCCGCAAGTTACCCACACAATCATATGTGGAATTTCTCTTTGAAAAGGAGAAAATATTCTCAAGGTGGCTACACTCTGAGGAAGTTTCTGAGTTTGAGAAACTCAGGTCTCTTATCCTAAGGGAAGAATTCCTATCGTCCCTGCCTGAAGAGATACGACTACACATACTGGATAACAAGATAACTGACATCCAGAAGGCTGCTGAGTCGGCTGACACATATATGTTGGTGCATAAGAAACCACCAGTGTCAGGAAACCGCCTCAACCCCGTGCTTCCCCTTTTTGGCAGCAATCATCCTGTTGGCCAACATTTGAAGGCAGCACAGTCCAGAGAGAAACCGAGATCAACTCTCAATCGTCGAGCAGTATGCCAGTTCTGCAAAAGGTCTGGGCATCTTGTCAAGGACTGTTACAAACGTCTTCAGAATAACAGAGAGGTGGTGCGTACTTCCGCGCACTATGCTCTATCCCCTCAAGCAGCCAGTTCAACTATGAACTCTAGAATTCTAAAGGACTCTAACCCTAAGTGTCCGCAAGAAGGTAGTCAAGTCTCCACACATTATGTGCAGTCACATTTTGACTGTTCTCGCCACCATCCAGTTTCTTCCGAGTCTACCGATCTCGAGAGATCGAGAAAAGTTGACTTTTCATCTTTTATTGCCGAAGCCATCATTAGCAAACCAGGTGATCCGTTGTCTCAGAAGAATATCACCGTTCTAAGAGACACAGGAGCGTCACAATCTCTCCTTTTGAAAAGTTCAATGGACATTTCACCAGAGACGAACACCGGAAGGATTTCCATTATCCAGGGAGTAGGGACGATATCTACTGTCGTCCCTCTACACAAGTTTGCCCTGAAACATCATCTCGTCGAAGGTGAGGTCATTTTAGGTGTGATAGATAGTATTCCTGTCCCAGGAGTACACCTACTTCTAGGGAATGACCTTGCGGGAAGCAAAGTATACCCCTGTACGGTTTCAGACCCTTTGTCAACAGTTCCAGATAATGATTATGAACTGTATCCTGCATGTGCGGTGACAAGAAGCCAGACCAAACAATTGGCTGACACAACGTCTGAACCACATCTACCATCATCGTCAAGAAATTCGACTCCCAAACTGGAGTCTATGCTTCCAGAAAACACAAGCTTGGGCTTACCCCTGAGGATATCTCAGGAAGACATCATTAAAGCTCAACAAGTCGACGCGGAACTCAAAGCAACGGTCGAAAAATCTCTATCATCTGACGATGGAGAATATTTCTCCGAGAACGGCCTCTTCTTTCGTCGCGCTATACCAGTGAATGCCTCACCAGCCGAACCATGGTTGGGTAAAAACCAGCTGTGGGTCCCTCCACCTTATCGGCATGAAATACTTAAGCTGGCACATGACCATCCAATGTCAGCGCACCCAGGAGTCACTAAAACGACGGCGAAGATCAAAGAACTGTTCTTTTGGCCCAAAATGAGAAAAGATGTGTCGCGTTACTGTAGAAGTTGCACGAACTGTCAGTTGGCCGGAAAGCCAAACCAGACAATTCATAAGGCCCCTTTGAGTCCGATTCCTGTATTAGCAGAACCCTTTTCTAAAATCGTCATGGACTGTGTAGGTCCCTTGCCTAAAACCAAGGCGGGCAACGAGTACCTACTTACCTTTATGTGTTCAAGTACCCGTTTTCCCGAGGCGATTCCCTTACGGAACATTAAGGCAAAGACTGTAGTCAGAGCCATGACCCGGTTCTTCACTACCTTTGGATTACCTAGAATCGTGCAAACAGATCAAGGCAGCAACTTCACCAGTCACCATTTTCAGGAAGCGCTAGCCAAGCTAGGCGTTACCCACATCACCAGCTCAGCCTACCACCCCCAGTCTCAAGGCGTACTTGAGAGGTTCCACCAAACCCTCAAAACCATGCTAAGAACGTTCGCTAACAGTAACACCCAATGGGATGAGTCTGTTCCTTGGATTATTTTCGCCGCGAGGGACTGTGTCCAGGACTCTTTAGGTTACTCTCCTTTTCAACTTGTGTTTGGACATTCTGTCCGTGGTCCCCTGAAGCTGATACACGAACGGTGGACAGGTACCAGCGATCATCCTGTGGAAAACTTTGACGATTTTCACGTTCGACTGAAAGCCGTGTGCGAAATGGCTCACAAGAACTTAAGAAAGGCCCAAGTGAGAATGAAAGAACTGTATGATAAGAGTTCTTGGAAACGAACATTCAATCCAGGCGACAAAGTTCTTGTGCTAGTACCTAATCTGAACAATGCGTTATCCTTGAGATATTGTGGACCCTTTACTGTGCATTCAAAATTAAGTGATTTGAACTATGTTGTCAATACGCCCGACAGAAGAAAGAAACAGACAGTGTATCATGTCAACTCACTGAAAAAGTATTATGATAATTGTAACAATTTTCAATCCACAGCTAAAATTACTTTACCTGTATGTTCAAATGTTTCTGATGATGTGATACATGATAAATTGAAACCCCCAAAATTGGTAAATTCTTCCTTTTTAGATAATTTGAATGTCCACCTTATGCATTTGTCCACAGAGGAAAGCCATAGATTGTCTCAGTTATTTGAGACATTTCCCTCTATTTTTGGGGATGTCCCCAAAGAAGCGAAGGTTCCACCTCATGATGTAGACGTTGGTGACGCAAAACCCATTAAACAACACCCCTATAGAGTTAACCCGGAAAAAGCTGCTTTGATAAAAGATGAAATTGATTATATGCTCAAGAATGATATCATTGAGCCCAGTTTCAGCAACTGGAGTTCCCCATGTCTCCTAGTCCCGAAAGACGGTGGATCTTTCAGGTTTGTGACCGACTTTAGGAAGGTGAATGCGCTCACCAAAGCTGATTCCTATCCCTTACCTCGGATAGAGGACGTTATTGATAAAGTTGGTCAGGCTAAGATAATTTCCAAAATTGATTTACTTTCAGGATACTGGCAAATCCCCTTATCTGACCGTGCAAAAGAAATATCTGCTTTTGTAACCCCTAATGGTTTTTATAGATACAAACGTATGCCTTTTGGTATGCGAAATGCTGGTCAAACTTTCCAGAGGGTCATTAACTCTGTCATTGCTGACATAGACCAATGTGAGGCCTACATAGATGATATAGTTGTATTTTCTAATACTTTTGAAGAACATATTGTTCAATTGACTAACCTTTTTAGAAAATTGTCTGAAGTTAATTTTACTGTAAACTTACATAAAAGTGATTTCTGTAAAGCTTCAATTACCTATTTGGGTTATCAAGTGGGAACGAACCAAGTTCGGCCCATTGAAGCTAAAGTAGATGCTATTGTAAGGTTACCACCTCCCAAAAATTGTAAAGAGATCAAAAAGTTCCTTGGGATGGCTGGTTACTATAGACGGTTCTGTCAAAACTTTTCAGCTATTGCTGAACCTCTTACTGCATTATTGAAAAAGGGTGTTGAGTTTGAATGGTCAGATAAATGTCAAGAAGCTTTTTTAACCATTAAGTCATTTCTATCTAATGCTCCTGTTATGGCTGCACCAAATTTCAGCAGGCCCTTTAAACTTGCCATTGATGCTAGCAACTTAGCCATTGGCTCAGTCCTATTTCAAGAAGACAACATGGGAATTGACCATCCCATTGCTTTTTTTTCCAGGAAGTTAAATGAGAACCAAAAGAATTACTCTACTATTGGAAAAGAGGCTTTAGCTTTGGTTTTGTCATTACAACATTTTGAAGTCTATGTCTCTTCTTCAACCAATCCAGTCAGAGTGTTTTCTGACCATGATCCCCTGAAATTTACCTCTAAGTTAGGACAGACAAATCAAAGAATATTGAGATGGTGCTTATATTTCCAAAATTTTAATCTGGAAATTTCACACATTAAGGGTAGTGATAATGTTGTGGCTGATTGTTTGTCAAGGATGTAAAATCTTGTTACACACATTGATCATGTGACATGCTTTGTGGTTCATTAGGACCATAAACAGGTTTTGTTTGAGTGTCACTCATATGAAAATGAGTGGTGTGAGTTTTGAATTTTTTTCAAAATTCCAATCCTGTTGAATATTTTGTTTATTTTCAGGTGAACCTTAATTAAAGGTAGTTTTTGATTATATGTAATCTTTTATAATAATATGTCTCATATGACTCAATTGATATTGTAGCTAGTCATAGAAATAAAGGTCTTACCCTGGCGGGTTTACCACTTTTAATATTCTCATGGAAAAATTGTAATTCCCCTTTTTGAGGGATTTTGATGTATAATTACCTTTTGAAGGGTTACTCCCCTTTCACCAATTGTAAAAGTTGGAGTTACTTCCCTTTTATGTTCAGGGATATTTTCATCTGGTATTATGATTTTGGTTGCCTACATTTGTAAAACATTTTTGTTATTTCATTGCCAGATTGGTTCCTTATGTATGTTTTTGTGGAACCTATCTGTCACTTCCAAAAAGGGAGGGGATGTGACCTACTTAGGTCGAGTCATTTTTATTTTGACATTGTATAATTCCTTATATGGAATGATGGTGTAACACCTGGGGTTTTTCCACTGACTTATTAAGGTGTTTGAGACATAGAAATTTTCCATTAAAATCTGATTGAATGATTCTGATCAGATGATTATCCCAACCAATGGCGACATGAGTTGAGGATAACCTCCCCTGTCACAGAAGTCTTTAATTGCACTGCACACTCGCAACACGAGGCAGTTTTTCTTGACCTGGTAGTCTACGGGGCCGTTTTACCTCGTTCAGGCAGCCGTCCATATTGTCCGGCTATAGACTCTGACCATTTGAACGTGAGAGTACTTAAGACCTGTGTGTGCCTTGCTTTCTTAAGTCGATTTAGTCTTCTAGTTTAATATTACTTGTCGCTAAGTAATTCCTGAAGCTACAGCAGTGTTGTGTGGCCTGTGGCTGTTCTTTTGACAGTGTAGAAATCTGTGATAGTGATTTTTCCTACATTTTGTAAGTTGTGTCTTGATATTTTATACATTAAACATTTTATCTAGTTCATCTTTGTGTTCTGCCACAACTGAGTTCGCTGATTAAAAGGTCGTATGTAGATTGGATGAGTGTTAATTACAACAGTATCACTAGCTCCCCTAGACATTAAATTCGAGCCCTAGTGGGTCGTTGTGTTAAGTGTTCATCCACTTAGGCCGTAAGGCATTTGCATATGACCCCGAAAAAAGAATCCGGGGACGTTCTCCTTCTATTTAGCTGATAGATAGGTTAACGTTACAAACCACTCACGTTTTTTATTTCAGGTCGTGAATTCCTGCTATGAGTGCTCACCTTATGAAAAATGTATCCCCACAGGCGTCGTGTGTATCACGACCCCCTGCCCTAGCTTCACATGTGTCTCCATTCCTCCCCGACCCCCAGTCGCCTGCAACCTCAATTGCAGGCGGGGCTACACCTGCGTTCTGCGAGAACCCACCTGTACCAGAAGAAACTGTAACCGTCGCCCTGTACCCACCTGTGTCCCAGAGATACCACAGCTTGCCACCTGCCCTAAACCTCCACAGATCTTCACCCTCAACGACCTGGTGTGTAGGATAAGGAATATCAACAGAGGGTGTCAGAGTGATGCCGAGTGTGACTCGTCAGTTAACCAAAGATGTTGTCTGGACCTGTGCAATAGGATGGTGTGTATTACGGTACCGCGCCTGTCCGTCTAACGTATTCAACCACATGTTATTGTGGTTCAAAATGTTCAACCACATGTTCTTGTGGTTCAACTTGTTCAACTATATGTTGTTTTTAAAATGTCTGTTAATGTTCAATTACAAAGAGTAAATATTCAACATAAAATAAAATACGTTATAAATTGATTGTGGTACGTTATTCTTATCTTTAAAATAAAACAAAGAATTACTGTAGTAACCACATTTCAGCCAGTTAACTTTAGGCGGCTTGTCATAGTGCTGACTACATGTGCTGTTAACGAAAGTAGCTGTGTAACAAATATCACTTGAGTTAAATAAACAAAATAAAAACGACACATATTCCCTCTATTTAGGGATGTTAAGGGTCATTATCCAAGCCTAATCCATAATCGTTTGGGTACAGAGTTTCTACCATGCATCACTTCGGGGGAGGGGGGGGGGGGGTTAAAAGTCTGTCGCCCCCCCCCCCCCCCAAACGAAATGGAATTTATAAATGTATAAATTTATATAGAAAACATATAGGTGCCTACTTTTACCAGTGCACCCCTCAAAATGAAGTCCGCTCCCCCCACCCCCCTGCAAAATATCAGGTGCGCCCCAACCCCCCGGAGGAAAAAGTCGGGAAGAAACACTTTGTGTATATTTTTAGAAGAAGTTCCAATCTAAATTAACTTGTTTTTATCGTTAAGATTTAAACAAATTAACCACGTAGTCCATTCTGACGTAGGAGTGTCTTATGTGTCAAAACATAATTATGCTTCTGTTTTTGAAAGGAGTGATTGTTTACGTTTAAAATATGTTTTGACTATTGTAAGTTAATTTTTTGTTACCCTTTTGTTGCGTTTTTTCTGTTGCATAAAAATGGAATGAATTTTCTATAAAACCAAAATGGTAATTTAATTGCTGCTATATAATTAGCTCTTTGATACTACGCCTTAAAATCCTTCAGGATATTTTTACTGAAGTTTAATTCCAAAACATAATTATAGCCTGTCTATGTCAGGGGTCGGCAACCTGCGGCTCGCGAGCCGCATGCGGCTCTTTTGATATCAAGATGCGGCTCTCCAGCTCCTTGAACAAATACTAATAATCTTAATAAAAAAATAAAAAAATTGAAATGAAAAAAAATGTTAGTGGCTCTTTAAAACCAGGGAAATTTTGAAAATTTTAACTTTTGGCTCTTCCGCTTCAAAAGGTTGCCGACCCCTGGTCTATGTTAACAATATCATATTTTGTATATTTACTACCATGTACTTTTAAATATAGCAATGCACTTGTCATTTTATTAGCCTGTGGTATTACTACAAATAATCAGAGTAGCAATTTAGTTTTGTTTTGTATTATTGAAATAGATGGCTATGTACCGTGGGATAATGATTATCTAGTATTACAAACAAGTGACAAATAGTTAATTAACTACTCCCAGCAGGTTGATATTGTCTTTGTCTACTGAATGTTTCCCAAAATACCAGGTTTTAATTGTCTGGTAATTCTCCGGTTCCCACTGCTTATTTTATAAATGTGTTTCTTTAAGTCCTGCTTTATTGTAAAGGAATACAAATTGTAAACAGAACATTATTGCAATGACTAAGGTAGACATAGGTAGGCTACGTAATAAATTACCAGTAAATAAATGACTCTGTCTTAACTGTGACTTTATTAAGTGCATATGTCTACCTTCGTCTTTGTAATAATATTCTATGTTACAAGGTTATTCCATTAACACTGTCGGCTTACAAACCCCCTCTTCATGCTAAGAAATGCAATACACTCAACGTCGCTTGTGTCCACAGGCTAATTTGTGGGTGAATATATAAGAAATATTTTTTTTATAAAAAGTGAAATTGTTATCAAAATCTGAATCCATCTCAACATTTTTCCTAAGCAAAAGCTAAGGAAGGAATGACCTTTTTTTATTGAGAAATAAAAAATATATTTAATACTATTGTTCAAGAATTTGTTGCTTAACTCTTCAAAAACTAATGTTTAAAAAATAAGTTTATATTTGTATAGTTATGTACTTTCCATGATCAGTAATACTTTTTTTTTATGAAAAAATAGTAAACGGTGTTTTGATGAGCAAGTTTATCTCAATGGGCTTTCAAACACAACACAATACCACACATTTGATACATGCCACGTCTAAACAAAATCTAAACGCCAATGCTTTTTTTGACGGATTAATTAACTATAAAATGTTAAGTCCGTAATTTTAAACGTCAGTGTCAACCAAACTTGGCATGAACCTTTTTTTCATTGATAGAAAATCAATTTTTTTTTAGTTATGCGCGTCATTCATATTTGAAACCGGATATACGTCCATGTTCTAGCCGTCTAAATTATACCTGTTTTTGTTGCTTAGCTTGCATTTCATATTGATAAAAGCCCTTGGTTATTAAGGTCATTTACGTGAAAAGCCGGATCATACGTTAAGCCTTGTTAATTCTATCGGATTAGCGATATTAGGATGTACTCTTCCCATGTTGATGTGTGCTAAGTGAAACGTGTTGTAAAATAGACACATTGAGCTGGTGGTAAAATACAAACTGAACTGGTGGTAAAATACTAAGTCGAACTGGTGGTATAATAAAATGAATGAAAACTGGTGGTACATTCAAAAAAATAAACTGATATCAATTAAATACAAAAGTTGAACTGTTGGTAAAAAAGAAAATCAGTGCTGGTGGTAAAATAAAAAAAAAACTGAGCTCGTGGTAAAATAGGAAAACTGAGCTGGTGGTAAAATAGAAAAACTGAGTGGGTGGTAAAATAGAAAAACTGAGCTGGTGGTAAAATAGAAACACGGAACTGGTGGTAAAATAGAAAAACTGAGCTGGTGGTAAAATAGAAAAACTGAGCTGGTGTTAAAATAGAAAAACCGAGTGGGTGGTAAAATAGAAAAACTGAGCTAGTGGTAAAATAGAAAAACTGAGCTGGTGGTAAAATAGAAAATTTGAGCTGGTGGTAAAATAGAAAAATTGAGCTGGTGGTAAAATAGAAAAACTGAGCTGGTGGTAAAATAGAAAACCTGAGCTAGTGGTAAAATAGAAAAACTGAGCTGTTGGTAAAATAGAAAAACTGGGTTGGTGGTAAAATAGAAGCACTGAGCTGGTGGTAAAATAGAAAAACTGAATTGGTGGTAAAGTAGAAGCACTGAGCTGGTGGTAAAATAGAACCCTGAGCTGGTTGTAAAATAGAAAAACTGAGCTGGTTGTAAAATAGAAAAACTGAGCTGGTGGTAAAATAGAAGCACTGAGTTGGTGGTAAAATAGAAAAAAATAGAAAAAGTGAGCTTGTGATAAAATAGATAAACTGAGCGGGTGGTAAAACATAAACTGGTGGTAAAATACAAAAGTTGAACTGGTGGTAAAATAAAATCAGTGATCTGGTGATTAAATACACATGTTGAACAGCTAACTGTCGCGAACACAAAAAAACAACTATTGAAACCACAGATTAATGCAGTTTTTAAACTGTCTAAATTCAGTCATTTAAATAAGGATGTAATGTTCTAATACATAAGCCAGCTTTTACTGTATACCATCTGCTGCATGCCCGGTTCGTCGATCGGATAATAACTTTAAATCAAATCACCTAGAACTGGGCTCTCGAACTGTATTAAAACATAATGCGTCATCATTTGGTCACGTTATATTTCACATCATTCTATTGACCTCATGTCTTAAATAAATCCTGATCAAAACACATCACGTACTGATGCGAACACCATGTTGACATTTATTTTTACTGTAATTTTTATTGTTTATTAATTAGTCTATTTTAGTTCAAGAAATCTAATATATTAACTTCGTAGTGAAGTCTAATTTTCATTGTTGAACTACACATTTTTTTCTGAAGTTCACAATTCTTAAGCCGGCTTGACAAAATGGATTATACATTTGTTTTTGGATTAACTATTTAAACAAAATTTAAAACATAATGTTTTATAAATCTTTTGAGCAGAGTAACTTTCAGGTGGACCACCCCCCCTGAAGAGAGTCTACCCCCCTCCCCGAAAGAAATAAAAGTTATAAAGAAAATATATGCTTTTACCAGTGACCGCCCCCCCCCCGAAGATGTGGTCCGCCCTCCCGAAATGTAAAGTGCTCACTTACCCCCCCCCCCCCTACCGAGAAATAAAGACAAAAAGAAACACTCCTTTTGAGAATCCTGAATCAATGTATACGACTACAAGAAATGTAGAATTTCCTCCTTTCAAATCGGCCTGTATGCTGGTGTTTACCAAACAGCCTTGTTATTTAGATACGATTAGTCACGCGATTCAATTCAATACTCGATACGTCTTAAATACGAAACAAATATCCACTCGACATTTTTATTGCTTAAAATTATAGGCCATAGTTCTTGTCAATTTTTTTTTGTGCACAACTGATTTAACCGCTTTATATTCTATAATAATTTAGATCAGTATAAACTGTATAAGTTTTTTTAACTGCAGTTGTCTCCCCGTAAAACACGTCATCAGCTGCTTACATCTATAAATATCTAGACAGAAGTTGTGTCCCCTGTATTCTATGCTTATTCACGAACGAGAACAGAAGTTTTAAAATGATACAGATTTTATTAGTAGTAAGTGATTTATTACTTTATTATTTCCATAATCTGCTTAAGTTAAAGAGATACTAAAGAGTAAAATTGCTTTTGTGTGTGTGTTAAATTATGTTTCTACTGTAGACCAACTGTACTGTTGTTTTTAAAGTTGTTTAATACATTTCTGATACATATTGGGAAAAGTACTCCAATATATTTTATTAGCTTTTAAAAGTATTAAGTGAATGTATACTGTAATGTTAATAGCTTTTTTACGTGTTAGCTTGAACAATTAATGAATGTGTTTAATGCTAATCTATCATTACCGAAATAGTTGACCAGATTTAATAGAGTATTAACATTGAACTAAACAACAACTTTAGTTCGCTAAGTTAACAGAGTTATTAGTCAAGCAGCAACCGTTAAATAATGGTGAATATATATGTGAATGACTTATCAATAATCCTACGTATGTTTTAAAAAATGTTATATTTTATATACAGATTATTGCATTAATAGCTGAGGTAAGTTTTTAACCTAATAATTTCGTGTGTGTACGTGTCACTTAAACAGGATTAACCCAGTTCTAATGATCCCACATATTTGGTTGCTTTAAAATTTACAAACTTCAACAATGAATAACTATACCTGGCAATTAAGTTTCATTTACGTAAAAGAATTTATACCTAGTAGATGTAAATAATACATTGACCCAAATGATCAGAAAGGTAGGTAAGGTAGAATTTATTTAATTACATCTCTCTTGCGTAAGCAAAATCAGAATAGCGTCTATTTCTAAATAATATAAACATTAGTAAAATAATATACATTTTGATGACAAAAATAATAGCTTTTATCGTGGCAAAAGCATTTTAAAATGTTTTTTGTTTATCTTCATAGCTACCTCAGGTTAACAGTTGTAAGTTTTTTCCTTTCTTATATAGATTCAAGACTATATATATATATATATATGTATATATATATGTATATATATATATATATATATATATATATATATATATATATATATATATATTATATATATATATATATATATATATATATATATATATATATATATATATATATATATATATATATATATATATATATATATATATATATATATTCTTCTGTTAGCAAATATCAAGTTTTCATTAACTGTGATTGGTTACTGCTGGTTTGTACTATTGTAATTGTCATATGTAAATCTGTAATCTATAATTCCCTCGCTACAACAGTAGGACGGGACCCATGTGAAAACTACGGCTGTCAGAATGGAGGTTCCTGTATGGCACCATACGATGCCCCATACTGTGTATGTCCTGATGGGTTTAATGGACAGTATTGCGAAAGTAAGATTTTTTTTCGTCAAATGTACTCTTCTGTATTATGGTTTAGGTTTGTAGTAAATCACTTCTAATGTCAAAGATCAAAAAGATTGGAATAAGTATCACAGTACGCTTAGGAACGTAAAGCCATTTTTAAGCCGTTATTCCATGCCTTTGTATAATCAATTATAAAGCTAGTATACCCTGTCTATGTAAAATCAATTCTGAAGCCATTATCCCATGTCTATGTAAAGTCAAATCTGAAGCCAGTATCCCATGTGTATGTAAAATCAATTCTGAAGCCACTATCCCATGTCTATAAAAAATCAAATTCTGAATCCTTTATCCTATGTCTATGTAAACAGCAGCCTCGAACACAGACCTGTCAAGCCTGTGTTCTCTCATTGACTGCATGCCTAACTTCACCTGCAGACCTGTGGCCGTCTGCTCCAACTGCACACCTGTGGCACAGTGTTTACCTTTGACGTCAGTAGGAGAAGGTAAGTCCCTACTACTAATGACTAATAGTGAGGATAATTTGTTTAAACTTTCTGACTATTAATATTTAATACGCGAGTTTATATTATTTAGTAGCATTGATGAACATCATATATATATTTAAGGGGACTAGTAAGGTATTATGAAAGGAGAAAATGGCGTTTCTAAAAACAATTATATACGATAGTTAATTTATAAATGTAGTAATCGGTGGCGTCACAAGGTGGGGTGTCAACAGGTGCGGCAACTGAGAGTGTCATCCCACCCCTTCACCAAGAAATGTGCATTTGGCTTTGTGTCATTATTAATTTCCTGCTATTTAAATGGTTTAAAAACAATTTCGTCGTGGTGTCACCATTACATCATATCCCCTTGTTATTGTTAGTAATATACAATTGTTATTCTTCAGTTTAATATTAAAATGTATAAAAAATTATTCTTTTTTCTATTTAACTCGAAGAGGTTAAAACGTTCTATTCAAGATTTATTTTAACAAATCATTACTAGTGTCTTTAAAACGTGAATTATAACAAGGTATAGACATTGAGTGCAACAGACAGAGATACCTACAGGTCCTACTTGAGACCTCCGACAACACGTCCTACAGCCAGGTCAAGTGTAGAGGACCTCTGGCCACTCGGGACTGTCCGCAGGGCTCAGTGTGTGTGGACGACCTGAGGGGTGGGGGAACCTGTTGCTTCGGCAAACCCGACCCAGTAGAGAAGCCTGGGACCTGTCCGGCTGTAGAGGTACGTACAGGTAGAATGGTTAAGGGATATGGCGATGATAAAGGGAGGTAACTAGAACTGTACACATTCAATTCATTCCCTCTACGCAAGTGGAAATACATAGTATATGTGTGTTAAGGGATATGGCGATGATAAAGGGAGGTAACTAGAACTGTACGCATTCAATTCATTCCCTTTACGCAAGTGGAAATACATAGTATATGTGTGTAGGGTCAATTTATGACAGGCGTCACATAAGTTGAACTTTTCCTTGAGAAATTTCTTCTCACAGACATTCGGAATGCTCACCCGATGTATGTAATTTTTTTTTTACAGAAACATTAAAAATGTAAAACTGAATAATGTAGGCTTTTTTATTATTTTAGTATCTGGGTATATTTTAAATAAGAAACATAAATCAGCCATGAGTATGCTTTTTAAATTTTAAAATTATAGGGAAATTTAGATACCCATTTAATTTTTTTTAAATGACTTTAAAGTATGTATGATGTATTTTTATCTATTTTTAAAATGTCTATATATTATTGAGTATCTAAATTTTCTCAAATTAGGACCCAGGCTTTGAGCTTGGATTTCCAATCGGCCCCTACACAACCATTGAATGGTCTATTAAAATGTGGTGCCAATATACATTAATTGCCTAAATATAGAGTTAGAAACTAAAGCATTCGGCAAACCAAGGTTACACATATTTCCTAAACACGAACACAGTTTTACTTAAAATTTAAAGTATGTTTTGAAAAAAAAATCAGATGATTGTTGATTTCAGGAGGATTCAGTCAGCATATGTGGAGGAAATATTTGTATGGAAGACCTGGAATGCCCAGGTGAACAGAAGTGCTGCGACCACGCATGCGGCAGCAAACTGTGTACGGCACCTGTAATTGTCATGTCAAGTCAGTGTCCTGACGGATGTCCGGAGGGTAGGTACAGGGAGAGTTTCTTCCAGGCATGGATTTTATATAGTAAACATACACTTTTACTAGTGTCCGCCCCCCGCCCCCCAAAAATGTTTACCGCCCCCCGAAAATTTCAAGTCCCCCCCCCCCCCCCCCCCGGAGAAAAAAGTCTGGAAGAAACACTGGGTACAGGGAGATTGCTAGTGTCTCCTTTGTATTCATAACACTGTGAGAACAATTCAGATAGATACTCATTGTTTAAACTAGTGGTTCTTCACCTTTTTAGTGGTACTGAACCCCCAACAGTTATATAAGCGCGTTGCCGAACTCTTCGTAATAGTTCTATCGTCAGCGCTGAAAAAATCCGATCGTATGAGTCGGATTTGTGTCTTGACCTCTGTTTAACCACTGAGACCAAAGGCGTAGCGACGAGGGGGGGGGGGGGGTACATATGTCCCCGGGCGCCAACACTAGGGGCGCCAAAATGGGTTGGGGAAAAATTAAAAGCTCATTTTAGCTGCAGTTTTGAATTATAAATATAATATATATATATAGGGAGAGGCGCCAAACTGAAAGTTTGACCCCGGGCGCCGGGAGGGGTCGCTACGCCTCTGCCTGAGACTGACTCACTGAACTCCTGGATGTTTGATCGAACCCATGTTACGAACCACTGGTCAAGTCAGAGAAATATGCCCCGATAGAAAACAATCTTAAAAAGATCAGCGCATTAACAGTCTAAAATTAAGACATTATTTTCCGAGTTAAAATGCAAAAAGAGAATACTGAAAATGCCTACATTTCCATGTTTTTATAATGTCCACTACCTCTAGGATACTCATGTGAGATGAGACCATTGCCATGTCCAGTCGACGGTATGTGTATCCAAAGGATGGTCTACGTATGTGTTCAGGTATTTTGATATAAATGAAGACTTCATTTTAAGACAATGTAACTTTTTCCAAATCTAAAAATTGTAGTTTTATGTAGCGTGTAAATGCTCGAGGTTTGTCCAGTTATGTAAAACGAAACGTAATAAGGCTTGTAAGTCTCGGTCTCTCTCATTAAAAATCTGAAATCTCGTTAGCCAGGGATTATAACCAGCAATAAATAATAACAAACTGTACGCTTTAAAAAAATCACAATACAATATGGTCTTTATTTAAGCTAACCTACCTCTTGTAATCTATTATTACCATTGCTTACAGTTTTAAATAACTAGGGGAAGTAACCTTTCAATTATTTTAAAAGTATTTTATTTATTTGATAACATGATAACAATAGTCACATTTGGTTTAAATAATACTAAATGGCTAGTACGAAAACAAGTAAATGTTGACTTACTTTCCTATTACATATTACTATATCTATAGATCTATATTTTCCATATAAATGTAACTACAACAGAGTTGTTTTAAGTCAGATTTAATTTGATAAGCTGACTCAATATTGACTCACATTATTGTAGTTACGCAGTCTTGATTTTGCTTACAAAATTTAAAAAAAATAAAATAAAAAATAAAAAAGAGGATGAAAGATGAACGTCGTTTAAGAGGGATCAGAGTTAGTGTACAGTGTACATGAGGATTAGCTACAAATAATACGTTTAATTATAGTATTTAGGTTGTAATTGTGAATGACTTCACTCTACGCATATTTACCTGTACTTACCTGCACAGATTACCGACCCATGCGGCGGCTGTCTTGAAAACCAGGTGTGTATCGACACAGGCCGCAGGTGTGTCACCACACAGTGTCCTACCTACCAGTGTGTGGAGAACAATACCTGTGGTGGATGTCCTAGAGGACAAAAATGTGAACAGGTGTATCCGCCATGCGCGCCACCTATGTGTGAAACTGAGGACAACTGTATACAGCCAGAATGTAAACCAATAAACACATGTGTTGTTGATACGACAGTAAGTGTTTTAGTGTCAATTTAAACTAATGCATTTAAGTATCTGTATAGATAATATAGTTTGCTTAAACCGAAAAATTCCGAGTTCGAACCCCCGAACAAATGAGGTTCGTTAGTTGGGGACAGCAAATCATCTAGAGAAAACTCCAAAATTGAACAACTGATGCTAACACGGCATCACAGTAAAGGTTACTGATCAGGCCACAAGAGATCCAAGATGAAGTTCAACGGCCACGTGTTCGTGACCAAAGCTAGCCTCCTAAATGGAACCATCCGGTTGTGGTCAAGTATGGAGAGGGGTGTGGGGTGCTGCCATGTGAAACTTAGCCCTAGACACACCACTCTTTGGTGTCCAAGCTATCACAACAAGGATTAAGAGATGATTTAGATTGGATGTTTTAGATATCATTGTAGTCAGTAATCGCCGATACTAAAGGCAGTTATTTCTCCCTGTTGTTTTAATTTAATAAACATCACTATTCTTGATTAGCTGTAACCTCCCACTTTTGCCCATACTCTTATCTATGGTCAGCCCATCTGTATGTGGCCACCCAAAATATGTGTTTAGCCGAAAGAATATGTGGTTAGCTCACCTATATATAGCCCTACTAAATGTTGCCAGTCCAAATATATGTGGTCAGCCTAACTATTTGTGGTCAGCCTAACTATTTGTGGTCAGCCTAACTATATGTGGTCAGCCTAACTATTTGTGGTCAGCCTAACTATATGTGGTCAGCCTAACTATATGTGGTCAGCCTAACTATATGTGGTCAGCCTAGCTATATGTGTCAGCCTAGCTATATGTGGTCAGCCTAACTATATGTGGTCAGCCTAGCTATATGTGTCAGCCTAGCTATATGTGGTCAGCCTGACTATATGTGGTCAGCCTAACTATATGTGGTCAGCCTAACTATATGTGTCAGCCGAACTATATGTGGTCAGCCTGACTATATGTGGTCAGCCTGACTATATGTGGTCAGCCTAACTATATGTGGTCAGCCTAACTATATGTGGTCAGCCTAACTATATGTGGTCAGCCTAACTATAAGTTTCCAACTTCGGATTTAAAACCTAACAATATTAAGTCATACTCATGTATGTGCAGCTAGTACGTGGCCCAACATATTATATGTGGCCCACCATACTGTATGTAGCTAGCCTAACTATATGCGGTAAACCTAACTGTAAGTTTCCAACTTCAGATTTAAAACTGAACACTATTGAGAAATATACCAAGTTGTGGGCAGCTAGTACGTAGCCCAACATATTATTTGTGGCCCACCATACTGTATCTAGCTAGCCTAACTATATGTGGTCAGCCTAACTATATGCGGTAAACCTAACTACAAGTTTCCAACTTCGGATTTAAAACTGAACACTTTTGAGAAATATACCAAGTTACGGGCAGCTAGTACGTAGCCCAACATATTATTTGTCGCCCACCATACTGTATGTGGCTAGCCTAACAATATGCAGCCCACCATATCTGACCCAACAAACTAATTATTGCAACCAACCAATTTTAGCCCACCAACTTACAATAATTTTTTTTTCTTGGTAATATTAAATATACATTGCGTGTAGTTAAAATTCTGCTGATGATATTTCAAAAAGATGTCTTCAAGTCTTGCGTTAAGATGTCAATAAATGTTTCAGTTTACAGACGAGTGTGGTGGATGTCCAGACGGTCAAGAATGTGTGTCTACTGGTATCGTGTGTACAAAAGCTCCATGTCCGAGTTTTCAGTGTGTGGACAAAACTATAGACAAGGTAAGGTTTTGAGTTGGGGGCGTTGGTGTAAGTTATCAACAGCCGGGTTGAAACAATTTAGGATTTTAAGTTTTAGAAAATAAAAAAAAGTTAAAACACGCGGGTATTTTGTTTTTTTCCAGTAGACAATAGCTTGAAAATTGCTATTTTAAAATTAACAGTCAACTATTTACAATATACGCAATCGTTATAAAACCTATCGGTCTACGTGGCAGGTAAAGAAGAGTTCATATGTTTCAATGACCTCGTCATATTAAAAGAAAGTGTGGTTAGCACTCTGCCATGCTGTTTTTTCTTTTCCTAACGTAAGACAGGTACCCATTAGTGTTGGATGGACTCAGGGACGTGCTATGTCTTTAGCCAGGGAACTTAACTCCAGACTTTCGGATCAGCAGACGAATGATGTAGCATTCGACCAATCCGTCTCATATGTTATAGTGTCATTGTGGACTATTCCTCTTTAGCTTCGTTTCCATATTACAATTAGGACACGTCTTTTCGTCCCACTTATGCCTTTACATTAGCATATACTTATTTATCGTTTCGCTACAGCTTTTGCTTTCCTGCAGCAAATAACATATCTTTTGTATAATTGTTTTTTTTCCTAAAATAATACTTTTTAAATTACTTAACTCATCATCTTTCAGTTTGTTAACTCGTGTTCCGAGTGCTCACCAAATGAAGACTGTATCCCATCTGGTACTGAATGCTTCACGACCCCCTGCCCGAGCCTCAAATGTGTAGCCAAAACAACAACTACCCCTACAGAACCACCCGCAGTCTGTAACCGCCAATGCAGGAAAGGCTACACCTGCGTCCTGCGAGAACCACCCTGCAAGAAACGAAACTGCGACCGTGGGCCAGTTCCCACCTGCGTCCGAGAGGTTCCCCAGCTGGCGAGCTGTGCCAAACCTGGTCATATCTACAACAGAAATTCCTTCATGTGTAAGGGGGAGTTTCTGAACCGAAGGTGTGACAGTGATGCGGACTGCGATGCTTACAGAAACCAAAGATGTTGTCCTGATAGTTGCAACAGAAGAGTGTGTACTACAGTCCCACGTTTAAATTAACTCAGGCGGCAAAACAGATGGTTTGGAAACTGTATTAAGTCTAGGTTAAATGAAAACAATTTGTATCATTGCCTCAGGCATGCCATGTAATTTACAGTGTCAGTTTGCCTTGCCATGTTCGTTTTAATTTATAGTTTTTATCATGTTTGTGAGGACTGATAAAGGTTTACATTAAAATTGTAAAACTTTTATTTCTTACAAGTAAAAAAAAATGAATTCATGTGAAATCCAATTTGACAACAAGAAAATATTTACACCTTCTAAATATTAGTAAAAATAAAAATATATATTCTAATCGAATATTTGTGTTACTTCTCATTATTTTAGAAATTAGTAATTTTTACCTTATGATAATATACATATTCGTATAATATCATGTATGACTTTATTTATAAATTATGTCATAATCCGTTAGAATAAATTAAATAAATAAGCATAATACTATTTAAAATTATTCTTAAAATTTTCTATATTATGTAAATTAGCATGCTACTAGAGGCATCGAAGTTCTTCTCCACAATAGCAGGTCAAAGATTCTTGCCCCCTGACGCCACTGGGTTATTGCCCTACTGACGACACGGTAGGCAGGTGCCCTCGTGTGGAACGGGCAACCATCCGCAACAGAACTCTTCTTTTATGTATCCACAACGAAATGTCACGAGATCGTTCTGTAATACCAAGTGTATACTTACATTTCGTATGTGTGACTATTCTTTGGCTTTGATAGAATAGACACGATATCGCTATGTTAGTAGGTATATAGGGAATTTCAATGTTTTAATATTAATATAAGAATAATGATACTAAAACCACATATATCTAGACAAAATATCTCAGGTGTAAATATATGAGTAACCAGTGTTTCTTCCCCGAAGAGTCTAACCCCCCCCCCCCCCAACAAAATGGAATTTACATAGAAAATATACTTTTAACAGTGTCCGCTCCCCGGAAGTTTTAGTCCGCCCCCCCCCCACCACGAAATTTTCAAGTGCCCCCTCCCACGGAGGAAACGTCTGGAAGAAACACTGTGAGTAACAAAGCTATCATGGACAAAATATATGGGATTATAATTTTGTCGTAAAATATTTTGTCTGGGGTATTTTATTTGAGATAATTTGTCCTGTTCAAAGTCTACGCGTTGCAAAATTGGGTGACCCGTCAAAAGAGCGCACGACAAAAGAGCGCCGACATAAGAGCGCAGACAAAAGAGCGCCGACATAAGAGCGCAGACATAAGAGCGCAGACAAAAGAGCGCCGACATAAGAGCGCCAACAAAAGAGCGCAGACAAAAGAGCGCCGACATAAGGGCGCAGACAAAAGAGCGCCGACAAAAGAGCGCAGCCAATTAAAAAACACATGTTGTACGCTAAACGAATATGACATGGTTAACACGTGTTTTAATTAAACAATCGGCGGTACGATAAAACGACCTTTTTATTTATATATTATGGTTAATATGTTATGAATGCAATTTGAAAATATTTCTAGCCCAAGTAACATGGAGAAGATCGAATCACAGAAAGGGAAGGTTATTGTATTGGTCGAAGGCTACAGATGTGGAAAGGACAGAGCAAATGCTGATGGAAGTACGACATGGAGATGCTGCAAGAAAGATGGCTGTCGAGGACGGATAAAAATGCTGAACGATGTTGTTATGTCATCATCGAAACACATTAATAACAAGGCTCTTGCTATTTAGAATGTACATAATCGTGTCGCTGAAAATCTACCCCGTACAAACAACTCAGACGAGGCATGGCACTGCGCTTTCCAACAAACGGTAGATTGCAATCATCCTTCCGTTTATAAATTGATCAACCAGTTTCGTCTGGAACAAGATCACTTCGAAATCGAACTGGAACGTCATCTAGCTGGAGATAATCAATCAGAAGCTTCAAAGAACAATTATGTCCAGCTGAACCGAAGATTGCAGGGGATTGCTTCAACCTATTCTAATAATTCAATGGTGGACTACCTACGAGGTATAGCCCACAACATAGCAATATAAATGAAACTATAAAGAAACGTTTTATTAATTTAAACTTATTTTCATTTTGTTACATTTCAGTTTATATTCTCACTTGAGTCTAACATTTAAAATCTTTGTATGTGTTATTAGATTGCATTTTGAATAATTGAACTTCACGTTGATAATACCAGTTTTTTTTTTAGTTAAAGAAACTGAACAATTAGTTTTTTAATGAAACAATACAGATTTAACATCAAACGATGCCTTCTGATCTGAGTAAATTTTCATGTTCCTATTTATTAAATCTGTTTTTTTCAATTTTTAATTTGCGCTCTTATGTCGGCGCTCTTTTGTCGGGAAATTAGTGCGCTCTTATGTCGGCGCTCTTATGTCGGCGCTCTTTTGTCTGCGCTCTTTTGTCGGCGCTCTTTTGTCGTGCACTCTTTTGACGGGGTGCCGCAAAATTGATTAGTCGTTCAATCAATAAGGTCAGTTACCAAGTACGTTTGTTGTTTACCTAACTTTATGTCAATTCAAAACTGATAAACATAAAACATTTTAATGTAATAATTCTTTAAAAGATCGACAATAGAAAATGTGGTAATTTATCACGATTGTTTCTGTTTTGTTCTAACACATTTCATAGAATTTTTAACACAAAAATTTACTTTATTTTATTTAGAACTAGCGTACCCGACCCCCGCGCGTTGCCGCGGGGATAGAAGAAAGTCTGACGAAATATATTAGAAGGATATCACCAATGCATTACCAATCATATGTTCTTAAACGCGTGTCCTTCTTTTCTAAAACTGTGTTGTTTAAATGTAAACAATGCTTGCGCTTGGATAATAATTATCGGGACACGGGTTTTCCTACAATACCGCCTGAAAACCTTGAGTGTACATTAATTACTCACCGAAATAATGAGGTAGAACACACTTCGGTGACCACCCATGTGTCAGGGACGTAGAGGGGCGCTCTCAGGAGCCCACCACCCACCGATTACACTACCGCATAGGCACAGCGTACGGCCCCTGGCTCCTTAAAACTAACGGGCGCCATCGTGCTCATAGAATAACCTAGCGTGCCAATAGCATCCTGTTAATAATGATGCAGATTTTGTCATTCGCTAAAGTGACACTAATGAACAGAATTTTTTTCTTTAACACGTAAAAAAATTATTTGACGTGTTTTATACATCAGTGTGACTGATGCAATATGCTAGCGTTACTAATGGTCTATTATAAGTTGCTCGATCTCAATTTCTGACTGGATCGTCTAATAATAGATGCTTATTGCATCATTCGCAAGGTGACGAAACTCTACAGTAAGCTCCTCATATTCAAAAGGTTATTTTTTCATCTTTCACAAGGTGACGAAACTGTGCAGAAGGATTTCCTCGAGTTACAAAGTTAGTTTTTAGAAGCCCGTTGTTGTTTTACCGCTGAATATAGTAGTACCCCTTACTCGCTATGCAGGATGCTCGATTAACGGATGCCTAGTGCCAACATAGTCGCTCTAAAACTCTGGGCGCCAAACCGTGTATTGACGAAAATTGAACCCTACATGGCGCCGCCCATAAGAAACTTTAGTTTTCTTTTTCGCAGAAATATTATCGGGAGTATTCTCATCTACTCCCTAAAGTTTCATGGCAATCTGATGAACCGCATCCGAGTTTTTTTTTTATATAACTTGTATAGAGAAAAAAATCGCTCCCCCCGGGGGCACCGCCCTTGCAATATTAAAAAAAATATTTTTTTGCAGAACCCTACCACTGAGTGATCTAATCTTCTCCCCAAATGTTCACGGTACACGAATGAACGGTGTGAAACCAAAATAGACTTTATTTTTATATACCGTATATAGAGAAAAAAAAATCGCGCCCTACCGGGGCGCCACCCCTGCGAATTTGAAATATTTTTTTTCGCAGAAACCTCCACAGGAATATTCACAACAACTTCCCAAAGTTTCACGGCGATGTGATGAGAGGTGTAGTAATGCATAAAGGACAAACAGACAGATAGACAGACAATCACACATACATTGCTTTATATATATATAGATACATAAACTCTTTTCGACAAATGTCTGGTAACTCTTAGTCCTTAAAGTATTTATACAAACCCCATTATAAAATTGCTATCGCTGGGCTAAAGATATATATTTGTGTACACATAATTATTTCCCGCATATTTCATCCGGAGTGGTTAACAAACCTGCACCGCATCACGTGACTCGTCAGGTATTTTAAATTAGAGTAGAGCTGGGAGACTGGTTGAACGTAATTTATTTTACAGCAACGATCGACATGTGTTCGTGTTTGTTCTGTTTAACAGTAAGTTGGTCTTCATTCAAATACACCAACATATGGTGGAGATATTCAACCACAGTTTGTTTATTCCTAAAACTATTATAAATCTTTTAGGTATATTTAAACAAAAAGTATGTAGGCTTATTTCTCTGGAAAAAAAAAAAAAAAAAAAAAAATATATATATATATATATATATATATATATATATATATATATATATATATATATATATATATATATATTATGTATGTTTACATGTATTGTTAGCCTATGAATATATGTTTGTGTTATGCATGTGTGTGTGCTTGATTAACAAATTATACTTACGACTAACTATATCTTGTAATCCTAAATAGGTGATTGCCCTGCTAATTACAGTAAGTTCACTCCATATCAATTTATTTTTAACAAAGACATTTTAAACGAATTTAAGTTTTAATATTCATAGTATGATTCTTTTAAGTATAATGGTTCTCGCAGGTATCAACAGAGTACATACTTCATGATTTTTAGTAATGCGATGTACTAAAACTCTCAATAATAAATGTAACAAAGTTAAATGATAAAGCTTGTACTTCTTTATTAAAATGTTATGTTAAAACATATATATTCACTACTTTATCTATTGGCCTGTAAAATATGTGATCAAAATATATTTTTCTTTTTTATCAATAGACTGCGGTGGGTAAGTAAACAATAGACAATCTCGACTGGTCTTAACGAAATCTGTTAGCTAGTGTATAAGTTATTTTAGTTAATTAACAAGGACAAGAGAAAAAACACATTTGAATTAAAAGTAAATAATAAATATATATATATATATATATATATATATATATATATAAAGTTCAATTCTTTCTGTAAAATGTTTGTAAGATGTTTGTAATCGAGGATTACAAAGGAATATAGGGAAAAAAATAATTACATAATTAGCGGGTATTGATTAAGTGCAATGTCGTTGGTATTTTTAATACTGCCTTTTATTTGTTCTATACACTGAACATACTGTTTACTGATTACTTTTTTTAAATCGATAACATTTAATAAAACAGGTCCTACAAATCCTATATGTTTATTTCTTTCCATTTACGGATAAGCTTGGAGTATTATAATTTGGTTCACTAAATTGAAACAGGTGCGTCCGCCGGCGCACCTGCACGGTTCGATTTGGCGCCCTGGGCTATCATGTGAGCGCTATGCTGCATAATTTCGTTTTAAACAGTGCGAAAGATTATGAATAAGAAAGTTACTATAGTCTTTAAGTGAATCAAATCCGGGCGTCATCCGGCGCCCCGGGCTTTCCCGCGTTCTCAATGGTACCTACGTTCGCGTAAGTGAGTTCAAAAGACTATGAATAAGTTGGGTACTATAGTCATTTACTAAGTTGAATCAGTCGGTTACGCCGCACGTTGTCATGGTGCGATTTGGCGCCCCGGGCTAGACTGTGGACACTGAGTTTACATTTGCGTTTGTGTTTTCTTTGTGTTTGAGTTTGGGTTTGCGTTTGTGGTTGTGTTTGCGTTTGGATTTGGGTTTGGGTTTGTTTTCGTTTGTTTTTTTTCTTTGCGTTTGTGTTTTCGTTTGCTTTTTTTTCTTTGCGTTTGTGTTTTCTTTGTGTTTATGGTTGTGTTTGTGTTTGCGTTTGTTTTTGTGTTTTCGTTTGTGTTTGTATTTGTGTTTGTGTTATGTTTGCGTTGTTTTTTTTGTGTGTTTTGGTTTCGTTTGGTTGTGGTTAAGTTTGTGTTTGAGTTTGAATTTGTTTTCGTTTGCTTTTTTGTTTGCGTTAGTGTTTGTGTTTTCTTTGTGTTTTTGGTTGGGTTTGTCATTGAGTTAATATATATATATATATATATATATATATATATATATATATATATATATATATATATAGATAGATAGATAGATAGATAGATAGAGAGAGAGAGAGAGAGAGAGAGAAAGAGAGAGAGAGAGAGAGAGAGAGAGAGAGAGAAATATACATATACATATATATATATATATATATATATGTATATAACATCGAACTTAAAATTGTTATTAATTAATTTTTAAACAATAAATACAGGTACATGAGTTTGATAAAATGAGAAATTGTTTTTGTCTCGGCAACTTTCCGAGTGTAAGAAAATGTGGTGTGGGGGGGGGCGGTAAAGAGGTCATAATGTCCCAAGGGCACGTCCACTGCTTTATTATTATATAAATAATAGATAGGAATCATAAAGCCTTGTGACTCTAATCTTCACAATTATCGTTTTTAAGTTATAAAATTCTACTCGCGGACGATCTCAACACGACTAAGATAAATATTTCGTCTATTTTGTTCTAGGCAGAAAAGATCCATGTTCCAGGTTCATCTGCTACAACGGGGGAGTGTGTATCAGAGCCTTTGGCAGCCCCCATACCTGTGTGTGTCCACCTGATTTCACCGGACCACGATGTAAAACAAAAGTGACGACTACGGCCAGATGTCCAGTACGCGATATTAACTTGGTGACCAGTGGTAGCTGACGGATAACAATGACAATAATTTACATTGCACACACAGACACCCCATCCCACCCCACCCCCACACACACGCAAACACACACACACAATAGCCGCTGATAACTAATGCAGCATCTCACCTAACAATAACATTAACACAAGAGATAAACCATATTATCACTAATCTAGCTTAAGACTAGCATGGACATCACATTGCACCTATATTTTCGTTAAGCCTAGTGACCTAGATCTAGATTCTTCTTGATCTAGGATCTATACTTTTTCGTTCCTTTGACAGCTGATCTGTAGATCTAGATCTAGATCTAGAGAAATTTATTGAATAAGATAATAAAAAGAAAATTGATATAAGTGTTGAAACGTAATAAAAACAGCAAACGGACGTATCGTTAAAGTTATAGGCGATAGAAAATTAGCTTTAGAACGCGTTAAACATTAGAATGGGCAACAAAATCTTGTATGGAAGCCGCCATTGTTAATGTAAAAAGTAAATAAATCATGAGACGTCACTATTTACTCTAAGTAAAGTCACTGTTCTGAATGTGGTTAATCTACCAATAAATAAATCAATAAATTAATTAACGTCTTAAAATACATTTGTGATTAACAGTCTTCCTAAAAACAAAAATTGTTCTCTACCTAAGTACTATTTTACAGCTCTACACATAATGTAGATTCTCTTCTGTAACCAAACGGACAAACAAAAAACAGTAAAAAAAACATTCAAACACGTAAACAAACTTGAGTTTTAGTAGTATATAGATAGATAGATAGATAGTCTAGGGTGTGTTTATATAACAACTTAAATTTATTTTTAGTTGCCACTGTTTTTACTCTTTTGAAATAAGGTAAAGAAAATATTTAAAACCACGCAAATTGCTTATACATATTACACGGATCAATATCAAATATTACTTTCGTTTACTAATTATAATTTTTAATCAACTATTCCATACTATCTTGTTAATTAGGTGCGCAATGATTTTAGTCATGAAACTCTATTTAAAATTGAATGTACTGAAAATAAAATGCATGAACTGATAAAGTGCAATATAGTAAGTAAAACACGGATATTTTAAATACTGCCTTTTATTTATTTTATACACTGAAAGAACTGTTTACTAATTATTAGTCTATTTTTCGGTTTGCGGACAAGCTGGGGGTTTTATAGTCGTTCACTGAATCAGGCGTGTCCGCCGGTGCTCGGACAGGTTGCGATTTGACACAATGTCTAGACTGTAAGCACTATGCATTTATTTTTACATTAAGTCGTGTTTATGTTATGAGTTTTGTCTTTTGTGTTTGTGTGTTAACATTTGGGATTGCATTGTGTTTGTGTTTTCTTTTGTGTTTTATTTGTGTTTGTGTTTTCTTTTGTGTGTGTGTTTTCTTTTGTGTTTATGTTGTGTTTATGTTGTGTATGTGTTGCAATTGTGTGGTGGTTGTGTTGTGATGAGTTTGTGATATGTTTTCTTGTGTTTGTGTTCTGTTGTGTTTGTGTTGTGTTTGTGTTATGTTTGTGTTGTGTTTGTGTTGTGTTCGTGTTATTCTGTTCCCAAGTTGGTACATTTAAAAAAGATTTACCGAAGCGGAGCACGGGAATGCAGCTAGTAATAAATATATTCGGAAAGCATACATTTTTGTCAGAATATCAATTTTTAAAAAATCAATTAGTATAACTACCAAAACATAAACATAATGTTGTCTAACCTAACTTATTCTAAACAAATAGCTTATATACAAATAATAGTTTAGCTTATATTTATATGCTTACCTGTTGTGTTACATTTTGCAGGCTACAGAAACATTTGGAATACAGGAAGGAAAAAAATGTGTAAGTGACACAATGTGTGCAGACAATCAGATCTGTTGTTACAGCGCTACTGACAGAAGATGTACTTACGTGCCCAATCACCTTGAACTCGTATGTCATTTCAATATGCATTTATTAAGTTTACAATGTCTGTCGGTTTGTTTTTATTTTTGTGGCAAATCTATAAAATACATGTATTCTTTCTCGACTCCTAAGACTATGCAAGGGCGTATATATTTTAATCTATTTATATTAGATTTGTCTTTAAAAATTATATCAAATAAAGCTTAATTAAACAGGGAGGTAACAACATAATTAATCCAAAGCGACAACTCTATCTGCTTTGAAACCAAAGTGTAATATTGATTACGGATGGTTGATTTTTAAACAAGCTAAGAAATGGCTTATTAAAGGTTTTCAGTACTTGAATACTTTAATTGGAAAGTGTGATATTATAAACTTTTAATAAAACATATATATGCCATACAGAGCTGTAAACATGTTTAACGCTATCATGGTAGAAATACTATTGATGAATTTCCTTAATTCTAATTACCTTCATTTCAATTGTTGATCGACAAATTATCGTTTAACACTATTCACCATTTTGTTCTTGTAAATGATAATTTTTGTAAATGTTTCAATTATGTTATATATTAACGTCCATACACATTGTATATGCTGATGTAATTATTTCTATTTGAAAATAAACGTATGAAAAAATAATAAAAAATGTTATGATATTTTCTTTACAGCTCTACAACCCTACCTGTGGCGGGTGTCCCGGACTTCTGGAATGCATAGAAATAGATAAAAAGTACAGATGCGTCTTCCTCGAGTGAAACCATACAACAGTCTGGAATTCCTAATAATCCAGACGATTTACCTTACTAATTTAAAACTGCAATAGAACCTTAATATAAAAACATTATAAAATTGTATCAAAACTGCTAATTGTATGCCATTTTATTTTTTGTGATTAAAGTATCTTCCTTTTAAACTAATCTTAATATATTGTCAAAAAGCATACTACAAATAAACTTGTATAAATAAAATGGCCATAATGTGTTCTGTTATTGTCTACAAATTTTGACATTTGTATGGTAAATGTTAACGTAATTAATTTATTAACATAGTTACATTTGTGCTGGTGAGTTTTATACAATTTAGTTACCAGTGACAGATATTGTGTAGTTCGCGTTTTTATTGTTCAAACTTATCTACCCTTTATCTAATGTGTAGATAATATAAAATAACTAAAACATGAAAGTGATCTACCACAAATTAGATACCTAAAGGAATTATCTTATGTTTAATTCGGGGCATTCGATGATGAAAAACAGCGGCGGAACTACCATACCAGCATTTGGAGGAGGGGGAAAGAATGGCAGGTGTTTTGAAGGCTCAGATACCGCCAATATAAAATACTAGTTTGCATTTTTAAAAAGATTTTTAAGAAAAAATAACATATCTACTACGTTAGTGATTGTTCCACAGTAACTACCACATGCTGTAGCGTTGAAAATAAACCGGGAGTGATCTCCCCTAATCTTTCTCGAATATTCTTATACGAAGCAACAGGGGATGTCTACTCGGGATATAGACATGATTTTTAATCCATTCTAAATACGTAAACCTTTTAAAACGAGAAAAATGGCCCGTTGAGGAAGGATACAACGGGCGCTAGGTTGATAGTGCTGTCTATTTTCTCTAAACTAAAACCAAAACAAAAATCACCACCTTAATTCAATTTAACCGGAAACAAAAAATGACATTTGAAAACGGATTTTTATCCAGAATCGGTACTTTAATTTATACAAAATATAGTCATAGGCATATCCCTGAACCATGCACCTAATCTCATTCATGACAAAAGTCGCATTTAGAGTTTCTTTCATGCAACTCTACTTGGGAGGAGGGGGATCCGCCCCCCCCCCCCACCCACACACACCCCAAAACATGTCTACCGTCCCATTCAACGAAATATAATTATGTACTTTTTCCAGTGTCCGCCCCCTCCTAGAAAATTCTACCCCCGCCCCCCCCCCCCCCCCCCAAAAAAAAAATTCAAGTACCCCCACACCTCACGGGGCAGGAAAAAGTCTGAAAGAAACACTGGTCGCATTTGTAGATCATACAATCTAAAGGAAGAACCTGGGCGGGGAAGAAAAAAAAACTATGCACACTAAACTTTTTAGATTAGAAAATGTTTCCCCCTCCGGGGAGGATAAAGTCTGAAAGAAACACTGGTGTCGCGCTTAGCCACTACCCGAAGAATTGCACGAAAGAAACTGCAAGCAAACCACTTTTTAGATTAGACACATTAATTAGGCGGTAATTTTTATTATAGAGTATCGATGAAGAAATTTCTTTTGAGTTGGGCTTAGACGTTCTTTCTGGAGGGTGGGGCTTCGCCCCTACCCGAAGAATTGAATGAATGAAACTCTTCACGCAAACCACTTTTAAGATTAGATTAAATTGCCTTTATATTCAATGTTTACTCGAGAATCAATGACGTCATATTACTGTGTGCACTCTCCGGCTTGATATTATTTTCTACTCTATGCTCAATACGACGTCATATTTCGTTTTCGTTTCACTGTGAAAGTTTTTAAATTGCTTGTGTTTTCTCTAGAGCGATCTTGTCAGATAGATAGATACACAGATAGATACATAGATACACCGACAGCGAAACTATTATTATAGACGAGAAAAATGGCCCGTTGAGGAAGGATACAACGGGCGCTAGGCTGATAGTGCTGTCTCTTTTCTCTAAAGTAAACCCCCCCCACCCCCCACCCCCCACACACACCCCCACCCCCACCCCCCCCCCCCCACCCCCCAAAAAAAAACATGTCTACCGTCCCATTCAAAGAAATATAATTATATACTTTTTCCAGTGTCCGCCCCTTCCCCGAAAATTCTACCCCCGCCCCCGAAAATTTCAAGTACCCCTGCCCTCTCCGGGGAGGAAAAAGTCTGAAAGAAACACTGGTGTCGCGCTTAGCCACTACCCGAAGAATTGCATTAAAGAAATTGCAAGAAAACCACTTTTTAGATTAGACACATTAATTAGGCGGTAATTTTATTATAGAGTATCGATGAAGAAATTTCTTTTGAGTTGGGGAGGGGGGGCTCAGACGTTCTTAAGCGGGGATGGGGCTTCGCCCCTACCCGAAGAATTGTATGCAAGAAACTCTTCACAGCAAAACATTTAGATTAGACAAAATTGCCTTTTTATTCAATGTTTACTCGAGAATCAATGACGTCATATTACTGTGTGCACTCTCCGGCTTGAGATTATTTTCTACTCTATGCTAAATGTGACCACGTCATCTTTCGTTTTTCGAATTACTATGCATGTTTTTAATTTGCTTGTGTTTTCTCTAGAGCGTTCTTGTCAGACAGATATATAGATACATAGATAGATAGATAGATACATAGACAGCGAAACTATTATTGTAGATAGAATAGAACCTCGTAGGGAAAATAATTGCACACCAAGTGAACGCAAAAAAAAAATGTGCATAATTGTGCGGAATATTATTAGTACTTTATGAATTCACATGCGCTTTTTAACGTTTTTATTTTTTTTTACTGAAGCGTTAAATAGTTAAAGCTGGATAATGTAGGCTTATTTATTATCTAAATATTTCGGTATGTTTTAGATAAGAAACTTAAATGAGTCATAACTATGTTATTTAGATGTTATAATCGTATGAAAACAGATATCCGTTTCATTTTATTTGAACTAAACGGAATTTAAAGTAAAATGTGTATTTTTATCTGATTAAAAGCGGCTATTCATTGATTGAGCATCTAGCGACGATCAAATTATAGCCAAGTATTTCTGCTTGGATTTCCAATGCACAATCATTGAATGATCTATTACAATTTGGAGCTATTGTACATGAAGTGCATAGAGATATAGTTAGAAACTAAAGCATATTACAAATTGTCCTTAAACACGAACACAGTCTTACTTAAAATTTAAAGATATGTTTTGAAAAATATCAGATGACTGTTGATATCAGGAGGATTCAGTCAGCATATAAGGGAAACTATACTTTACTATAATTAAACGCATAATTTGAAGATAATCATCATGAACATCTATGGGGCAAGTGAGGTAGAGTTCACTTGTTTCTGTGACCTCGGCATATGAAGAGATAGTGTAGTCAGCACTATGCTTAAAGTGTTAGGTACCCATCAGAGTTGGGTGGACTCAGGGACGGTCTACTGACTTTTACCCGGATTCGAACTCTAGACTTACGTGTTAGCAGTCCAGCTCTCTACCGCTAGACCACTCCGTCTAATTTTTAATTATAGTATTTAGGTTGAAATCGTGAACGATTTCACTATTTTCACTCAAACATATTTACCTGTACATTTTTTACCTGCACAGATTACCGACCATGCGGTGGCTGTCTAGAAAACCAGGTGTGTATCGACACCTGCCGCATGTGTGTCACCACACCGTGTCCTACCTACCAGTGTGTGGATAACAATACGTGTGGTGGATGTCCTAGAGGAGAAAAATGTGAACAGTTGTGTCCGCCATGCGCGCCACCTACGTGTGAAACTGAGGACAACTGTATACAGCCTGAATGTAAACCAATAAACGTCTATGCGGACCGCACCGGGTGGCACCATTTAGGGGGGGGGGGGTGACACCAAGGCGAAAAATAGCAAAATATATAGAGAAAAACTTGAGGGGGCGGGGTGCAAATCGAAAGTTTGAAGGGGGGGGGGGGGTGCAAATCGAAAGTTTGAGGGGGGGGGGGGGGGGTGGTGCAAATCGAAAATTTGAAAGTTCGTCCCCGGTTTCGAAACTATATTAAGTCTAGGTTAAATAAAAACATTTTTTTTTTTAAATTGCCTCTGTCAAGTCATGTAATTTTAAGCGTCAGTTTGCTTTTGCTGTGTTCGCTTTAATGTATAGTTTGTATCATGTTTGTAAGGTCTGGTGCAGATTTACAATTATAATACTATTTTTTCTGCCAAGTAAAAATAAAAGCATGAATTCATATGAAATCCATTTTAACAGTCGACAAGAAAATGTTTACTCTTTCTAAACATTCGTGAAAATAAAAATATATAGTCTAATTGATTTTTTAAAATTACTTCTCATTATTTTAGAACTTAGTAACTTTAACCTTATGATAATACACATATTCGTATAACATCATGGTTGACTTTATGTATAAATTATGTCATAATCCGCTAGAATATGTAAATAAGTATTCAACTATTAAAAATTGTTCTTAAATTTTTCTAGATTACGGAAATTAGCATGCTAATAGAGGAATCCAAGTTTTTCTCCACAATAGCAGGTCAACGATTCTTGCCCTCTCACGCTACTGGGTTATCGCCCGTCTGGCGACACGGTAGACAGGTGCACTCGCGTGGAACGGGCAACCATCCATAACAGTGCTCTTCTTTTATGTATCAACAACTACATCAACAAGAGATCGTTCGTTAATACCAAGGGTATACTTACATTTCATATGTGTGACTATTCTTTGGCTTAGATAAAATAGACACGATATAGCTATTTTAGAAGGTATTTAGGGAATTTCAATGTTTTCCGATTAATCTAAGAATATTGATACTAGAACCAAATCTATAAAGACAAAATATCTCACGGTCAAGTATATGACTAACCAGTGTTTCTTCCAAGCATTTTTTCGAAAAAAAAGTAATTTATATAGAAGATATACTTTTATTTCGCCTCCCCCCCCTTCCTGGAAATTTCAGTCCGCCTCCCTGAAATTTCAAGTGTGTCCCCCCCCCACCCCCCCGCCCCCTCCAGAGGCAAAAAAGTCAGGAAGAAACACTGTGGGTAACATTGCTATCATAAACAAAATATATAGGATTATTAATTTGTCGTAACATACCTTGCCTGGGGTATTTTATTTAAGATAATTTGTCCTGGCCGCAATCTACGTGTTGCAAAATTGATTAGTCGTGCAATCAATAAAATCAGGTACCATCTATTTTGCTTTGGCACTACGTATGCATTTTACCTAATTTTAAAGTGTAAATTTAAAACTGATAAACATAGAAAATTTTAATGTAATAACTCTCTAAAAAATCGACACTAGAAATTGTGGTAATTCATCACGAATGTTTCTGTTTACTTCACAGAAATTTTAACTTAACTTTATTATATTCAGAAAATAGAAACTCTTTTGGAAAAGTGTTTAGTAGCTCTAGAGAATATACAATACCCATTGTAAATTTGCTATCGCTGGACTAAGGATACATATTTACGTACACAAAATTATTTCCATGATATTTTATCCGGAGTGGTAATCAATGCTGCAAGCATCAGATGACACGTCAATTATTTTTAGTTGAAGTAACCTGGTAAACTGGTCGAAACTAATTTATTTTAAACCAACTATTGACATGAGTTCGTGTCTGTTCTGTTTAACAGTAAGTTGATCTTCATTAAAATACATGAACATATGTTTTGTTGAGAGAATGTATATATATATATATATATATATATATATATATATATATATATATATATGTAAATATATATATATATATATATATAAATTTATATATATATATATATATATATATATATATATCTATATATATATATATATTTACATATATATACAAATATACATATAAATATATATATATATATATATATATATATATATATATATATATATATATATATATATATATATATATATATCTATATATATATTGTGTATGTTTGTATGTATTGTTAGCTTATGTATAGATGTTTGTGTTTATGTATTTGTGTGTGCTTGTTCAAAAAAATGATAGTGACGACTAACTATACTTTGTTATCCTAAATCCTAATTAGGTGACTGCCGTGCTAATTACCGTGAGTTCATTCCTAATCTATTTATTTTTTAACAAAGACATTTCAAACGAATTTAAGTTTAAATAGTCATAATATAATAAGTCTCGCAGGTATTAACGTAGTACATACTCTATGCTTTTTAGTAATGCGATGAAGAAAAAACTCTCAATTATAAATGTAACAAATTTATATGATAAAACTTGAACTTCTATGTGGAATTGTTATGTTAGAACATATTTATTCACTAGTTTAGCTATTGGTCCGTAAAATATTTGATTACAATATATTTTTTTGTTTTTGTCATTAGACTGCGGTGGGTAAGTAAACAATAGATAATCTCAACTGGTCTTAACGAAATCTGTTTGTTAGCGCATCAGTTATTTCAGTTTACCAGCAAGGAAATGAGAAAAATAAACCATTTTAATTATAAGTGGACAGGTGTTCAATGTCCCCATGGCACGTCCACCGTTTTATTATTATATAAATAATAGATAGGAATCATAAAGGTTTGTGACTGTAATCTTTACATGTTTTTGTTTTAAGGTATATAAATTCCACTCTTTGACGACTTTAACACGACTTAAATTTTTCGTCTATTTTGTTCTAGGCAGTGAAGATCCATGTTCCAGGTTCATCTGCTACAATGGGGGATACTGCAGTGCTAATGGCAGCCCCTCTACCTGTGTGTGTCCACCTGATTTCACCGGACAACGATGTGAAAAAGAAGTGACGCCAACTGCAAGATGTCCAGTACGTGTTATATTAACTTCATGAGGAGTGGTAGTTGATGGATAACAATGACAACAATTTACAACACAAACACACACACACATACACACACGCACACACACCCCACACACACAAAAAAAGAAACATACACACATAAATTCCGATTATATCTAATACAGCATGTCACCTAACATGTCTTGGAACTTTAAAGCAACAGCCAATATAGACAAATGTCAAGGCACGTAAATGGGGATGGATCGGACACACATTAAGAAAAGAGAAAGAAAACATCGCAAAACATGCTTTGGAATGGAATCCCCAGGAAAAAAAGGAGGGTGGGCCGGAGACATGGAGAAGAACGGTTGAAGAAGAGGCGAAAGCAGCTGGGCACACATGGGCACAGATAAAGGAGGCAGCCCAAAACCGAGTCCGCTGGAGATGTGTGGTTGCAGCACTTTGCTCCCCAGGGGCCATAAAGGAATGATGATGATGGCATCTAACAATAACATTAACACAAGATATATACTATATTATCTCTAATCTGGCTTATTTAAGACTAGCACGGACATAACATTGTATAATAAATATATTCGGAAAGCATACATTTTTGTCAGAATAGCAAATTTCTTTATCAATTAGTATAACTAACAAATCGTAAAATAAATGTTGCCTAACCTAATTTATTCTAAACAGATAACTTATATAAAAAAATAGTATACCTAATAATTATTTAAAGCCTTATTTGATGTGTGACATTTAACAGGTTAAAGAGACAAGTGGCTTTGGAATACATGGAGGAATAGCTTGTTCAGATGACCTCCCTTGTGCAGACGATCAGATCTGTTGTAACAGCGCTACTGGCAGAAGATGTACTTACGTGCCCAATCATCGTGACCTCGTATGTCTTTTCAATATGCATTTATTAAATTTACAATATCTGTGCATTTATTAAGTTTACTATGTCTGTGCATTTATTAAGTTTACCATGTATGTCGGTTTGTTTGTGGGTTTGTGGCAAGTGTCGGTTTGTTTGTGGTTTTCTGGCAAGTCTATAACATTTATTCATTTATTTAATGCAGCGTTTTTTTTTTGAATTTACGGATACACTCGACTCCTAAGAAAACGCAAGGGCGTCTATATTGTAATCTATTAGATTACTCTTTAAAAATTAAAAAAAATGTTTCAAATAAGGATTAGTTAAAAAGGGGGAGGTAACAAAATAATTAATCCAAAGCGACATCTCGATCAGCCTTGTAACCAACGGGGAATATTAATAACGGATGGCTAATTTTAATGAAGATAAAAAGAGCCTATTAAAAGTTACCAGTAATTGAATACTTAAATTGGAATCTGTGATGTTTTGAAATTATCTTTACAGAATAACCCTACCTGCGGCGGGTGTCCTATGTATCAGGAATGCCTGAAAACAAGAAAAAAGTGCAACGTTGATCCTTGCATAGGTACGAAGTACAGTTGCATCATCCCCAGGTGAAACCACCCAACAAGCTGGAATTCATAATAGTCCAGTCAATTTACCTTACTAATTCATAAATCCAATAGGAACTATAAAAATATGTTATAAAATGGTATAAGAAATGCTAATTGTATGCCATTTATTTTTTTGTGATTAAACTATATTCCTTTTTGACATAATCTTAATACATTTTCAAAAGCATACTAAAAATAAACTTCTATGTATAAAATTCCCATAATGTGTTCAGTTATTGTCTAAAAATATTGACATTTGTATGGTAAATGTTAATGTCATTCATTTAAGGGAGTTACATTTGTATGGTATATGTTAATGCAATTCATTTAAGGGAGTTACATTTGTATGGTAAATGTTAATGTAGTTCATTTAAGGTAGTTACATTTGTACTGGTGTGTTTTATAAAATTTAGTCAGCAGTGAAAGGTATAGTGTAGTTGTGTTTATATTGTCCTAATGTATTTACCATTTTAAACGATAATGTGTAGATATTATAAAATCAATAAAACATAAAAGGGATCTACACAATAATCAAATATCTAAAGGAATGTTCTTATGTTTAATGCGGAGCATACTATAATGAAAAACAGCGGCGGAACTACCATACCAACAATATGGAGGGGTGAGTGGAGAAGAATGGCAGGCCGTTTTAAGGGCTCAGAATCCGTCAAAATAAATGCTAGTTCTACACATTTATATAGATTTGTAAAAAAAAAAAACATCTACTACTTTAGTGATTGTTACACAGTAATTAACACACGCTGTTGAGTTGAAAAAAATCGACATGAGCTGCAGTGTGAAAGATAGGCAAACGTTCACACTACTTCAATGGCATATTGCTCTTTTTTAAACAGTCTTATAGGCGACTAAATTAAGCTCATGTAAATCGGTTTATGCTGACCAAATTAACAAGAAATTGCTTCTCTTGATATTTATTCTGTAAAAGCATACTAAACAATGACCAATCCACACACATTTTTTAAAAAAATAATTATGTAACAGTTTTAAGTGTTAATTTTATTCCTATATTTATTATATTCAAATTATTATTTTTAAAAATATTTATTAAAATATTCAGCAAATATCTAGAGATATTTTAATACACTCATTGGGCGTAGTAAAACAAAAAATTAGTAACTTTAGTATGATCGAAGGTATGTTTTTTCACACGCCGAAAGTTAAAAATAACGTTTTCGATGATACGCAACAGCAAACAACACTTTGGGTGTTTTAAAACTCTGTCACGTGGCTTGTTTTAACATAATTTGTAATTACAGTGGGGCTAGGTCAGTTGATCAATAGTAGCTTATGTTGCAAGACTAACAACATGTCTCCTATGTTCTGTATCGTGGTAAGTTTTTTATAAGAGTATCATGTTATACATTTAATATTACAGTTAGTTTAAAATTTAGCCTATTATAAATCTTAAAAATATGATATCAATATATATATATATATATATATATATATATATATATATATATATATATATATATATATTATTCACCTATAAAAGTAAATCCCAATCTATTTATACATATACTTATTAATAAAAAAAAATACTAAACACACACTGGCATATATATCCTATACCTATATCTATTTATATATATATATATCTATATATCTATATCTATAAATATACATATATATATATATATATATATATATATATTGTGTATGTTTATATGTATTGTTAGCCCAAATATATATGTTTGTGTTACGTATTTGTGTATGCTTGTTCAAGAAAATATAGTGACGACTAACTATATTTTTTAATCCTAATTAGGTGACTGCCATGCTAATTACAGTGAGTTTATTCCATATCTATTTATTTTTAAACAAAGACATTTCAAACGAATTTAAGTTTTAATAGACATACTATGTTTCTTTTAAGTGTAATAGTTCTCGCAAGTATCAACGTAGTACATACTTCATGATTTTTAGTAATGCAGTGTACTAAAACCCTCAATTATAAATGTAACAAACTTCTATATTCACATGTTATGTAAAACATATTTATTCACCACTTTAGCTATTTGTCTGTAAAATATGTGATTAAATATATTTTCCTTATTTATCAATAGAGTGCGGTGGGTAAGTAAACAATAGATAATCTCTACTGGTCTTAATGAAATCTGGTTTTTAGTGCATTAAAAATTTGAGTTAATTATCAAGGACATGAGAAAACAACCATTTTAATTAAAAGTGTATTGAGAATAAAAAAATATAAAAAAATAATATATATATATATATATATATATATATATATATATATATATATATATATATATATATATATATATATATATATATATATATATATATATATATATATATTACATCGATCGAGGAATTTTTTGTATTTTGGTTTTTAAACAATCAATACAACTATATGAGTTTGATCAAATGAACAATATTTTTTTGTCCAGGCAACTATGAGTGTAGGTTAAGGGGGTGGGGGTGGGTTGCGGTAGAGAGGTGTCCAGTGCCCACTGGGCCCGCTCACCTCTTTATTATCTATATATATAATTCTCTTCTGGGAGACGCTAGAAAACAAGCTGTAAACGCACTCCCTACCATCCCCACCCCTAAATGGTCTTAGTGAGCTGTGGTTCACGCTATGTTTACCTTCGTGGAGTCGGGTTTAGTGACGGCTATTAGGGGCAGATAATTTAGTTTGAAACGATTTTAAACGTTGGGGGGGGGGGGGGAGAGAGAGGAAGGGGGGTGGGGGTTATGGTCCTTAACGAGCTACTTATAGTGTTTTAAAGAAATATTTTCAGTGTCAGCGTTGGTACTGTCGAATTCACAAATTATGAATTACTGAAAAGTAGAAAAAACAACAACTAAATAGCGGCTTATATTATGCCGCGGGCCGGCTCGTTATATAAATAATAGATATGTATCAAAACGTTTTGTGACTCTAATCTTCACATTCTGTCGTTTTAAGAGGCATTTTATTATAAAAGAATATAAAATACGCGTAAGACATTTGTCCTTAATGGACATTTGCCCGAATGGACGTTTATCCTAATGGGACTTTAGCCCGAATGGACAATAGCCGCTAAGTTATAAATTCCACTCGCGGATGATCTCAACACATCTTGGATAAATATTTCGTCTATTTTGTTCTAGGCAGTGAAGATCCATGTTCCAGGTTCATCTGCTACAACGGGGGATACTGCAGTACCTATGACTACCCCCCTACCTGTGTGTGTCCACCTGATTTCACCGGACAACGATGTGAAACGGAAGTGTGGCCTAGTGCCAGATGTCAAGTACGTGATATGAAAAATGTATGACGAGTGGTAGTTGATGGATAACAATGACATTAATTTACAGCACACACGCAACCACACCCCCCCCACACACACAAACACACACACATAAATGCCGCTGATAACCATACAGCATCTCACCTACCAATAACATTAACACAAGAGATAAACCTTATTATCTCTAATCTCGCTTCAGACTAGCATGAGCATCACATTGTATAATAAATATATTCGGAAAGCATACATTTTTTGTCAGAATATCAAATTTCTTTATCATTTAGTATAACTAACAAATCTCGAGTTTGAATCCGGGTTCAAGTCAGTAGACCGTCCTTGAGTCCACCCAACTCTGATGGGTACCTAAATCACCTTAGGGAGAATAAAGGCGGTTGGGCATAGTGCTGACCACACTATCTCTTAATATGCCGAGGTCACAGAAACAAGTGAACTCTACTTCACTTGCCCCATAGACCGTCAGGTTTGAAAGGGAAACTTTACTAGTTTAATTAACAAAACGTAAACTTAATATTTCCTAACCTAACTTATTCTAACCAAATTGCTTATATTTCGAAAAAATAGTATAGCTAATAATTATAGGCTTACCTGTTGTGTAACATTTAGAAGGTTAAAGAGACAAATGGCTTTGGAATACATGGAGGAATAGCTTGTTCAGATGACCTCCATTGTGAAGACGATCAGATCTGCTGTAACAGCGCTACCGGCAGAAGATGTATTTACGTGCCCAATCATCGTGACCTCGTATGTCCTTTCAATATGCATTTATTAAGTTTACAATGTCTGTCGGTTTGTTTGTGGGTTTGTGGCAAGTCTATAAAATAATTGTATTTTTTTTTAAACTTACGGATACACTCGACTCCTAAGACAAAGACGTCTATATTTTAATATATTTATATTCTTAGAATAGTCTTTAAAAAATATATCAAATGAAGCTTAATTATTAGGGGAGGTAAAAGCATAATTATTCCCAAAGCGACAAAACGAGCAGCCTTACAACCAATGCGAAATATTGATCATGGACGGTTGATTTTTAAGGAAGTTAAGAAATTGCTTATTGAAAGTTACCAGTAATTGAATAATTTAATTGGAACCTGTGATGTTTTGAAATTATCTTCACAGAATAACCCTACCTGTGGTGGGTGCCCTATGTATCAGATGTGCCTGGAAACAAGTAAAAAGTGCAACGTTGATCCTTGCACAGGTAGGAAGTACAGTTGCATCTACCCCAGGTGAAATCATCCAATAAGCTGGAATTAACAATAATCCAGTCAATTTACATTACTAATTTAAAACTGCAATAAAACTAAATTTAAAAACATATAACAATATTGTATAAGAACGGCTACTTGTATGCTATTTATTTTTTGTGATTAAACTATATATCTTTTAACCTAATCTTAATACATTTTCAATAAGCATGCAACAAATAAACGTGTATCAAATTTCCATGTGTTCTGTTATTGTCTATAATTTTTGAAATGTGTATGGTAAATGTTAGCGTAATTCATTTAGAAGTTAGATTTGTGACGGTGAGTTTTATAAAATTCGGTTAGAAGAGAGAGGTATAGTGTAGTTCGTGTTTATATTGTCCACATTTTCAACCCTTTAAAACTATAGTGTAGATCATGGGTCTCCAAACTACGGCCCGCGGGCCAGATGCGGCCCTCGAAGTCCTTTCATCCGGCCCGCGGAGATCTTTTTGACCAAGAAAAAATCGTTTGTTGGTGATGGCTGAGGAACTTTGCCCAGAAAATTCAAAGACATGCCTGGAAGAAACTGGCCCCCGAACTGAAATTTGATAGTTAATGCGGCCCTCGGACTGAAAAGTTTGGAGACCCCTGGTGTAGATAATATAAAACCAATACAATATGAAAGAGATCTACAAAAATATTAGTTATCTAAAGGAATTTGTTTATGTTTAATGCGGAGCATACTATAAAGAAAAACAGCGGCGGAACTACCATACCAAAGATTTGGTGGGGTGGGGGGGGGGGGAGGGGGGGGGGGGAAGAGAATGGCAGTCCGATTTGAGGGGCTCAAAATCCGCCAAAATAAATACTAGTTCTGCACATTTATATCAATTTTGTAAAAAATAACATCTTCTACGTGAGTGATTGTTCTACAGTAACAAACACACGCTGTTGCGTTAATAAAAATCGACATGAGTTGCAGTGTGAAAGATAGGCTAAACTTCAAACTATTTATATGACATATTGCTCATTTTAAAAAAAAAATAGTCTAATAGGGGTGCCCATAAAACTCATTAAAATAGTTTTGTATGAAGGAAATCATTGATATTTATTTTTAAAAAAAGCATATTAAACAATGAGAAAAAAAAGAGTGTAAAAGTGTAGTGTGTTCATGTTATGCTTGTGTTTAATATTGAAATATTCTGTCAATATCTAGAGAAATTTTAAAACACATGGTGGGCGTAGAAAAACGGAAACTTAACAAGTTTAGTAAGATCGAAGGTATGTTTTTTTTCACTGGCCAAAATTTTCTATTATAACCACTGCAAACCTCCCCCCCCCCTTCTAAACGTAACAGACAAAAATGGTATTTTAAAAAACACCGGGTGTGTTAAACAAAGCTGTTCTTTGTCACGTGATTTTTTAACTCAATTTGTAATTACTGCAGGGTTAGGTCAGTTGATCAATAGTAGTTTATGTAGCAAGGTTTTTAACATGTCTCCTTTGTTCTGTATCGCCGTAAGTTTGTATTTAAATATATTTAATACATTTTAGGTTATAGTTTATTTAAATTGTGCCTATTTTAACACTTGGATGTATTGTATTAATAATTTCATATATATATATATATATATATATATATATATATATATATATATATATATAATATATATAATATATATAATATATAATATATATATATATATGTGTGTGTGTGTGTGTGTGTGCGCGCGTGTATCAACAGGTAAACATAATCAATGGCTAAGATATCATAACTTAAAAACTGTAATTCAAATGTAGTGTGGTACATATTGCAGGTGATCGAGGATGACAGTGTGGGGGTGTGTGGAGGAATCTTCTGCTCAGATGACAGCGAATGTCCAGATGTTCAGATCTGCTGTGCTAGTGCTTGTGGTGGACAGCTGTGTACGAATCCTGTTAATGTACGTCCATATTTGTTTCATTTTGTTTACTAATTCATATGAATTATGACAATGTTTTGACCATATAGAAACTTATATTTCTTAAAGTTTATTGATATAATATGAATAATTAATTAACTTATATATAACATTTATGCAATTATTTAGCTATGTATCTGATTAATCAAAGTTTATAATAAAGTTAACCATAGTGTGATTTTTAAAATGCATAAGAATTACAAAATAAAATAAAACGATGTATCCCCCATTGTTTCAAAAGTTTAAATAAACTTTTCAAGTATAAATTACTCTAATTAAATTGTACATTTATTTAAATAGTCAACGTGTTATATATGAAACATTTGGGTTGGCCTATTTGTTTTTGATAAATCATAAGATATAATAATTTTCTGTATAAAATAACGGTGTTGTCCATATATATAATATTAAATTCATTTGTGGCTTTTTGAAATTGTACCATGTACTGTAATTTTTATCCTCGCCCCTTCCTCCACTCTTTCCAAATAAGCATTGCCACATAAAGAAAAAACAACATCTATGATAATGTAACATGTTTCATTGCATCGATACACGATTAAAAAAAATTTATAGCTTCTACGTCGACTTTTAAATTAAAATTACATAATTATATTTAAAAAAAGATTTTCGCCTCTTTATGTTACAGTATCACCCAAAGTGTGGGGTGTGTCCTGATGGTCAAGACTGTGTCAACACGGGAATCGTGTGTGTCCGCTCACCTTGCCCAGGTGAAGATTCAGGTGCCTGCATCGCACGTGAAATTATCCAGCAGCCTGTAGTGCACGATCGCATCAATGAGATTAACCACGCTGATGTATAGCTTCAATAGAAATTGTTAGTTTTATCTTTAATATTCTTGTTTTGGGTAATATTATTTAAAGTGATTTATTGATTGATTAAAAATTTTTAAAGTAAATGTGCGTTAAAACGCAATATCTAAAACGTTAAGAGAATAAACTTGTTATGAAATCTGACATGAATGTGTTGTTTTTCGCCAAGAATATAAACACGATCACTGTGTGTTAAACTGAAACATGATGTCCATATTACTGGAAAAGTTTAATAGGGGGAAGCACGATACGATAATGTTAGTCAAAATGTAACTATCTATATATATATAATTCTCTTCTGGGAGACGCTAGAAAACAAGCTGTAAGCGCGTTCCCTACCACCCCACCCTTACATGGTCTGGTGAGCTGTGGTTCACGCTAAATTTTTACAATCATAGAGCGGGTTTAGTGACGGCTATTAGGGGCAGATAATTTAGTTTGAAACTATTTTAAACTTAGGGGAGGTAACTACGAGGAGGCTGTTTTCACGTGGGGTGGGGGTGGGGGGGATTGATGGGTGGGTGTAGGGTAGGGGTTAGGGGAAAGGAGGGTGGGGGTAGTATCGTTCTTAACGACCTACTGACAGTGTTTTAACGCAAATATTTTCAGTGGCAGCATTGGTACTGTCGAACTCACAAATTATGAATTACTGAAAAGTAGAAAATAAAACAACTAAAAAGCGGCGTATGATATGCCGCGCGTCGGCTCGTAGTATTGACTGGACTTAACCCAACATGCAGATTATAGCCTCCCGTGATGTCTATCCGCCACATAAAGCTAAATTAGCCAAACATCATTACACAATCCGCTCAATGCTACATACACCACACAACACGACGCAAACCACATTACGCTACCCCCACCACACAATGCTTCACCCATCAAAAACCGCTATACTAGTAGCAGAAATCGTCACCAACCACACTACACGACACACACCACACAACACCACACACACACACACCGCTAAACTATCCATACAACCCTACATCCACCAAAAAAACACTACGTTAACAACAAAACTCGACACCCACCACATTTGCCTAATAACTTTATAGTCTACCAGCCGCAAAGCGCTACATCCGCCACGACAAGAGGTTGCACTAAAAAAACTACCTCCATTTGTTTCTACGAGATTTCTCCAAAAGTAAATTTGTAATCAGCGTAACTACATCGAATGGATTGTAATTTCTTAGACCAGAGTCTGATACCAAGAACACTGGGTTGACCCCAGGGTGTAAAACGGACAGAATTTCATGATTTCAGCTTTACACTGAGTGCAACAGACAGCGATACCTACAGGTCCTACTGGAAACCTCAGACAACACGTCCTACAGTCAGGTCAAGTGTAGAGGACCTTTGGCCACTCGGGACTGTCCCCAGGGCTCAGTGTGTGTGGACGACCTGAGGGGTGGGGGAACCTGTTGCTTCGGCAAACCTGACCCAGCAGAGAAGCCTGGGACCTGCCCGGCTGTGAACGTGAGTTTGTAGGGTCAAGGTAAGACAGGTGTCATGCAAGTTGATCTTTTTCTTGAGAGATTTCTTCTCACAGACATTCGGACTGCTCAAACGATGTTTTAATTTTTTTTACAGAAACATTAAATATAAATCAGCCATAAATATGTTATTTAGATGTTATAATCGTATGGAAACGTGAATATATATATATATATATATATATATATATATATATATATATATATATATATATATATATATATATGTTTTATTTAATTTAAACCAAACGAAAGGTAAAGTAAAAAGTGCATTTTCATCTATTTAAAAGCGTCTATAAATTAATTGAGCATCTGGCTGTTCTATAATTAGGGCCCAGGATTTGTGCTTGGATTTCCAATGCACATTCAGTGATTGCTCTATTTTAGTAGGTATATAGGGAATTTCAATGTTTTCCTATTATTATAAGAATATTGGTACTAGAACCAAATATATCAAAACTAAATATCTCATGACTAAATATATGACTAACCAGTGTTTCTTCCAAGCATCTTTTCCGAATAAAATGGAATTTATATAGAAAATATACTTTTAACAGCGTTCGCCCCCCCCCCCCCCCCTGGACATTTCAGTCCGCCTTCCCGAAAATTTCAAGTCTCCCCCCCCCCCCCCCATTCCCACTGAAGAAAAAAGTCTGGAAAAAACTGTGAGTAACATTGCTATCATAGACAAAATATATGGGATTATTAATTTGCCGTAACATATTTTGTCTGGGGTATTTTATTTAAGATAATTTGTCCTAGCCGCAATCTACGTGTTGAAAAATTGATTAGTCGTTCAATCAATAAACTCAGGTACCATCTATTTTGCTTTGGCAAGTACGTATGTTTTGTTTTTAATTTTAAGTCAATTTAAAACTGAAAACCATAGAAAATTTTAATTTAATAACTCTTTAAAATATTGACCTAGAAAATGTGGTGATTCATCACGATTGTCTATGTTTAATTCTAACACATTTCATAGAAATTTTAACAAAATGTTTAAGCTTTATTTTATTTAGAATACAAAAACTCTTTTGGAAAAGTGTCTAGTAACTCTTTGCTCTTAAAGTAGTTATAAAATTGCTATCGCTGGACTAAGGATATAAAGATAGATATTTTTGCACACAAAATTATTTCCCCCATATTTTATCCAGAGTGGTAAACAATGCTGCACCGCATCACGTGACTCGTCAAGTATTTTTAATTAGAGTGAAGCTGTGAGACTGGTCGAAAGTAATTTATTTTACAGTAGCTATCGAAATGTGGTCGTGTCTGTTCTGTTTAACAGTAAGTTGATCTTCATTCAAATACACCAACATATGGTGTAGATATTCAACCATTGTTTGTTTATTCCTAAACCTATTATAAATCTTTTAGGTATATTTAAACAAAAAAGTATTTCTCTCCCTGTATTATATATATATATATATATATATATATATATATATATGTATATATATATATATATATATATATATATATATATATATATATATATATATATATATATATATATATATATATATATATATATATATATATATATATATATACATATATATATATATTCTCTCCTCTCACTCCTCTCTCTGTATATATATATATATATATATATATATATCTTCTATCTATCTCTCTCTCTATATATAAAGCAATGTATCTTTGTTTGTGTGTGTGTGTGTGTGTCTGTCTTTTATGCATTACTACTCCTCTCGTCACATCGCCGTGAAACTTTGGGAAGTTGTTGTGAATATTCCTGGGGACTTTTCTGCGGAAAAAAAAAATTCAAATTTGCAGGGGTGGCGCCCCGGCTGGGCGCAATTTGTTTTTTCTTTGTATACGGTATATAAAAATAAAAGTCGATTTTGGCCTCACATCGTTCATCCGATAGCCATGAGACTTTGGAGAGTTCATTATAACACTATAGGGAAGGGTTTTGTAAAAAAATATTTTTAAGTTTGCAAGGGCGGCGCCACGGGAGGGTGCGATTTTTCTCTATATACGGTATATAAAAATAATACAAGTGAATTGCAGTGACACTTTTCACATGATTGCCATGATACTTTGGGAAGTTGCTAAGAATATTCCTGTGGAGGTTTCTGAGAAACCATTTTTTTTCTAATTGGCAGGGGTGGCGCCCCTGCAGGGCGCGATTTTTTTTCTCTATATACGGTATATAAAATAAAAGTCGATTGCGGTCTCACAATGTTTATCCGTTAGCCATCAAACTTCAGGGACTTGATCAGAACACTCCAGGAAAGGGTACTGTAAAAAAGCCATTTTTATTTTCGCAAGGGCGGCGCCACGGAATGGTGGAATTTTTCTCAATATACGGTATAAAAAATAGACGATTGCGGTTCGACACAGTTTATCCCGGTGCCATAAAACTTTAGGGAGTTGATGAATACTCCCGTGAAGGTTTCAGGGATGGGAGTGGGGAATAGGGGTGAGTGAGTGGTAAAGGCGGGGAGATTTAGTTTTGCATGGGCGGCCCACCGGCATGATGCGATTTGGCGCCCTGATCTTTCCCGTGAGCGCTATGGTGACTACGATCGGTCTAAACAATAGACAATGAATAGGGTGGGGCGTTACAAGCGCTCACTAAATTGAATCTGGCGTGTTCTCTGGCGCACTGGTAGGGTGCGATTAGGCTGCAAATAAAAAACAATGTCTGTTTCGGCCCCCAAAGCTCACATGGGCCAATGAGGGCCATGTAATACGTTTTACTTTAATAATAAGAAATTAACCAAGGTTAGATTATTAACTGGGATGTTTCTTTTTGTCCGTAAAAAAAATTCAAACAGTTTCGCCTCTTTGCGAATGATGCAATTAGCATCTATTTTTAGATAATCCAATCAGAAATTGAGATCGAGCATCTAAGAATAGACCATTAGTAACGCTAACATATTATATCAGTCACACTGATGTTTAAAACACGTAAATTAGTTTGTTTATGTGTTACATAACAAATCCTGTTCATTTGTGTCACTTTATTGAATGACGTAATCTGCATCATTGTTAACAGGATGCTATTTGGCGCTTGTTAGTTTTAATTAGCCAGGGGTCGTACGCCTCGCCTATGCGGTAATGTAATCGGGGGTGGGGGCGGGAGGCTCCTGAGAGCGCCACTCTACGTCTCTGACATATGGGCGGTCACCGAAGTGTGTTCTACCATATTATTTTGGTGAGTGATTAATGTACACTCAAGGTTTTCATGCGGTAGTGTAGGTAAACCCGTGTCCCGATATTTATGATCCAAGCGCAGGCATTGTTTACATATAAATAATTCACTATTAGAAAAGAAGGTCACGCATCTAAGAACATATGATAAAAGCGCATTGGTGAAATCCTTCTAATATATTTCGTCAAACTTTCTTCTATCCCCGCTGCAACGCGCGGGGACGGGTAGGCTATATATATATATATATATATATATATATATATATATATATATATATATATATATATATATATATATACATATATATATATTGTGTATGTATATATGTATTGTTACCCTATGTATATATGTTTGTGTTATGTATGTGTGTGTGCTTGTTCAAGAAATTATAGTGACGACTAACTATATTTTGTTATCCTAATTAGGTGACTGCCGTGCTAATTACAGTGAGTTCATTCCATATCTACTTATTTTAACAAAGCCATTTCAAGCGAATTTAAGTTTTAATAGTCATAATATGTTTGTTTTAAGTGTAATAGTTCTCGCAGGTATCAACGTAGTACATACTTTATGATATTTAGTAATCCGATGTAGTAAAACACTCAAATTATAAATGTAACAAATTTATATGATAAAAATTGTCCTTCTTTATTTAAATATTATGTTAAAACATATATATTCACTATTTCAGCTATTAGCCTGTAAAATATCTGAATAAAATATATTTTCCATTTTTATCAATAGAGTGCGGTTGGTGAGTAAACAATAGATAATATCAACTGGCCTTAACGCATCAGTAATTTCAGTTAATTAACAAGGACAAGAGAAATCAACGATTTTAATTAAAAGTGGATTGATAATTATATATATATATATATATATATATATATATATATATATATATATATATATATATATATATATATATATATATAAATATATACATAACCTCGATGTTAGTATTTTGTTTTTTAAACAATTAATACAGCTATTTGAATTTGATAAAATTAAGATTTTTTTTGTCTAGGCAACTCCGCGTGTAGGTTTAGGGGGTGGTGGGGGGGAGCGTTAGAGAGGTGGCCAATGTCCCCAGGGCACGTCCACCGCTTTATAATTATATAAATAATAGATATGAATCAAAAAGTTTTGTGACTGTAATCTTCACATATTTTTGTTTTTAAGTTATATAGATCTGATGATCTCAGCACAACTTAAATATTTCGTGTATTTTGTTCTAGGCAGTGAAGATCGATGTTCCAGGTTCATCTGCTACAATGGGGGATACTGCATCAGTCGCTATGACTACCCCCCTACCTGTGTGTGTCCACCTGATTTCACCGGACGACGATGTGAAAAAAAATTGACTACTGTCAGATGTCCAGTACGTGATATTAATTTGATGAGCAGTGACAGCTGATGGATTACAATGACAATAATTTACAGCACACACACCCACAATCCCACCCACCCAACCCCACATACACACGCAACCACGACCCCCCCCCCACACACACACACAAACACACACATATAAATGCCGCTGATAACTAATACAGCGCGTCACCTACCAATAACATTAACACAAGAGATAAACCTTATTATCTCTAATCTCGCTTCAGACTAGCACGAGCATCACATTGTATAATAAATATATTCGGAAAGCATACATTTTTGTCAGAGTATCATTTTTTAATCAATTAGTATAACTACCAAAACGTAAGCATAATGTTTCCTAACCTAATTTTATTCTAAACAAATATATTATATACAAATAATAGTACAGCTAATATGTATATTCTTACATGTTGTGTTACATTTTGCAGGCTAAAGAAAAAAATGGATTTGTAATAGATGAAGGAAAAGAATGTCGAGATGACTTATCTTGTGCAGATGATCATATCTGTTGTAACTTCGCTACTGGCAGAAGATGTACTTACGTGCCCAATCACCTTGAACTCGTATGTCCTTTCAATATGCATTCATTAAATTTACAATGTCTGTCGGTTTGTTTGTGGGTTTGTGGCAAGTCTATAAAATACACGTACACTTTCTCGACTATATTTTAATCTATTTATATTAGATTAGTCTTTAAAGATTATATCAAATAAACCTAATTAAAAGGGGAGGTAACAACATAATTAATCCCAAGCGACAACTCGATCAGATTTGTAACCATCGTGTAATATTGATTACGGATGGTTGATTTTTAATGAAGGTATGTATGGGTTTATTAAAGGCTACCAGTACTTGAATACTTAAATTGAAACCTGTGATATTATACATGTTTTAATAATATATATAAATGCCCTACAGAACTGTAAAAAGATTTAACGCTATTATGGTAAAAATAATGTTTATGAATTTCCTTATTTCTAATTACCTTCATTTGAATTGTTGATCCACAAATCATTGTTTAGCACTGTTCACCAAGTTGTTCTTGTAAATTATAATTTTTGTAAATGTTTAAATTATGTTATATATTAACGTCCACAAACATTGTATATGCTGATGTAATTACTTCTATTTGAAAATAAACGTATGAAAAAATATAAAAAATATGATATTTTCTTTACAGCTCTACAACCCTACCTGTGGCGGGTGTCCCGTACCTGAGGATTGCATGAAAATAGGTAAAAAGTACAGGTGCGTCATCCTCGAGTGAAACCATAAAACAAGCTGGAATTCATAATAATCCAGTCGATTTACCTTACTAATTTAAAACTCCAATAGAACCTTAATATAAAACCATTATAAAATTTTATAAAAACTGCTAATTGTATGCCTATTTGTTTTTGTGATTAAACTATATTCCTTTTATCCTAATCTCAATAAATTGTCAAAAAGCATACTACAAATAAACTTGTGTGAATAAAATGTCCATATTGTATTGTGTTATTGTCTAAAAATATTGACATTTGTATAGTAAATGTTAATGTATTTTATTTAAGGTTGTTACATTTGTAAGGTAAATGTTAATGTATTTTATTTAAGGTAGTTATATTTGTATGGTATATGTTAATGTAATTCATTTAAGGGTGTTACATTTGTATGGTAAATGTTAATGTAATTCATTTAAGGGTGTTACATTTGTATGGTAAATGTTAATATAATTCATTTAAGGGTGTTACATTTGTATGGTAAATGTAAATTGTAATTCATTTAACGGTGTTACATTTGTACTGGTATGTTTTATAAAATTTAGTTAGCAGTAAATTGTAGAGTAGTTCGTGTTTATATTGTTCTAATTTATCTACCCTTTAAAACGATAATGTGCAGACAATATAACATTAATCTAATATCTAAAGCTCAATTCTGTAACGCATATGTTTGTCGTTGGCATTTCTACGGATTTAAGTGTTAGATCAATTATCGTGCGCGTTTGTCTAAATTTATGAGTTAAAAAATTACTATTAAAAGTGTTGGGAAATCATTTTCATTTTTCAAATTATAGTAATAATTGCCGGCATGTTCATTAAACACAAGTTTAAAAAAAAATATCATCTTTTACAAAAATTCTAATTATGTTTTTATTTAGTCCTATAGCGCTTACTTCCCTTTGATAAATTAGGCAAAACACAATTACTTCCCTTTATGAAACCCATTGCATTAGTTGAAAAGCATTTACTTTTTAATTACTTTGTTTTGGTGTTGGGAAAAAAATAATTACATAATTAGCGGGGATTGATCAAGTGCAAATGTTTTAGGTATTTTACGGATAAGCTTGGAGTATTATAATTGTTCATTAAATTGAAACAGGCGCGTTCGTTTAAGTGAGTGCAAAAACTATGAATAAGTTGGGGTACTATAGTCGTTTATTAAGCTAAAACAGGCGATTCTGCCCCGGGCGTTTATGTTCGCGTTAGTGTTTTCTTTGTGTTTAGGTGGGTTTGCGTTAGTGGTTGCGTTTTGATTTGGTTCGTTTTTGTTCTTTCTTTTTTCGTTTTTGTTTTTTTTTGTTTGGGTTTGTATTTGTGTTTTTGGTTGGTTTTGCGTTTGGATTTGGTTTGTTTTCGTTCTTTCTTTTTTCGTTTTTGTTTGTGTTTTTTTGTTTGGGTTTGTATTTGTGTTTTTGGTTGGTTTTGCGTTTGGATTTGGTTTGTTTTCGTTTGCTTTTTCGTTTTTGTTTTTTTTTTTGTTGGTATTGGTGTTTGTGGTTGGGTTTGTTGTTAGGTTTTTGTTTTCGTTTGCTTTTTTGTTTGTTTTTTCTTTGTGTTTGTATTGGTGTTTGTGGTTGTGGTTGGGTTTGTTGCTAGGTTTTTGTTTTCGTTTGTATTTGTAATTGTGTTAGCGTTATGTTTGCGTTTTGTTGTTTTGGTTTTGGTTGGTCGTGGTTTGGGTGAGCAATGCCGGGTTTATGATGATTACTAAACACACAGGTAATGGTCTTTAACAGAAAGGTTTTTCACAGAAGCCAGAGCAGGGCCTGGCCGGGACGGCTAGTAAAACATAAATGTGATCTACAAAAAATTAGATGATACCTAAAAGAGTTTTCTTTTTTTTTTTTAATGCTGGGCATACTTTAATGAAAAACAGCGGCGGAACTACAATACCAACAATATGGAGGGGTGGGGGAAGAAGTATGCCAGGCTGTTTTGAGAGCTCAGATTCCGCCAAAATAAATACTAGTTCTACACATTTTAATAGAGTTTGAAAAAAAAAATAACATCTACTACGTTAGTGATTGTTCCAGGTAAGAAACACACGCTGTTGCGTTGAAAGATAGACAAACGTTCACACTACTTCCATGACATTTTGCTTTTTTTTATAGTCTTATAGGCGACCACATTAAAATATGTAAATAGGCTTTGATATTTATAATTTAAACGCATACTAAACAAAGACCAATCCAAAAAAATGTGTTAAAGATTCCCGTGATTATGTTATTCTGATGTTTATTATATTCATACTATTATTATTAAAAAATATTTATTAAAATATCAAGTAAATATCAAGAGATATTTTAAAACACAAATTTGGCGTAGTAAAGCAAAAACGAAGTAAGTTGAGTAAGATCGAAGGTATATTTTTTAACACACCGAATTTTAAAAACAACGTTGTCGATGATAAGCACGCCCCCATCCCCTAACAACACTTTAAGTGTTTAAAAAAATTGCCCTCTGTCACGTGGTTTGTTTTAACATAATTTGTAATTACAGTAGGGTTAGGTCAGTTGATCAATAGTAGTTTGTGCAGCAAGACTAGCAACATGTCTCCTCTGCTCTGTATCGCCGTAAGTTTTTTTTATAAGAATATCATGTTATACATTTGATATTACATTTTATTTCAATTAACCTGTTATAATACTTAAATATATGATATCAACATATATATATATATATATATATATATATATATATATATATATATATATATATATATATATATATATATATATATGTATATATATATATATATATATATATATATATATATATATATATATATATATATATATATATATATATATATATATATATATATAATTCACCCATTAAAAAAATCCCTAATTATATACACATGTGTACTCATTAATATAAATTTTAAAATAACTAAACACAAACAGACATCTATATCCTATATCTTTATCTATGTATATGTATATGTATATATATATATATATATATATATATATATATATATATATATATATATATATATATATATATATATATATATATACATATATATACATATACATATACATATACATATACATATACATAAAGATAAAGGATATTTATTTATATATTTATATACTCATATATTTCCATTTTTTTACCACCTAGGTGTTAGCTGTGTTACTTGAGGTAAGTTACGTCTACTTTTAGTGCTTGTTGTATAGTGATCTATTATTTTAAAGCGAAAACTATTAGACAGCCATGAGTAGAAAATAGTGGACACTCACGGGGAAACTAGAAGATCTGGAGTTTGCAGATGATCTTGCCTTACTCTCGCACAGGCTACAGGACATGCAAGAAAAAGTTGATGCATTAGGAGCCATCTCGCAGCGCGTAGGTCTGAAGATCAACAAAGAAAAGACGGAAATGATGAGAATTAACAATAAACAGGAGGCTCCAGTGTCAATAGACGGAAGACAGGTAAATGATGTGCAAGAGTTTGTCTATCTTGGCAGCAAGATCAGCAAAACGGGAGGCACAGAGGAGGACATACGCGCTAGAGTTAATAAAGCCCGCTGCGCTTTCACAGTCCTGCGACCCATATGGAAAAGTTCGGCCATCTCCATTACCACAAAAATTAGGATATTTAACTCTAATGTCAAGGCAGTTCTGCTGTATGGAGCAGAGACATGGAGAGTCTCCAAGGCAAGCACAGCAAAGATACAGACCTTCATGAATAGATGCCTTAGACAGATACTGAAACTGAGATGGCAGGACAAAGTGCCGAACTTGGAACTATGGAGTAAAGCTAGGCAGGAGCCTATAGGTGTGCAAATAAGAAGGAGGAAGTGGCACTGGGTGGG